CCTGAAGCTGGCCACAGGAGTAATTTGATTTGGGGATCAGGCTTGTAGCTGGAGCTTATTTGATCATTGGCCAGGAAGAAATGAACAGAAACCCTGGGTGCAGGATGAGGCGTGTATTTCCTGGTCCCAAGTCCTCCTGTCACTTTCGCTTCCTTTTCTGTGTGATGAGACTGATGTGAGGAACCCTAAATATGAGCAGATTTTTAAAAATCTCTGGTGGGGGCGGGGGAAACAGCATAAAAGCCCCTGCTACAGTTACGGAGGCTTCTGACTCCAGGGCACCCGGGCTGGGACTTGGTAAGGAGGCCATAATTGGATTTGTCCCTGATGCTAGATGTCTCCCTCTAGAACACAAACAGCTCCTTAAAAATGCACAGCTGGAACTGAAGAAGAGTAAGAGGAAAGATTACTACAAGATTTTGGGAGTGGACAAGAATGCCTCTGAGGATGAGATCAAGAAAGCTTACCGGAAACGGGCCTTGATGCACCACCCAGGTAGAGCGGAGGGCGGGCCAGACTTTGTGGGAAGAGCGGGCCAGGTGGGCCCACCCCCAGACTCAGTCCAGAATGAATGCCTCCGAGAGGCTCCTCACTGGGAGGAGGTGGCACTACTGAGGTGGTGCCCTCCACATTTTGGGAAGTACCAAACTCTCAAGTCAGACGTAAAGTGGTCTTAAACTTTTTTTCTTGAGACTCCAAGACAAGGAGTTCCCTGTACTCCTTCCTTTAGATCGGCACAGTGGAGCCAGTGCCGAAGTTCAGAAGGAGGAGGAGAAAAAGTTCAAGGAAGTTGGAGAAGCTTTCACCATCCTCTCCGACCCTAAGAAAAAGACTCGTTACGACAGTGGACAGGACCTGGATGAGGAGGGCATGAATATGGGTGGTGAGTTGGTTAGGGCAGCTTGGGATGAATCTGACAGCTGTAGAACTGTAAAATTTTGCTAACGACACTCCAGAGGGGGAGCCTATGGAATGAGCCAGTGACGTGCAGTGATTTATAAAGCGCACCCTTAATGAAGCCCTGTGATGTGTGAGACGCCATGTTGGGTGCTTGAAATAACAAAGGTGAATCAAACAGGTTCCCTGACCTCTAGGAACCCAGTCTAAGAGTTTGCACACTTTGGTCCACAGACCACATCTAAACGCCTGATCTAATAGACGTGGAATCCAATGAACGAAGTCAAGTGTAGCAGGTGCCCTGGGTGCAAAATGGGCACCAAGGAGTAAGCAAGAGCAAGGGAAGACATGGAAGTACAGAAAAGCAAAATACCCTTGGGAGCTGCAGGGGGCCCTGTAGGAGGAGAGGGTGCTCAGGGCACGCGACGAGAAGAGTGCAGGCAGAAAGTAGCCAGAGCGCACCTTAGAAGGCCTTAGGGGCTGGAGGAAGGAGTGCGGGCTAGAAGTTCTTTTGTCCCCCACTGCAGATTGTATGCTGGTACTGACGTGCGTGATAGATTCCTGTAAGCCCTCACAGATACTAATTTCCCCAAAAGACTTAGCATGATGTAAAGTGCAGCTGTCAGCATCATTGCCCACTGTGAGCTCGGTCAGAGATAAGAGAGGCTTTGAACTGTGCTCACTTCTCAGCCCGCTGTCTCTAATGCCAACAACCCTTTCTCCTCCACTAAGAAAACCTGTTGGAATTTAAAATAAGTTGATGACAATATAATCCTGACCTGGTCTCCAGTTCAGAGAAGACGAGAATATTTTTTTAAAACCTAGGTTTACCAGTAGTAAATAAACATTGATCTGCCCAGCAGTTGAGAAGAACAATAATCCATCAAAAGCTATTGAAGTGTTTTAAGTAGGGGGGCAGTGGGCCAGATTTAGGCTCTAGAAGAACATTTGTGATGGCAGCGAAGAGCGGTGGTTTGGGAGGAGGTGAGGACGCCAATGGAAGGAAGACACAGTAGACAGGAAAGGACTGGAGGACTCTGCTGGAGCTGGTTGCTGGATGTGTTGGGAAAAGGAAAGAACTGAGTTGAGAGTGGCTTCGGCACAGCAGGCTTGGCCATTCATGGAGTGAGGGGGCCCAGGGAGGCCCACAGATGGGCTGGCAAAGAGGACTTCACTCTCGGACACAGTGTGCCTATGGGATCCCCTGACGGCGATAAATCTTTCTGCGGCCTAGGCGGTCAAGCAGGGGTTGGTGACTTAAGACCTGCTGTGGCCTAATGACAAGGGCACAGTGCTGAAATCAGACAGAAGCTGGAATTTTTGGTTATTTTGCTTTTACTGTTCACATGATCTTGGGTAAATTATTTGAACCCCCTACTTATGTTTCATTGAGTATAAATTCGTAATAATATCCTGACAAACTGTTAGTGGGATCGAACGGTACCATGTACGCAAAGTACCTGGAGCCATGATGAGCACCTAGTAGGTGCTTTAAAAAAAACTACATGTCTTCTGGCATACAGTTTAGATAGCATAGAATCAAGCAGATACAATAAATCATAGGACTTACTATTTATTCTTGGTAGTATGTAAGTGATAAAGTTGAGCTTTTTCAGTAGCAGCCCCAGCATTACAAGGAGACAGTGTGGGGAAAGCCTGTTTCAGCAAGTGCAGTTGGCATTCCCGGCTGTGGAGAAGAGGGGCCAGCAACGCGAGTTAAGGCAGAGAACACTCTCCTTTGGGACCGTACTTGGGAAGAGGAGGGAATGTAGTCCAGGACTGGGATCGAGCGGTGGCGACTTGCGTAGGGCGGGGCACATTTGCTCGCCTCTAGACTGGTGTTTGGGAAAGAGGGAAGCGGTAACTATTTGGAAAAGCTTTGGAGACCCATTCTCAGTGTCATGATAAGTTCTTCTTCAAACACTTTTACTTTTTTCACTTTCTTGTTCTTTCCATTTCTCCCTTGCTCCACAGATTTTGATGCAAACAATATCTTCAAGGCATTCTTCGGGGGGCCTGGGGGCTTCAGCTTCGAAGGTGAGTGCACCTGGTATTCTCGGGAGTTCCCAGATCACAAGCTGACACAGTGGCTCCCTAGTTAGCGCTTTTGAGAGTCTGTGCTGGGGGGTGCTGTGCAGAAGCAGCCAAATTCTCATCTAGCAGGGCCTCTGCCAACCCAGGCGTGGCTGAGGATGGCAGAAGGGAGCTTCCTGGGCATACCTTGTCTTGGGACCATTAGCGCCCCACCTCCACTGGGTCAGGGTGCCGTGGCTAAGCTGCCTGGTACCAAGGCTTGTGCGCATGAGGAAAGATACTAAAAGCTACACACATGCAACATGCTGGTGTGCTCCCTCACACCCAGGGGCCCAGGTGGTTTGATACCGTTAGAGCTTTTTCTGACTCTGAAGCAGCCCTTGGAGACTTTACCATAATCAGAGCGGTGATCTTTCCTAGAAAACCCAGAGTCCACTAACACGCCCTTCTTTCCCCTACAGCATCTGGTCCAGGGAATTTCTTTTTTCAATTTGGCTAATGAAAGGCAACCATCCAGAACCCAGAAAATGCAGACTTGCTCAATTTAACCTTGAATGTGGACACAATTCACCACCTCCATCATGTCTCCATGTACTTAGAGCAGTTTCGTTTTCTCAGTTGGATGCCCTGTGTCTGTGAGTGGGTGAAGGAAAGGGAGCCAGCGCCGAAGACTGCGGGTAGGGGAGGGAGGCGGGGGGTGGACAGGGAAGCAGCTTGTGAATTTTTGTTTTACTGTTTAACTTTATTAAAAAAGGAAAAAAATTAAGAGAATAAAATGTTTTGACCCTTTCTGGCACTTGGCTCTGGCAGCTGCTTTGTCGGTGGGCCAGAGCTGGGCCCCCAGCACAGCACTGACGCTGACATGGACTTTAGGCTCTGCGGGGGCTGAGGGCACCCAAAGGCTGGCAGCCGGTGGGGTGCTGGGTGCCTCTCCCAAACCTGCTGCGCACGTAAGTGCTGAGCAGGCGCTGCATGTGCCGCTGGGCCTGGTCTGATGTCAGTCATAGGGAACTGAGTTCAGAAAGCATGCTTATGTTTTGGTGCGGGCCACCAGAAATCACTAGAATCTGCGTATCCAAAGCTCACATAGAGCATGGGCAGACGCCAAGTATCAGGCCAGGCTAACCTAGACAGAGGAGGTTTACCCAGACTCTCAGTTCCTGTGCCAGTGCAGGCTTGAGGGAGGAAGAGACAAGGTGAAAACCCCGCCTCCTTGACTGCCAGACCCTTTCCCAGGGAGACAGGCTGTTGACATTAGTTCACAGTTGGAAACGCCATTTTTGGCAAGCGCCCTTGCTACTCGACCGGCTCCCCTTTCTCTGTGGGACGCAGGCTGGGGAAGGGAGCAGTGGCCATGTGTGGGACTGGTCAGGTCCAGCCTAGTGTTCGTGGGAGGGATCGTGTTGGATTTCCAGGCAGGCACTAGAGGCTTTGGTTGAAACTCAGGGTTTTGCTGCTTTGGTAGTAGGCGTGGAAGGGCAAGACCTTGAACCAAGCAGATGATACAGTTGCTCTTCCTTCAGAGCCCCTGCCCTTTTCTTTCTAGTCCCCCTCTTTGGTGCCAAGGCCGTGGCCAAGTGATGACTGATTTTAGGCCTAGGAAACTCCCTGTATAGCCGTCCAAGCCCCTGTTGGCTGGAAGAGACTCTGAACGTCAGGCCTTCCTTTGCTTGTGGCAGCACTGGCCTGAGGGTGGCCTCCTGTGGAGAACTGGGGAGGCCCAAGCTAGGAGTTGGGGGTCTTGCTTTTCTGAGAAGTTGGGCTGGGCTGGGCACACCTGTGGGCCTGTCTGAGGAGATAACGGGACGAGAGGCTCTGTGTCCCTCATACCCAGCCAACCCCCCCATTTGTGTGTGCGTCTCAGACAGCCTCGCTCCCTTCTGCCTCTTCATGAAAGCCAACACTGTTCAGCTGCCCAACCTCGCCACAGCTGTGCCCAGCCAGCAGCGGGGAGACAGGACCGATGGCCCCAAGCTGTAGGACAAAGCCAGTCCTAACACCCCCAGCCCTCGGCCCAGGGAAGATGCGCAGGGCACAGAAGGGTGAGAGAGACTGCACACAGCTGGGATTAACATGATTTATTTCACTGTCAGTCTTACAAGTTGCTGAGGTTGGGCAAAGCCAGGATGGTAACTCAAATCCCAAGCACTTTTGTCAAGTAACAACCTAATTAGCAAGGCCCTGTTACTGAGCGGAGGGTAGCGAGGGCACCCCAGGAACCACAACCCATATGTCAGTGTTAAAAACCCCTTCCCAGAGGCTCCAGGCGGGGCTTAGCCCTGAATGGTCAGGAGTCCACTCCCTTGGCTCTTAGTGCCCACCAGCCCCCTTTAGAGGAGGCACAGAGGCCTCCGGAGGCACCAGGGAGGCAAGATGGGCTGGGCAGACCGCAAGACTGGAGCGTCCCCACCAAGCACTGTCTCTGGCCTCAATCTCCCACCCGTACAACAGAGCCACACCACTGGAAAGGATGGCCACCCCATCCCCTTCCTGGGGTGCAGCCAGCAGCCAGCCTGGGATGTGGCTGCTGCTTATTGTTTTCTTCCCTAGTTATCAAACTGTTATCTAGTTACAGTGTGAAGAAGGAAGGACAGGCACTTAGGACCCCAGGTGGGAGGCAAACCCCCTTTTTCTACCCTGGAAAATAACCCCAGCCGTCCTGGGGCTACACTGATTAAGAAACGGGATCAAGGCCCAGGGATCCTTCCTTTTCGCATCCACCCCCACTACCAGTGCTCTGTGGCTGTAGGGACATGGAGCACTGAGGTCTCTCCCCGACCAGCCAGCCCAGGGTGCGGCTGTGGACCTGGGCTCAGGGCGCTAATAACTGAAAGCAGGGCTGTGGCTGCGGCTCCAGGCCCAGCCTTATCAGCTTTGGGCCAGGTTCCTGAATGGTAGCTGCCCCCCACCCTTTTGTGTTGAGAGTTGGAGTGTTAGGAAGAAGGTAGGCAGAAAAAGAAGGGCGGTTATTTTACCAGTTTTTAAAAAGTTACAGGAAGGTTAACTGAGTAAAAAAAAAAAAATCTTAAAGATCAAACAGAGGGTGTGCTTCCCACTCAACCCCCTTCCCTTCTAAAGAGCGAGGAGCACGTGAAGGGTAGAGAGAACACTCAGTTGATGGTGCAGGACTGAAAGGCACCCCCCTTGCGACTGCCATGTGTGGGCACAGGTTTCCCCTTCCCATAGTAGCCCGTGAAGATGGCCCTGACCTTCATCTTCTTAGCCAGGTTCAGCAGCCAGCGCCCACTGCCCAAGGAGAAGAGCTTGCCCCGGGTCAGCTCACCCACCTCCTCGGCTCGGCTGCCCCCCCGCTCCTGCCGCACAATCTCCAGGAGGTCGATGCCTGTCTGCACCGCCTCCACTTCATCCGCGCAGCCGAGGGTGATGTGGGCACGGCTGCCCCGGGGCAGGCTGTCCGAGGGAGACAGCTTGTCCACGTCGTTTGGCCACAGCTGCAGCTCCTGCTCACTGAGCTCCACCTGGGCTCCCGTCGTCTTGGGCGTGACAAAGAGGGCAGAGATGGTCAGCGTGAAGGCCTTGCAGTAAGACTTCTTCACCACCTGCAGAGAGTGACAATGAGGACCACGCTAGAGGCGGTGGCCTCCAGAGAGGACAGCCGCAAAGGCTGGGGCTAACAGGTGAGCACAGCCAAGCAGCGCCCTTTGGTAACGGCACCTCACCCACAGACATCCACAGCACACAGTTTATGTAGTGTTGGGGGTGTCTTTCCACGGACTCTTGGCTGATGTGGAAAAAACCAAGGTGGCAGAGGGGTGAGGGTTCAGAGCAGGTTTCCTGGGTTCAGAATCTCTCCCCCCTCACTGGCTGCAGGGCAGAGAGCCAGCTGCCGAACCTACCCACGTTGGCTTATTCACCTGTGAAACAGAAGGGGCACTACAGCCGGCCCTGTGGGAGGGTTACGGGGGTGACTGGGTGAAGGGCTTAGAATGGCGTTGGGCACGTAACTGCTACTGTCGTCACTACTCAGCTCCCCCTGGTAATAGGCACCCTGGTGGCCAGGCCATATCCTGGGAGGACAGGGAAAGTCGAGAAATAAAGGCCTTTGAGCAAAATCTCTGTACACCTTGGCTTACACCTGACTGCACATCTGGTTATACCTGGTTCTCTTGAGAAAGCCCATCTCTTCCATCTGACCATACACAATTCTATTTTTGCTCACAATCCTTGGTTTTAACTGTCTAGCATATAAAAGATGCTTAACACACATCGCTAAATGGATGAGCGGTTAGAGATGGTAGTGGAAAGTGTTACGCACTTACGCAGCTATGATAAGTGCTAGGAATACAGGGCTGAACCAAAATTAAAAATGCTCCGCCCTCAGGGAGCTTCCATGAGTAGGAAACCACTGACCACACGGGCAAATGGCTGCGTTAACCTTGCCAGAGAGGTGGGAGGAGGATCGAGGAAGGCCTTGTGCTGGAGAAGCGACCGGAAGGAGGCTAGAGGCAGCCTCGTACACCCAGGCATCCCGGTGCTCCCACGAGCTCACCATGGCAGGGACTGTGCGCGAGAACTGCAGCTGCGAGGTGAGGAAGGGGTCCCCTAAGCCAATAAGCCTCACTACTCCTTGTCACTCCCTACTCTGGGGGGCAAGGCCAGTCCTCATACCTGCGGGCAGAAGCCTCAGGGCCTGTGGGACTGAACGTAGGCTTACTGGGGCCGGAGCTGGAGCCTGCCCCCAACCAGCACGCGCCATGAACCTACAGGAGAGCAAGCACTGGTGGGCAAGCCTGAGAACTCCCGTGAAGGCTGGCGGCACCGCGGGCGGGGCCCCAGAGTGGACGCCGGAGGTGTGTGCAGCTGAGCTGTCCATGGGGGGAGAACTGGAGCAGGAGATGCCATTTTTCTTGAGCTGCCATCTGGTTTCTGGACCCTGCCTTACGCCACCGCCCACCTCCAGATGCCTGCCCCTTCCCCACCTCCGCCGGTGTCCCTGGGGAGCACTCACGTCCTGCTGGGCATACTCCTCTGCCCCAGCAGCCTTCCCATAGTCGCAGAACTTGGTCGTGCAGTGCAGCATGCCCGGGGGTCTCTTCCCAAAGTAGGTGACCAGGTCAATCTTCTCCCTGGGCTCATCCGCAGAGACAACTGCAGAGTGGGAGAGAGGCGCTGTCAGGGCAAAGCAGGAGCACCCCAACACCTACTGCCAAGAGCACTGAGGCCGAGTAAAAAAATCCAACAGCATAATTCTGGAGCAGTCCACTGTAATTCATTTATTCATTAGTTGATCAAACAAATAGCAACTCCAGAGCTATAAAAAGATGCTTAAATTCCCTGGTATTTTACGTTCTGCAGATTTTTACATCTCTTCCCCAGACCTGAACACTAAAGCCCTTGTAACCCAGAGGTGGGCAACGTAAGCCAAAGGAATGCGATTCACCGGCATCATACCCACAAGGCAGGACCCACCGGACATGAAAAGTGGGGGAGAAAGAAAAAAAGATGGTCAGGAACTATGTGATAACAAATGGGAGGAGCCAGGAGGAGCATAATTAACATCCCAGCCCACTTAAAAGCCATCTGACAGGGGCCAAGTGATTGACCCTTACCTGTCAATGGAGTCCAACAATCAGGGTGACCGTACACCCCAGGTTTCCCACAATCACCCAGGTAACTATTAATAGCACCTATTTCACTCAGTGGGAGGATTACCTGGTCGCCATACTATGTCGTGTACCTCACAGTCTTGCCTAACGTGTGAGGGCCTATACTAGGCCTGGGATATCCTGCGTCTGGGGATGTAATGGGCTGACACTATGTGGCTGGTAGACAGGAGAAGGTTTGCAGTATCTGTGATTTCAACTTCCAGACTCCCGGCCTTGGGGCTAGCTTAGAAGTCACTAGGTTTTTGCCTGTTCATCCCCAGAATCAAGTACCCGCAAGGACGTCACTCACTTCCACGGAGGGGGCCTCTACTCCGAGAGCAGATCATCCTCTGGGCCTGGCATGTTTTTCTCCTGCTGTATCCCATGTGCAAGGGGCTTCCCGTTCATAAGGGTAAAAAGCTGCCTCAGAGGCAGTCGCTGTCTAGGGCAGAGCCACCAGCTGTACCCAGGAGCCCTACCAGCTGTGCCTTTCTCAAGCCATTCGCAGGTTCAGGGCTCGAACCAGGCCAGTGTCGCTGCAGGCTCCGCCATCCCCTGGTTGCCCGGCATCCAAGCTAAGGAGCCGAGTCTGAGAACCCAGGCACAAATTACCGGCCTCCGAGCAACACAGATACGGTGGGTGGGTGGCAGGGGGCATTTCGAATATGAAGATAACCTAAAAATCTGGGGGAGCTAGAGTGGATTCAAGAAACAGATGGATTAGTGGGTGACATATCCCCAACAGGCCACTGGAGAAGGCGGGCCGCTAGGGCCTTTCCTTACCCAAACCCACCCCATCGCTGGGCCAACTGCCCTCGCCCGGAGAGAGCCCTGGGGAGGCTCCGGCAGGAGTCGCCAGAGCCAGGTCCCCACTAGGGCTTTGGCCAAATCCCACAGCCCATCTGGGCCCGTTTTCCCAGCTGCAAAGTGAGGGTGTTTGGACTGGGCAGGGGGCTGTTCTTTGAAACATGGGATGCCGCAGGGGCTGCGCTGGGTGGCCCGAGGCCTGGGAACCATCCCCAGTGAAGTCACGATAGTCCTAGTTACAATGCTTTTGCAGCACAGGATTCCACGGAACGTTTTATTTTAGAAAAAAATGGTTCTGTTGCTAAAAATGAGTTTGAAAACATTGGGCCGGATTCTTCCTCCAAGGTTATATGAAATGCTGACACGTTTTCTGGTATGACAGTAATTTTGTCCGTCCCCCCCCCCCAAGACAAGGGTCAGTGGTCCGGATTCCCCCCGAAGAGGGGAACTGGGGAGAAGGGTGAAGCGGGAGGGAAGCACCTCTCCCCATTATGCCACTGTGCTCCCACTACCCAAGGCTACCTCTCCCTGGTGGTAGGTGAGCCTCCGCCCGCATCCCCACTCGCCCCCAGTGCGCTGCGCACACCGTGGTCCTGTGCAAGCAGCACCTTGTACAAATATGAGGCTAACCCCCCATCCTGCCCACCCCGCCACCTACAGTGCCTCAGCTCCTTCTTGAAAGCCTTGTGGCTCCCCAACTCATCCAAGAAGGTCTGGCCAGCTTTTCGGAGGCTCTCAGAACTCTTCTTGCTCAGGAACCAGCCAAAGTAGAGTGGCAGGAAGTCCTTCTCCAGCGCCGGCTTCAGCTTCTTCAGCTCGTCAACCGACAGCGGCCAATGGCTCTTCTCCTTGAGTTGGGCACAGTCCAGCCGCCATGGCGTCTTGGGCTCCACCAGTACCACCTGGTACTGGTACTGGTCGGCTATATCAAAGAGCTGCTCCAGCCGCTCCCGCTCATGGTTGGTGTCATCCAGCACAAGGATTCGGACGTCCCGGCGGCAGCAGTCAACCAGATCCTTGTCCAACCGCTTGTACGCCTCGGAGAAGCCTCCCTGAGCGGGGGTGATCTTGTAAGTGTCAGCAGATACCATCTTGGTGCTGTCACGGTACCTGTCCATGATGACCTGGGCCAGAGCAGACTTGCCACTCCCGGGCAGGCCGCGAAGGATGAAGAACGTCTTGCACTCTTGCAGCGTGCTCACTGTCTCCTCATCCTGCAGGAAGGGAAACTGCAGCTCAGGCTTGTCCTTGGCCCCTAAGGAAGACATCTTGCGGAAGAAGATCTTGGGCAGGAACGTATGGCTCTTTCGAGAGAAGCCTCTATTCTGTGTGAGGAGAGGAAGCACAGATGTCAGTCGGGTCACTGGTGGCTACCTTGCTCGCTTGTCTCTGGCCTCATTCTCACCAGGAACCCTTCCCTGCTTGGAGCTCTGCAGCCCTGATTTACAGGTACCCTGCAGGTAGTGGACTTGCTCTCTCTCTTCTGTACCAACCACTTCCGGTTGTGGAGGATGAAGAGCACGCTTGTCTGAGTTTTCCTAGACTCTTAACTTGCTTCTAGTCAGAGCTGTAGACTCAAGAGTTGCCCACAGCTGCCTCCGCTAAAGGAATATGTGCTGGAAGTGCGTGCAGGGAGGGCCTGAGGCAGTGGTTCTAGAGTGGACCCCCTAACTGTTGTATTCTCCACATCTACTGAGGATGACCTCTTTGGGGGCAAGCGCCTTATGTCTGGGCACAGCCACAGCTGCCCTCGCTCTGAGCGTGCAGAGGAGGCTGTGGGTGAAAAAGGGTTACCCAAAGACTGCCTCCCTTCCCCCAACAATGGTAGCAACAGATAATACTCTCTTGTCCTGGATGGGGGGGACAATGGTCCCACAGAAGGACTGGTGGGGGGCAGGGCAGGAGAGCACTGAACAAAGGGCCTCATTCACTGGCGCGTGCCACCTCCTCCTCTGCTCTCGCCACCGGCCTCTCGCCGCCCCCCTCCGCCCCCCCAGCCTCAGTCCTGGTCTTTGTGCCTGCACAGGACTGGGCAGTACGGGCACCTGCCTTCAGGGTATAAGCTCTACCCACCATGCTGCTGCATGTCACAGCACCTCTCTCAGCCACTTGTTTTCCTGCCAGCTAAAAGCCAAGTGACAACAGTTTTTACTGTAAACTGCCTTCTCTACACTAGCTCCGCCTCCCGCCAGCAGCCTGAGCTGAGCTGGCCCACTGGGTTCCCAGACGAGGCCCCAGGCAGAGGAGACGAGGGAGGGGGGCGCACGCCATTCGGTCGGCAGCCCCTGGGATCCCTTTCTTTTCCAGTGGCCGCCCCCCATCCCACTGTCCCCACCTTGTCTCGATTCTCTCCCACCTCAAAGATGCACTGGACTGCCAAGAGAGTCTCAACACAAGCCAGGAACCTTATTTCCTGGTATTATTTGCATGCCACTTCCTCCCGAAAATGCCCCAACACTCCCGTTCTCCGTTAGGGCGCTATCCCGTGCCAGGCCCGCTCCTCGCCTCCCGGCCTTTCCACGCATGCTCACCATGATATCAGGGGACGGGGCGCCGCCGCCGCCTTCGCAGGCACTAGCTCTCCGGGGCCGCCCGCCTGCGCGGAGGGACACGGAGCCCAGCGATGGCGGGACCCCGTGCCGAGCAGCCTTTCATAGCCTGGGGGGGCGGAGCACTCTCGGGCTGGCCCGGCGCCTTCTATCCTGCGCAGGCGCAGCAAATCGAAACTGACCAGGCGCGAGGTGGGCGGGTGGAGTCGGGGGAGTATCAGCGCTCGGGAGTGAACACCTGCGGAGCACCTGGGACCAGCCGGCAGGGCAGCAGCAAGGGGTGTGGGGTAGGGGGTTCTCCGGCCTCTTAGTTTTTGGGTTAATAATGAACTCTTTAAAGAGGAAAGCAGTCACCCTTGCCCTGTCCCTCCCCAAGGGGAAAGAAAAGAAAGCAGTGTCTTGCAAATGCAAGGTCATATCCTATCTTTATATTAAAATTTCGATACTTTATTCATCATGGGTTTTTGCAATTTTTTTTTTTTTACAATATTGCATTAAAATACTGTTTATCTTGCTTACTGAGTTGGTGCCCCTGAAATGCCTCACTTGCCTCACCCTAGTCCAGGCCCTGCCCCAACCTAAATTCAGCCTCAGCTCAACCCTGCTGGGAATTGTGGGGACAGAACCAGGATGGTAGTGGCCAAAGGGACAGATAAATAACCTTAGTGAAATTCTAATTCATCCTCTGAGGCAGCTGCTCAGCCGCCACTTCCTCTGTGAAGCCACTGAAGGCTTGGGTGGATTTTGGAGAATGGGTCTGTGCACCAAGGGCTGTGCTAAGGGCTCATAAAGCGCACACAGCAACCCCTGAGCGGGGCGCCCTTCCTACAGAGGAGGGGGCAAGAGGCTTGGGAGCCTGCCTGACTGGGCTGTATGGGCAGAGGTCGCACACTTGCGCTTGGACCGGCCCTGTTCCTACTCTCAGGCTACTTTCTGTCCTTGGGCAGGAACCTTTTTCTCCCTCTGGGCCCCCAAGGGACAGTCCCCTATGAATGCCAGCATTCACTTCCTTCTGCTTTCAGGGCCAACGGTTTACAAGGAGGTCTCCCTCACCAAGTGATGGTTCATTATTTCTTCCGGAGAGCCTCCCACAGTGCGCTGCACAAAGTAGGTGCGCAGCAAGGTGGGCCAATGGTAGGCAGCTGGGCGGACGGGACATACCTCTACTCCCAGTCCTTTCTCTTTCCTCCTCCGCCCCCATTAAGCTGTCCTCGTTCTTGGAGCTTACCTGTTTCTCCCCCTCCTGAAACTCTTCTTAGCACCTTTCTTTTTCTACCATGTGGTTCCTCCATAAGGGCCTGGGGAGAGGACCATGCTTCGCACCTTGATCGCACTCTAGGGAGGGCCTTGTTTGGGGGCCTCTGTATTTCTCACCAGCCCGGGGGGAAGTCAGAGTTCATGGGAAGTGGTACCCCATGCTGTCATTCATTCCCTAAGGCTCTTCTGAGAACGGGTGGGGGTGAGGAGGAAAAATGATAGACTCGGCATTTGTAAGAGTGAAGGATATATATTTAAAGGGAAAACAGTATCAGAAGGAGGGAGAGGTGACCCTAGGGCCCAGGACACACGTTTCCTAGAAAGAAAATCTCAAAAGTCTAGTTTAATAAGATCCCCCATGGTCCCTGTGAACACCAGCCTCCTGATCCTAATGCCTACTCATAATTCCTTCATTCATCTTTCTTTTCATCTTTTTCCATTTTCTTCAGCATTTTCTGTTTTCATTTCTTCTATTTCTCCCAATTCCATTTCCCCCAGTTCTTCCAACTCCCTTCTGCCAGCTTCTGAAAGCCTCTCCTCTTGTCCTTCCAATTCCCTTTTGATTAAGTCTTCTGAGAGTTTTTGATCCAGATTTGAAGACCTCCTGTAAATTTCCCTTGATTCCCTTCTGCTCACTTCTGGTACTTCCCTGCCTGCTTCTCCTGATCTTATGCCTAGTTCTCCGGACAGTTTCTTGGCAACATCTTCCGAATCTCTCCCCATGGCTCCCAGTTCTTTTCCCCTTGAGGAGCTGGCTCTTCCTATCTCTCTCTGCCTGTCTTCTTCTTGTCCAGGCACTGTGACGGTCAGAGTGTCTTCGTAAGACGATTCATCTTCTGTATCTTTCTCACGGTCAGCTTGCTCTCTGTCCCACTGCTTCATCACCTTCTCAGGTTCGTCTCTCCCTCTTCTCGTTGTTTCCTTCTCCTTTGCCATCCTTGATGTATTATCCAACACAGCATCCTCTACTGAAAAACAAGAGGAAGGAGGAAAAAGAGGTAAAAGTTCGTCCCTCTCTGGGCCCTGGTGCCCCACCCTGGGGGCCTGTGCTTGTAAGAGAAGCACTCCTTCCCAGAAGGAGAGAAGGGGGCTCATGCATTACTGAGCACCAGCCCTGTTCCAGGCATCACGTGAGCCCCACAGATACACCGTTCAATCGTAAGTGCATAGTGTCATGAAAGCGTATACTGTCATTGATTGGAGTTTGCAGTCAACCCACAGCACATTGTCTTTCCCTACAAGAAACAGCATAGGTGCTGGGAAAGGAGAGAGGGCTCTTTTCTCCAACAGCCTCATTCTGCATTTCTCTTTGTCCCTTGGACGCACATTTCATCTTTGGGTGGGAGGTTCCCTGTAAAAATAGGAGCAAACTGCTAGCAGTAAGTTCAGCTGGAGAGCTATTTTACAACCAGAGGGGTCCTTGCTCCTTGTTTTCACCAGCTACAGAGAAAAGCCACCAATCTCCTCCTGCGACGCCCCCACATTCTCTTCCTGGAAGCCCCTGGTCTCTAAGGTGCCTCCTGGGGCTCTGCGTCCACTGCCAGAAAAAGGCTGCCGTTTGGTGGTGAAGATTATGCAATGCTGCCACCTGCTGTTCTGCTGGGGGGAAGTGCCGGCAGCTGCCCCCGGCTGCAGGGCATTCCCGAGGAGGAGTTTTCGGGAGGACACCTTCCCCAACACAGGACCAGCCAAGATTGGCGAGGGCCTGTGAGGGAGGATGCCATTTCCCAGCTGTGTCCCTTCACACCTGTTGCTTCTGTGGCTTTTGACAGCAGCTCCCAGGTCATGTGGGGCAGAGGAAGAGCGGCCCTTTTGAGGGGATCCAGCCACCACAGGACAGGTGCTTGTTCATAAAGGGCTGCCCAGGTACCCACAGACTCCACACCCAGATTCCCACTACCATGCCCGGGTGAGAGAGGGCTTTGGCCTTGGTGCCTGGAGGCAGCTCTGTCCTCTCGGCTGCGGGGTAACTGTGATATGGCAAGAGCACCACAGAAGGGCAGACAGAGGCTGTCTTGTCACCAGGAACAGTGTGGGACCGCGGAAAAGCCCTGGGCTCGAGAGCCAGGCTGCCCCAGAGAGAAAACCACTGTGGGACTCGGCCCCTCTGCCTCTGTGCCACCCATGAAATCAAGTGAATAATAGTACTTATTTCACAGCGTTCTAGTGGGCTCAGGTGAGTCGGGACATAGCGGATAAAGTCCCGAGAAGAGTGCCTGGCACGTTGGAAGCACTGAATGGAGAATAACTTCTCTCATCGCTCATCCCCTCTGGGGTCCGTCCCTAATGACTCGGTGGGGCTTGGGGTCCTGTGGTCCTGCCACCTCCTCTTCCCTCACTTCCTTCAGAGGGCCTGGAGCCAGGGAGTCCAAGGCCTCTTTGCTCCCTGAGGCCTTGGGAGAAAGACTGTGGTAAGGCAGCTCCGTCTCTGCACCTCAGCCCACCCTCATGCCCACTGTCCCCTACCCCCACCCCTTCTCTACCCCTGCTGGCCCCAAAGAGCAGTGCCACACGCAGGGTTCAGCGTGGCTCTAACCAGACCACTGTGTGGCCCAGGCAGTTCAATCAGCTTCATTCAGCCTCCTCCGCCCCCCAAGGAGTAACTACCTTCTAGGGTGGTGAGGACTGAACAAGATGCTTAACCCAGTGCCTGGCACACAGGAAGAGCCCCAAAAGTATAAGTTACTGTCACCCCGCCTCTGTCTTGGCTCCTGCCATTCCCTGCCAGAAATGCCCTCTCTCTTCCATCTGGCACCTGGAAGAGCCTGGGGCACCGTGCGGAGCCTCAGAAGGAAGACCCTCCCCCTTTGGAGCCTTCCCAGTCTCCCCAAGGGAGACTGGGCGCTTTGCCTGAGCTGACGCAGAGGTCTCCCAGTTCAGTGCCCACTGCAGGAGCCCGCTGCGGGGCGACTCTCATCGCCTGACTTTCCCAGTGAGTGGGCTGTGGGCCACTCTGTGGCGGGGGGCTGAGCCTTTGTCTCCCCCGCATCTCACACCTCCCTGGCACTTAGTAAGTGCTCAGCTGATACTTGGTGAATTAATTGAAGAACTAGAGGGGTGGGTTCTCTGGGCAGACCCCAGCCCGAGGTGGGCTGGATCGCCCCCTTCTTCTGCCCCGGGGAAAGGCTGGGGCTGCTGCTGGCCATGAAATCAGGATGCTTGGTAGACGGTGCTGAGCCCTGGGACTGGAGAAACTCCTGGAAGCTGCGGCTGGGACTGACAGAAGGGAATGCAGAGGGGAAATTCTGAAGCTGCAGTCTCAGTGGCTCCAGGAACTCACCTTTCTCTTCCTTTTCTTTGAACAAATCCCTGTAGTTCGTTTTCTTCAGCTCATCGATGATGCCCTTGTTGGCATCGTCCAAAGCCTGTGGGTGAAAATAAACATAGACTAAAACAAACAAACGAACAAACAGTCTGTGGATAATAGAGGAGCCAGTAAACTCTCATAACCCTTATTTGGCACCTATACTTCCCCTTTCACCCAAGTCCCTACCCAGGAGGCAGGACACTGCACTACCCCACCCTCTCGTTTGCTCCTGGCCCCTCTGAAGGCTCCTGCCCCAGGTTAGTTGATATGCAGGAAACTGGAAGTACCCAGGCTAAGCGGTAGGAGGTACATGACTGCAGGGAACTCAGACCCCATTTCCCTAGGGCTTAGGCATGTACTTGGGAGGTGTGTGTATCTCCTGATGTCCGCCTTTTTTTTACCTAAGGTTTTCAGCCAATGCAAAGACTCAGTGCAAGTCCCTAATCCCGCAGCAGGGCAGCGAGCCGCGGAAGGAACTCAGAAACACGCTGCAGGGTGGGCCTGGGGCTGGCCTGCCCACTGAGGGGCTTCCGGAGTGGCTGCAGGGTGCCTGGGGGCCTGGAACTCAACCTGTGCACGTTTTGAGGGTGGGCTCTGCCTTCTTCCTCGTGACTTGCATGGGCGGAGCGCCCGTGGGGCCTCGGGACCGCCTGCTGGACAACCCCGGACGCTCTTGTTTAACGCTGGTCTGCACCCCCATACGCCTTGCTGCCTGGAGGTGCCAGTCTAGGTGGGTAAAAGCTTAGGGACCTGGTCCGGTGAGGAGTCACGTAGGGCCCTGGGGCTGTCAGGCACCGCAGTCACTGCCTTCTCTCTGCCTTTCAACCTTTCGAAACCCTGCCCAGCGATCCAGGGGACCGCAGACTCGAGGGCACGGGAAAGCCCCGCCCTGCCTGCCTGCTGGGGCGCTCTCACTCCGGTCCCCCGACCCCTAGGGCACCGGTCATGAACGAGGGGTTTTTGTTAGAACTTTCCTGACACCAAGCTTCTTGAGGGCCAGGGCCATGGTTGTTACCTTTGGACTGGACATTCCAGGCCAATTCGTGGTCAGCAAATACTTGCTGAGTTTGACCGCCATGATCTCTCCAATACTTGCAGAGTGATCGTGCAAGATTCACGGGAGAGACCTTGCATGTGAAAGAGGAGCGCTCCGCCTCTGGAGGCCGGATCTAAATGCAAGGTGCGCCGGCTGGGGGCACCCCTTCTGAGAAAGAGGACGAGGGGACGAGGGGACAGGCCTACATTGCCCTGGGCCAGGTGAAAGCAGGGCACAGACTGCCGCGTGGTGGGGTCCCTGTGAGAGCGATTCCTCCACCGTGACAGGGGAAGAGTGGTTTCACTGTGGTCCTCACAAACCGCGACCTCTCCCCCTAAAAATCTGAGTGTAGGTGACTTTTTTGCTGTTCCTAGACCTGCAGGTCCTGGCTGGCCCACCAGTTGCCTGGGGATCTTTGCCCCGACTCCGTCTGCCCTCTTGACCCAGCCCCTGGAGCCAGGCTAGGGTCTCCTTTTCTGCCTCTCACGGATGCCTCAGCACTCACGGCCTCCCATGGCTTCAGCCAGGCCAGACCCGGCGGTCCTCGTCCTTCGAAACCAGAATGAGGGCGCCTCCACTGCTGGCCGGCAGCACGAGGGAGGTGGCCCGAGGATTCACGCTAAGCTGCCTGGGCATCTGCAAGGCCAGCACGCTGCCCTGCGGAGGTCGCCCGTCTGCCTGCAGGGGCTCTCACCTGTGGTCTCCTGCCCCCTGAAGCTGACAGCCTAGGCCAGCCCCGTCCCACGGAAACCTCTGCAACCACGGGACCACTCGGGAGCTGCACGATGTGGCGCCACAGCCACGTGTGGCTACCGAGCTCTCGCAAGGTGGCCAGTGTGACTCAGGAACTGAATTTTAAAGGTTATTCACTTTTAATTCATTTTCATTTAAGTGGCCACACGTGGCCAGCGGCTGCCTTATGGAACAGTGAGGTCTCCCGGAGGGGGCAGCGTTTTTGAAACTGCAAAACCTAAATCAGCTTAGAAGGTCTGCATCGGCATTAAATAAAAGAAAATGAAAAATTAAATAGAATAGGAAATATCAGGGTCCAGAGTAAAGATAAATATGGTTTGTAAAATTTTCTAATTTTTTTTTATTTCAAATAAAAATCCGTGTATGGAGTTGCTCAATAAACTGGTAGGAGTGGCCAACATCTGAAAGGTACAGCCCTACCCGCGCTGCGCCCTGCGTTGTGGGGAGCCAACCTTTGTGGCAGGGCCCACAGTGGGGACGGAGGGCCCGGGGCTGCCCACCCCACGCCCCGTGGCCTGCCCAGCGGGGAGGAGGCTCACGCTGATGATGGCCTGCTGTGCCTCATTGTTGTGGAGAAGCTTCGCTCTCTCCAGGGCCTTCTCAAAGTTGTTCACGGCGGACTCGAAGTCCCTCAGCTTCACTGGAGAACAGAGGGGAGGCACAGCACAGGTAAGTGGTGGCGCTGGGTGCTGCGTGGCGCGGCTGCCCTTGCAGGTGCCGGGCCCCCTCAGGAGCCCCTGGCCCACCCGCCCCCGGGGCGCATGGCCCTGGGTGAGCTGGAGTCAGCCCCAGGCCTCGGGCAGCGGCACAGAGGTGCCCGGGGCCACCCTTCGCTTTATCTTCCCAGGCCATCTCCCCAGGAGGGACAGGATCCGGGCACCTGAGTCATTCAAAAGGGTAAGTGAGGGAAGGGGGCCTGTGTATGGATCATGTGTCTCTAGGACGGGGGCAGGGACAGCTCAGTCTTGCTCTCTATTCAGATTGTTGCAAAGAGGAAATCTATATTTTAAAAATGTTTGCTCAGATTTCTTAAAGAACTCTCTGGAGACCAAACAAAACATCGAAGGGTTGGATGTGACTCCTGGGCCAGCAGCTGGAACCCGAGCTCTTGGGGCCCAGCTTGCCCAGCGGTGCCATCTGAACTCAGGGAGGGGGCCCCTCCCTTTCAGAGCTCGCCCACGCCGCCGGTTAGTGCTGGAGCTGGGGCTGGGACGGCTGACTGCCCTGTAAGAGAGCTTCTGTTCAGGAAGGAAGGAGAGAAGTACTCACCCGTCAAGGTGTGGGGACCCCATATTCTAGCTTCTTCACATACTACTGCTTTCTTGTATAACTGAATACGTGATCCAGGGCATATGCGCCAGTTCCCGCTCTCAGTGCTTACATGCTCAAGTATTGCTTTATCTCTTTATACCAACCCCTACAGGTAGATACCATAATTACCCGTATTTACAGAGGATGAAACCAAGGCACAGAGTGGCCCTTGCATAGGTCTCTGGGCCAGAAGGGTCCGGAGCCCAAGGCCTGCCCCATAAGCTGTGCCGCCTCTAGAACCCAGTGGCTCCCAGCTGCTGCACGTGATGTTTTAAACTCCAGAACATGGAAACTGAGACCAGCAGCAAGGGGCCTGGTTCTCCAGAGGCCCTTAGGACCCAATAAATCTTGAAGAGTGGACTCAGGATAATGTCCACCCTGAGGGCTACATCCCATCTCCCCTTCAGCTAATACAATGCCCTCCTAAGAACAGAAAAACAGTTCTAGGAAAAGCCACAGTAATCGTGTCTGTGATTTACATTTAAAGCTGTCAGTGGCTTTCTCTACAGGTTTGGGAAAGAAGCTACGATTTGTAACTAGGCCCGTGAGGCCCTGTGAACCTGGCCCCTCACCAACCTCCTTCCCGCAAACCTCCTGGGCCCCCGGGAGCTCCAGCTAACATTAGTCTCCTTCGGCTATAAAATCAGCCCAATTCCTGTACCCCTTCCTAAGAGCTGTTCCCTCGGCTCTTGAAACAGCTGGTGCCTTCTCATCCTTAAAGTTTCTCCTTAAAAGTTACCTCTTCAGCCCTGACCCGTGTGGCTCAATTGGTTGGGCATCATCCTGCAAAGCGAAAGGTCGCTGGTTCCATTCCCTGTCAGGGCACATGCCTGGGTTTCAGGCCAGGTTCCCCAGTAGGGGGCAGGTGACAGGCAACCACACATTGATGTTTCCCTCTCTTTCTCCCTCCCTTCCCTCTCTCTAAAAATAAATAAATAAAATCTTTTTTAAAAGGTTACCTTTTCAGACAAGAGGGCAGGAAGTTGTTATTGGTAAGGTACCAAGTATTTGAGGTATGAAGAAATGAATGAATGATAATGCCCCTGATATAGCACTGGTCCCATTTCCTGCCTTACTGGGAGTCAGCTGTGCACCTGGAACAGGAGGAGCAGCTTAGCACAGCTTAACAAAGCCCGAGATTTGGGGTTGGATAGAACTGGGTTCTAGTCCCAGCTCCACCGTCTAGTAGCTTGTGACCTGGAGCCATTTCCTTTTTAACTTCATATTGTGAAATATTTCAAAGATACACAAAAGGGAAAGGAGTAGTATAATGAACCCCAGTTATTCATCACTCACCTTCAACAATTATCAAAATATTGTCAATCTTTTTTTAGATGTTTCTCCTTATCACTTTCCCTTTGCTGCTTTTTTTTTTTTTTAAAGGTTTTATTTACTTAGAGAGAGGGGAAGGGAGGGAGAAACACATCGATTGGTTGCTTCTGCACCCTGACTGAGGCCTGAACCTCCAACCTGGGCATGTGCCCTGACTAGGAATTGAACTGGTAACTTTTCAGTTCACAGGCCGGTGCTCAATCCACTGAGCCACACCAGCCAGGACGCTTGCTGTTCTTTTAAAAAACAATTTCATTGAAATGTAATTCACATATTATAAAATGCACCCATTTCTAAGTGTGCAGCTCAATGGTTTTTAGTACATTTATTGAATTGTGCAGTAAGCACCACAGCCCAGTTTTAGAACATTCTCATCACTCCACAAAGTCCCCTTGTGTGACCTGGGGCAATCTGCCGAAACGCTCAGTGCCTCAGTTTCCGCATCTGTACAACGAGGACAGCGATGCCCACATAACTGGCTTGCACAGTGATTAAATGCAAGAGTGCTGATGTAAGGAGCACCAAGGCAAGATGAGGTGGCACTGTTTGGATGGCCACACAGTGACCCTCAAGGACAGGGGCAGCTCTCAGGGTGCCTGAAGCCCTCACTGAACTTAGCTCAGAATAGGCACCTACGCCGGTCAGAACAGAGGGGTTGCGCTGCGCTCTCAGAATCAGAACTAATATGGGCAGGGGCACACTGGGATGTCAAGTTTGGCCCACAGAATTCCCAGCCCAGGCGTGGCAGCTGGACCTGAGGGCTGGGAAAGGTAGGGTGTCCTCTCTGAGCCCATACCTTGTGCCTGTGCCACCAGAACACTGGCGTTCAGCTGCCACTCAATGTCCCCTTCTTCCTCTGCACATTGCTGGGACTTCTCGCCATAATTCTGGGCCTGCCAGGCCTGGTCCAGCTCCAGGTAGCAGCGGCCGATCTCATGGAACAGCCAGGTCTTTTCCAGAGTGGTTTTTGCCAGAGGGATCTTCTCTTCCCACCTGGGGACATGACGAACCAGGTCAGCCTCTTCCGCTCTAACGCCGTGCTTGGCCGCAGGAGGTCAAGGCCTCCGCTGAGAAGAGCTCCCCTCTACCCACCAGTTCTTTCCGATAAGGGGTGGTGCTAATGAGCCGTAACATTTTTTAAAAACGTTAAAAACTTTTTAACGTTTTTAACAACTATTTTGGAACATCTATGGGATCAAATTTGATACAACATTTGCAGTTAACGTTTACAAGTGTCATGTGAACTAACATTAAAATACTGTTCAAGAATATCCTTAAATATATACAAGAAAAAAAATGAATGCAGAAAGAAGAATGGAATGAGAACCAAAAAAATCAATTAAAAAGTTAAGAGTAGGGTTAGGGTTAGTACTTATCCTGGGGTGGTGGGATTGGATAGTTTTTCTTCTATTTTTCTGTATTTTCCAAATTAATATTTAATAATAAGCACATTTTGCTCTAAAACTTTTTATTATAAAAATACGTAAGTGAACTCTTGTACTGCTCTGTCTCCGGCACATAGACACCAGGGGCCCTTCAGGAAACCAAAGACGTGTGGCAGAGATGCACAGGTCTATTCAGTCAAGTGACAAGGGCCTGGAGGCCATTTCACTCTGTGCTAAGCGAGGGGACCAGAGCAGCTGGCTCGACCAGCCCAGGCTGGCCTCTGGGCCAGGCCTGCCCCTGGAGTCTGCCTGGGCCGAGGAGGTCACGAGCCCTGGGATTGGACATCCAAAGCCCAGCAGTTGGGCCACCTGCAGTGTTCAGACTGTCCCCACTGACCCCACATGACCGCAGAGTCACGGAAAAGTGTCAGAAGTCCCAGACTCAACCTGTCTGCCGATTCCTGAACTGCTCAGGGTAAGGGCCACCTGGAATGCTTGTTAAGGCAGATCCCTGAGCCCCGACCCAGACCAGGGGAATTGAAATTTCCAGGGAAGAGGCGAAAGAATTCACATACCTAACAGATGTTCAAGTGATCCTGGTCACTGGGACGTTCTGAGGAAATGCTGATTCTAGTCTATTCATTCATTTAGCTGTTGAGCCCCTCAGTTTACAACGTAGCTTTCCCACGGTCACCTAGCGGAGCCAGGAGCCAAACTAGGGTCTTCTTATGTCTCTTTGCCTGGCATCCTGGCCCCAGGCTGGGAGTCTGGTGTGAGGGTGGGAAGTCTGGGCCCCAAGGTGGGGAAGGGGCAGGCCGTGGTCACTCACGTGTCGATGGCCTGCTGGAATTTCCCCACACGGGCAAAAACCCTGCCAATGTTGTCAAGGGCTCTCGACTTGGCATCAGGAAGGTCACTGCGGGGAAGAGTCGTGACAAGTTGTTCACTAGCAATCAGTCATTCTAGGTACTGTGCAAGCAGAAAGGAAGTCAAAGACGGGCCCTGGCCTCGGGGACTCAGGGGCTCAGGGTCCAGTTTAAGGGACATGCCCAGGCTGCCAGGGATCACACACCCACGGGGCCTCTCAAGCCCTAAAGCCAAGAATGAACATTATTGGGACCTTTCCGGAGGGCTACCTTTGGAGTCAACGGTTTGCAAAGATGTCCCTTGGATCTATGAATTCCCCTTCTGGGAGTTTACCTCAAGCAGTGACATTAAGGCACTGTTTATGACAGTAAACACTGGAAACAATCTAAATGTTATCAGTGCCTTAGCACTGGCAATTTTTGTGTATGGAAAAACATCCCTGATAAATTAATAAGTCAGATTGTAGGACTATATCCTATGTCTTTCACACCGTTCTGAGGAAAAATAAATACGAAGGCCTGCAGCATGTTGCTGTGCTCAGGCTTTGGCAATGACGGAAGGGGCCGCGAGCCAAGGAGTGCAACGAGCCAGTTCCAGAAGTTGGAAGAGGCAAGGAATCAGTCCCCCTGGAGGCTCTAAGTAGAGTGAGGCCCTACCAACACCTTGATTTTCGCCTATCAAACTGCCATTATATCTATAACGTTTAGGCCCTGCCAGGGCCCAGAAGTGGGCATTTTTAAAAGTAGAGAGAATGTAAGTCTAACTATTGATAGTGATTACCTAAGGGAAATGAGAATATGAGGGAAACTTTTTATTTATCCATATTATTGCCCTGGCTGGTGTGGCTCAGTAGATTAAGCACCAGCTGGCAAATGAAAAGGTCACAGGTTCAATTCCCAGTCAGGGCACGTGCTTGGGTTGTGGACCAGGTGCCCAGTTGGGGGCGTGTGAGAAGCAAATGATCGGTGTATCTCTTACACATTGATGTTTCTCTCCCCCTCTTTTTCCCCTCCCTTCCCCGTCTCTAAAAGTAAATAAATAAAATCTTTTAAAAAAACTTATCCATATTATTTAACTTTTTACAGTATTCATGTATCATCAGGAAAGAGAGTTAGACATTTCCATAAGGAAAAAGACAATTGCACCCCCACCTCAGCTGTTTACCATGACCACATGCACAGCCTGAGCTCTCTGTTCAAAGGTACCTCCTTCCTAACAAATGACACAGGAAGGCCTCGCCCAGCCCCAGGCCCTTCCCCCAGCATTCCCCGTGCACCCTCGCCCTGTCTGGGCCTCTGCGCCCCTCCAGCTCCTGCAGCCCAGGTGGCTCCCATGTCTTCCGTGACGCTCTCCCATCTATCCAGTCCTCCCCCTGTGGCCAGCCTGCCTTTCTCAAATGCAAACCTGAGCAAGACATTCACCTGCACGCCTATCTGGGGGAGTTCCCTGCGGAGACGGGGCAGCCCAAATGCCCACAGAGGGGCGGTTACACAAATGGCTGCGCGAGCTGAGGGGCCATTCAAAGAATGGCACCCTCCCCAAGACGCACTTAAAAAACAAAAACAGAAATGAGTTGCTTTTGCTTTAAAAATCCCATGTAGGCATAGAGGTACCTAAATATGTAGGTAAATGCATTAAAAAGGGGCCAGAAGGACACATGTCAACTTGTTCGCAGTGAAGTGAGGGGGGGGCGGGGAAGAGAGGGAGACTGCCAGGTTTTGCTCTCAGCACCACAGGGCTGGGAACCAAGTACAACACTGCAGTGCTTGTGTGGAATCAGACTCACCCGCCTTTAGTCCCTTCAGACTAAGGTCTTTCCTGCTCAGCCTGGCTTCCAGTCCTCCCACTCCCCACGGGTCCTGGCCCCCAGCCCGGCGCACTACCTGCAGTTCCCCAAATCCTCCAGCTCTGCCACATCCCTCTGCTCGAGGGGCCCTTCTCCCTGTTTGCCGCCCCTTGCTGACACCCCTGATCTCTCCGAGGCCTCCTTGGCTCCCAGGAGGGCTCCCTGCTGCCTCTCTCCTTGGACCCTTGACCATGCTTTGCTCCTGCCGCTCCCACACCGCCTCCGATGTCAGCCTCCCCTTGGAAGGTGGGGGCTCTGTTACGGTGCAATGAATGAGTAAGTTGTAATACAGGAATTTATTCATAACAATAATGTCATATGTAATAGTAATGAGAAAGCATGCGATCAAATCATCTATAGAGTATTCAAAGAAAGAAATGAGGGCTGGGGTCATTGAAGAAACTACTTACACAAGTTGGGATCTGAGTGGCACCTGGAAAGATGCCAGGTTTTTCAGGGGAGGGGGCAGAGAGGGTGGGGTGCGGCTGCCGAAAACAAGGGAGAAGCTGGCGCACCAGAACGCACAAGGAAGACTGGAGGCCCGTTTGTGGATGTCGTAAAGGAACTAACTCTGGGGAATGCCTCTGTTTGTTTAGCCATTCAGCATACGTTTATTGCGTGCCCATTTGTGGCAGGTGCTGGGGAGAGAGAGGGAATGTGAGATAGTCTTATCCAGAGTCCAGAGTCTAGTGGGGCAGACAGGATAGCATGAGTGTGGAGAGAGAGCAAGCGGAGGGATTTCTAAATCATCCTTGGGGCTCATGGAAACCCTTCCAGAAGGAAGATACTTATTTAAATGTTGAAGAATGGGTAGAAGGGAGAGGATGAAGAAAGGGCTGGCCAAAGAGGAGGTGCCCTTCAGGGACGAGCAGGAGCAGCGCCACAGGCTGCTGGTGGGGCACAGTGTGCAGGGCCCTGGAGAGAGCCGGGGCGGGAGGCCAGGACCAGCTGGGGAGGGAGGGCAGCAGAGCCGGGCGCTTGGACTCTGACCATCAGTTTGGTTCGCACAGAAGGGCCAGCTGGGCCGCAGGAAACCCAGGTCAGAGGAAAGAGGCAAGAAGCAAGGAGGGTCTGCACTGGACTGTGGGAGGGAAACCGAAGGGGAAGAGGCAGCGTGGACAGGAGCTGGGTGGGCTGAGCAGGGGCAGTGAGGGAAGGGAGGTGCCTGGGAAGCAGCCTGGGCTCCTTCTTGGAAACCGAGTGGCCACAAGTGGCATCCTCACGGATAGGGAGCCCTGGAGCAAGAGGTTTGGGAGGAACATAGGGGATTCTACTTTGGACCTGGTAAATTTGGGGTTCCTGCGGAACATCCAAATGGAAATGCCTTGGAATCGATTGGATATGCAGGTCCGGGGCTTGGGAGAGCGTCTGGTCAGAAGTAAAGACTTGTATTTCTTTAGGGCATGGGATATAGTTGGATCCAAATTACTGTATAGACATATCTTAGTTCTCCTAGCCCCTGCAAGTCAGTGTTAAGATGCCTTCACTAGAGATGAGGAAACTGAGGTGAGCACCCTAATCAAATCCACACCACTTCTGGGGGCCAGAGCCAGGGGTCGAGTCAGGTCTGCCTCGAAAGCTGGGTGGCTTTTTTTTTTTTCTTCCTGCTTCTGAAATGGCCAATGTGTGAAACTTCTGCTCAGTACAGCGTAGGCAGGTGAGAAATGAACTGGAAATGGGTGCCATGCAGGGCTCCGACGAGAGAAGCAGAGGGCGGGAGGCAGCAACGTTCAGGAAACCCAGTTTAACCCAAACGGAGGACTGACATCAGGGAGCTCTGCACAAGTAGCTCCACGGAGGGCCTTGAGTGTCAAGCACAGGCGTTCGGTTAACCTGCAGGCAAGGCAGGGCCAAGGCCTGTCTGTCAGCAAGGGAAGGAGGGTTGGTAGGTGAAAAGCAGTGTGTCTCTAGGGGTGACACATATGTGGGAGCAGCTGGGGGCAGGGGGAGCCAGGGGCCAACCTGTGCATAGACACACGGTGATAGGAGGCTGAAAGAGGCTCAGAACCGTGGGGCAAGGAGGGACCAGGTAGGAGAAAGTCACAAATGGCTCCTGCGGTTCAAACCACATGGCCAGAAAGCCACGGTACCTCTGAGAGCGGGCCTTCAAGTCCGGGAAAGGCTGGTTCCTGGGAGAGTTGATATTACTGTAACTACGGAGACACAGCAATGTCCTGAGGTCTTTCTGTGTCCTCTGCATGCCGTCCTCCCTGCTACCCTATCAGGAGGGGCTATGGCTATGTCCACCTGACAGAAGAGGCACTGAGGCCCCTGCGAGGTTAAGTGCCTTGCCTGGGAGATACAATTCTGAAGCTCAGGTCGGCCGGACGCCAGAGCCCAGGCGCTCGGTCAGCGCCACGGTTTGAGAGGCCCTGGCTGGGCCCGACCCCACCCACCTGGTCCAGCCTCCCCTTGGCCACCCTTCCTCTGGCAATTCGCTGCGCTCTCCAGCCTTAAGCTTCCCCTGCCTGCCTCAGTGCCTTCCCGCAGGCCAAGCGTGCACCTGAAAGCCCAACCAAAGCCTCCTGGGATATGCTTCTCGGAGCACTGGATCCTGAGCTTTTCCTTCATGACGCTCGTCACTATGGCGATTTATTAGCTATGCCACTTTTTCTTTTGCAGCTGCAGGGAAACGACCCTTGTGCCTGGTCACTGCTGTGCTCCCAATGCGAGCAGCACCTGGCCCGCCTAGGGCTGAGGAGGAATGTTTGTGGACGTGAAAGGATCCCTAAGAGCAAGACCATTGGGAGCTTTTTAGAGTTTGGGGCCAGTGCCCCCATCTTTGGGGCAAAAAAGCTGACAGTCTCATTCCGCCCCTTACCCCCAGTCCTGGGCAGGGGGCTCCTCCCTCCACAGGGTCGACCTCGGGCATGCAGGGCAGAAAATTGGAGATTGGTCGCCAGCAGGCCTGGCAAAAGGCCGTGACACACAGCCCCAACCCCCTTCCGCCGCAGGCCCCTGGGCCTCAGCCTCCCGGCCTCCCTGGGCACTCACTATTCCTTGGCGATCTCCAGGTCTTTTCTGTGGCTCTGCAGGGCTGCTACCATTTGCCCCAACTCAATCTGGGCATTCCCTATGCAGCTGTACAAGTTTCCAACCAGTTCGTCCTTGTTGGGCACCTCTTCTTTGTTCCATTCCAGCACCTTCTTCAGCACTTTCTCAGCTTTCTGAAGGCTCCCTTCAGCACTGCCGCTGGTCAGCACTGGGAAGGGGAAGAAGCGATGTGGAGGTGGCAGCAGCCTCTTCACGTCTAAGGGGAGACCCACCTCTCCCCACCCCACCCCCCATGCCATCCACAGCCCAGGGAAGCCAGTGACTCCGGCCGCTCTCTTGTTCCCCATCCCACCTGGCAAAGGCCCCGGCCCCCAGAACACCACCCACGCATGTCGATGTCTTCCAGGCTCTTGAGGATGTAATGGGCCGTCTGTGAGGGGCTGCGTTTGCGGTTCCGCAGCCATTTCTCTTGCATCAGCTTCCGGTCGCGCTCCCTGGCATAGATGGGCTTCTGCTGCCTCCAGAAATTACTGCGGGAGTCCAGGTAGTTGATGCCAGTCATGATGAGGTCCTCCACGGTCAGGCCACGCTTGATGGTGCCTTTGATCAGGTCTGTGGGAAAGGGTGGGAGGAGGAACCCACCAGGGCGGGCATCTAAGGGCGTTGCCTCCTCTTGGCTCCTGTCCCTGCTTCAGGGGCCCCCGTAGGGAACTCTTTCTGGAGCTACAGAACCAGTGAGCAAAGCTGGGCATGTGGGTGGCAGTGTGGGTCTATCTGGGCCCGGATGAGGCCAGAGCCCCGCTTTCAGCCATTCCTGCGATACAGAGCTTGATGCGCAGGCCCCTTATGGCAAGATGGGGAGAGCTAAAGAAGGGGCAGCTGGTGGGTAGCCCCCAGCTTTCAGGGCTCCCACATTTCATGCCGTGTCCTCAGAGAAGACAAAGTCTAGATGTGCGACCTGGCCCACGTAGCCAGTGCCCAGTGGTGCCCCGGGTGCTCAGTGGGCCAGTGCAACCTGGGAGCTGGAGGGGTGCGCCCGAGTCCTGCCCACCACCTGCGCAGAAGTTAGAGCTGGCAGCGGAGCTGCAAGGCCAGTGGAGGTGAGGTTCGGCTGCCCCTTCCCTCGCAGGAGCTGCCCTGGGGGAAGGAAGTGCCCAGGCTGGTTACAGAGATGTGTCAGCGGCAGCGGGTAAGCTGCCCTGTGACACAGGCCTACAGGGGATCCTGCTGAGGCTTTGGAAGTCAGTTCTGAAGAGTCACTTGATTCGAGGGCTTGATCCCTGCTCAGGCTTGTCAGCTACTAATAGTCCCATCCCGCATGGTTACGTAAAGTGACTGTTGCGAGGCTCCATCCCATTCTGTCACTGCCAGCACAGTGTGGCAGAGAGAACACAGAACCAGAGGTTAAGAGGCCTGAGCTCTGGTATCAACTCCGCCATTAATGTGCTTGTCCCCTTCAACGAGTTACTCCCCATTCAGCGTCTCCCGCTCCTTGTCTATAAAAGGAAAGGCTGTACCAGACAAGGTGTGGAACATTCTAGTATTAGTGTCCTAGGATTCCCCTCTAGTGCCTCCCAGCTGGATTACTACGCCCTTTATACTAACTGAAGGCCGAGGCAATGCCCCCTTCAGAGATAAGCTGGTAGAGGAACCCAAATCTTTGGAGTTCCCTCCCCACGTACACAGCGCTCAAGAGCACAGGTTCTGAAATTGAACTTCCTGGATTCAAACCTGAAAGCTGTGTCACTGCTTACCTACTTGGGACCTGAGGTGACTTAACCTTCCTGCACTTCAGGTGAAGCGTCTAAAATGAGAGTAAAACCTGTCCATCAGAATGTGCTGGCTGGTCTTAGGGGACAGGCCCTGACTCTGCCTCACGCATTCAGCACCCAGCCCAGATTCCCTCTGCCTTGTTTCCTTATGCAAATAAAGTTTCTGAAACCTTCGTCCAACAGGAGCTTTTCCAGATACTCCTTGTCCACATAGAGCTCGCCCAGGAGCTGGCGGACAGTCTTCTCACTCTTGAAGGAGCCCCTCCGCTTGGACTCTCCCTTGGGGTGGTGTAATAGGTGTTTCACAGGATGCGGCTTCTGCAGGGCTTTCTTATTCTGGGAAGATGGAGCGACACCCAACAGGGCTTCAGCACAGAGCACAGACAATCCAGGGACCAGAGTCTGCGATCCCAAACTCTTCCTCCAGGGCCTCTGGCCCAGCAACAGCCAGGACCCCAGGACCTCTCTAGAGCTGGGGCAGAATCCCATGGCTGCCTGTGATGGGTAGAAGCCAGGTTCTCCCGGGCAACAGACCCACTCCGACTTGTGTGCCTCACACACGTGGCCTCTTCCCTTGAGGGGATGCAGCCTCAGAACCAGGGCCCTTACCTCGGCCTGCTTGCTCAGGAAGGAGAGGTCTCCCTTGTTCTCCAGCTTAATTGAAGAAGGACCTGCAAAGACAGAAGCCGGGGCTCAGGTCGGCCAGGCCTCCAGCAAGATCTATCACACGTTTTTATGTGGACATGGCTGCCTTTGGCAAGGGGATGGTGGATATTGCTGCAAAGCTGGCTCTGAGACGGCCTGGCAGGCAAGTAGTAAAGGTTTGGTGTAAGAGCCTTGCTAGCTCAAGGCCATGGCAGCCAGATTTCCAAACAAGGAGAGCTCTCCATTTCATGCCACTCCCACACTCTGCCATCCACACTAGCAGGCCCTCACTCCTTCCTCCTCCCCGCTGACCCAAGGCTCTTGGTGCACAGCGGGTACAGGAGGAAGCCAAAGACTAGGGAAGACTAGGCTCAGGACTCCTTTCTACCTATGACACCAGGCCCGAAAAAGGCATATTCATCTGACTCGGGGTGAGGGAAAGAGCCCTTCTTACCTGGCGTTGAGGATAATCAGACACTGCAGTGCTCAGTGGGTCGGGGACTGGCCCTCCCAGTGAACAGTTCCTAACCCTCAAAATCAGCAGTCAAATCCCAGCATGGGACTCCCTGCGGGCCTCCTGGTGGTCACCATCCAAGACACCTCAGGCCATCCTCCAAACCCAAGCATTCTAAGCATTCTGAGACTTCCTGGGTAAGGGAAAGGCCTCATCGTCACTCACTTCCCACTGAGTTGTTGATGGCCTCCTGGGCTTTCTGAATTCCAACTTTGAATTCCCGATCAGGCCACAGCTTGTAACCTCGATGATAGAACACCAAGGCAAACTCAAAGTCTCCCATGGTGTACAGGGTCTCAGCCTTTTGTAAAATCCCCTGAAATGAGAGGAAGCTGAGTCAAGGTGGGCAGACAAGGCCTTGTAGGACTCGGGTGTGGTGGGACAGATGGGTTCTAGGTTGAGGGTCAAGGCTGGGATACAGGGGCAGAAAGCAAGGCAAGTGGCCTAAGAGAAAGAGAAAAATGGCATCCACCTCTAAGCAGTCTGGCTGGTTCTTCCACCACTGCTAATCAGAGGGCGCTGCAGACAACGGCAGTGTTAAAGCAAGATGGAGTTCTCCACCCATACAGTCACCTTGCAGAAAGTCGGGTCCCCCTGGAGCGAAGCCTCGGCATCCTTCAGGGACTTCTCCAACTCTCCCATCTTCAGGAAGCACCTGGAGCGGGCAACCAGGCAGTTCTTGTCTCCATTCTGAAGGTGAAGAGCCTGAGAAGGGAACCGCTCGGTTGCCAAGCACCAGGCAGGGCAAGGTAGAAGCTGGACTGGAAGGAGCAGCCCAAACCCTCCTGCCAGAGCTTCAAGGGGACTCCTCGGGCCTTTGGATCTTATCAGATGAAAAGCAGCACCTTATCCATCTTTGCTCAGTCAACTCCATTGTCTGCATGTGGCTCATCTTAAACAAGGTCAAATCACAAGCTATTGTGGAAGCCACTGGTTGAGATGTGAGAATATACTACTCTGTGGATATATTGGATTTCCCTGTCTGCGATTCCTCCACTCCACGCAGACAATAGAATCTTAGGATGTTTGGTACACGCCAGATTCAACCACAAAGCTGAAATGGATGCACAACACACCCAAAATACATTGCAAAGGCTAAGCATTTTGAAGGCTAACAAAATGGATTTTAGGACCATCTGCAACCTGAGTTATCCATCGCACTAACCTTCTTCAGTTACATAGCTTATTGAGAATGAATCACTATTTCAGGCAATTAAGAGGAAAACGGCCCCTAACTGGTATGACTCAGTGGGCTGAGCGCCATCCTAAAAACCAGGAGGCACATGTGCCCACGTCAGGGCCCACGCCTCGGTTGTGGGTGGGGTCCCCAGTTGGGGGCAAGCGAGAGGCAACCAGTCAATGTTTTTCTCCTTCTCTTTCTCCCTCCCTTTCCTTTTCTCTAAAAGTAAATAAAATCTTTAAGGAAATAAAAATAAAAAAGATGAAAATGCCCGCAAAAGAGAAACTGTGACGGTGGCCCTAAAGTGGGCGCAGAACTCTTCCCCTGCTCACCACGCCCGCCCGCCCTCTGTGTGCGAGAGCGGTGCCCTATCCTGTGGTACTCTGACCCTCCTGATGCCTCGGACTGTAGCCACCGCTTTCTGAAGACCTTCTGACTTTTCCAGGAAGAGGAAGTAGCTACTCTATTTCATGGGGGAAAAAGCCACTGCCCACCCAAAGCTATCTTCCCTCAGGGTGTTCTTTTCTCTCAGCCTGAGGTTCTCCAGGATAAAACATGATCCAACCAGAGGAGAAGGCGTGCGGACGGGGCTCCTGAACCCCACTGCTGGCCCATCTGGTCAGTCATTTCCGGTTTTAGGGTGTGGTCAATGACGGAAGGGGAAAAAGACTCTGGGTAGCAGTTGAGAAGCTGGACTTTACGGCGGGTCTCTGGGCAGGTTTGAGATTGCTATTCTGCAACTCCATAGGGAAGAAGAAATGGCTATTTGTGGTAAAAGAAACGGTCACAGGAACATCTAAAAACTTACTTGTAAGCAAGTATCATCTGGTGGTTGGCACCTCAGAACTGGAGTCTGAGTGCCTGGGGTTGAATTCTTCCTCTGCCACTTGCTGGTTCAGTGAGCTTGGCCATGTTGCTGAACTTCCTTATCAATTTCCTTATCTATAAAATTGTGTAATAACAGTACTTCCCCCATAGGCGTATACTGTGGTTAGCAGTAGGCCTGGTATCTTAAAACACGACTTAGTCCCCTTAGGGTGGGGTGGAGCAATTGATACTAAGGTTGTGGATGATAATGTTAGTTAGTTACTGACCACCTCCCTTAGCAACTGGGACTTCACTTCTGCAAGAAGTCTCCCAGCCCATCTCCCGGCCAATGACGGGAAGTTGGGGCTGCTCTGTAGGAGGCCAGTCACGAAACATTTGAGTGCGAATGCAGGTGGGAATTGGTAGGAAATGGCTCGGCAGGGGCTTATCTGTCACAGTGGTGCATTAATCAGGAACAAGGGAACAGAAAGAACAGGGTCATCCAGGCATGACCAGGAAGGACCTCAGAGATAGCAGGAATCCAAAGTGGTGATGGATGATTGATAGGTTCAGAGCGTGACTCACGTTGCTGAAGCTACGGGCAGCTTTAGAGAACTCCCCGCAGAGATAGAGCCGCTCGCCTTCGGCCATGTAAGAGGAAAAGGTGCTTCGCAAGCCGTTTGTTTCTGGGTCCTCTGCGTCCGTCATGACGACGGGATTCGGAGCCGCTGAAGCGGAGAAAGGGAAAGCAGCCGGAGAACCTCGGTCTGGCTTGCGGAAACCCCGTCTCTTAGCAACCAGGATGCATAGAGAGCTACTTCCGGCCCCGCCCCTTTATCGTGCCAGGCTGGGGACAACCGCCGCCTGCGGCCGGCGTGCGCTTCGTGGTTGTGCAGCTGCGCACCGGTTGGAGGTGATTGCCGCGTGAGGTGGGTGTGGGGCGGCGCCGCTTCAGTGTTAGATGTTGCATCCTCCACCGGTTCTCTCCGTAGCTGAATCGTGTCCGAAATTTACAGCCAGAAAAATAGGAAGAGGATTGGGGGCAGAATTCCGAATAGGGATAAGGCACACGTGGCAAGGACACGATCACCGCGCGCGTGCTGCCGGGTGAGAGCGCTGGGCTTGGAGTCGGATAGTCCTTAGCTGGTCTTCATTCCCTCCCTAACCCTGCGACTGGCCGGGAAAGTCTCTGAGTCTTTAATTTTCCGCCAGATGAATGGGAAGATGATAAAATCTTCTATACGTGAGGGTCTGCATGAGACAAAGTGGAAAATAACGTTAGGTCCAACCACCAACTGAACACACGTATTGACCCTCTACTAATGGCAGGACTGGATCAAGGCCTTTCCTGACAGCCTTCCCTATTCCCTCCCCTCCAGCCCCTCAAAGAAGTGGACTAGGTTGCAACAAACACCCTTGCATTGACTGCATTACTTTTAAAATGCCAGCTTTTAAATGCATTACTTTTAAAATGTCCCAGTGTCAATGAGATTGTGACCTATACTAAGGCTGCTTGCAGAAGTGCTCAGTTGCTTATGGAAGGTGGTCAGTAAAGAGCTAGCATTATCCACAACCTTAGTAGCCATTGCTCCGCCCCACACTAAGGGGATTAACTGCTGTTTTAGGATACCAGGCACACTGCTAAGAGCAGTACAAGCCTATGGGCGAGGTACTTTTATTATTCGATTTTATAGGTGAGAAAACTGATAAAGAAGTTGAGTAATGTGCCCCAGATCACTGGACTAGCAAGCGGCAGAGGAGGATTCAACCCCAGGAGCTCAGACTCCAGTTCTCAGGTGCCAGCCACCAGACTATACAAAGGCAGGGAGGGATCTTGTGTTAATCCTGTATTTCCAGAATTCAACTCTCTGGCACACAGCAGGAGGTAAATAAATTATTGTGAAAGTTTATATAGTACAATGATCCCCTTAAGTGCACACACACACACGGAGTACATGTAGAGTCTGGGAAATCTGAGTAAGCTCAGTGGACTGTATCAGTGTCAGTTTCCTCGTTGTGTCTTTGTGCTGAAGCTCTTCAAGGTGTTACCATTGGGGGGAACTGGGTACAGGGATACATGGGACGTCATTGTATTATTTCTTACAACTGCATAGGAATTTACAAATTCATCTCAAAATAAAAGGTTTAAGAGAAGAATGCTTTTAATACCAAGATTAAAAAAAAGAAAGTAAACCCTGGATCCTTCCCTGGAAAGGTTCTGCCTAATCAGGGTGAACAATGCATAAAGAATAATGACTACCCAGAGTGATATTAAGTTATCCAAAGCTCTGTGTGCCAATGAGGGAGACGAGGACAGAGTGGCGTGAAGCCCAGATGAGTGAGGGATTCAGTTGGGGTTTGGTGTGGGTTAGACACAGCTTCACGGGGGGTTAAGATGAAAATGCCAGCGTAACTGAGCTGAGGGCGACATACCCTTACCATACGACCCAGCCATTCTACTCCCAGGAATTTACCCAAAAGAAATCAACACTGTACAGATTCATTCATAGCAGCTTTATTTGTCATAGCCCCAAACTGGAAACATATCCATTGATAGGTGAATGGATGCAAGTCACTTGTTTATCTACATGATGGAGTACTACTCAGCAGTAAAAAAGAAAGAACTAATGATACATACATAATATGGATAAACATCAAAATAATTATGCTGAGCCCTGACTGGTGTGGCTCGGTTGCTTGGGTGTCTGGGCCTAGTCCCGCAAAGCAAAAGGTCTCAGGTTCAGTTCCCAGTCATGGCACATGCCTGGGTTGCAGATTCAGTCCCCAGTTGAGGGGCATTTGAGAAACAGCCTATCGATGTTTCTCTTTTATATTAATGTTTCTCTCCTTCTCTTCCCCCCTCTTTAATAATAAAATAATAATGCTAAGTGAAAAAGGTCAGACAAAAAAAACTTTGATCTATATAAAATTCTAGAAAAAGCAAACTTAATCTTTATTGCCCCAAAGCAAAATGGTGCCGGCTGAGAACATGGCGGTTGGGCAGTGCAGGATAAATTACAAAGGGGTCCAAGGAGACGTTCAGGGATGAAGGATATGTGCATTCTCTTGATTGTGGTAATATTTTTTATAATATATTGATGCATTAAAACTGATCAAATTGTATGCTTTAAATTTTAAATATGTACAATTTATTGTACATCAGTTATATGAGGGAGTATCCCCCCAAAAAACTGGACTTTATAAAAATTTGTGTATTTATTCTTACATGTTTAAACTTCAGTCACCTTCATAGTACTCTCCATTTAATGCAATATGCCTATGGAGACTTTTTTTCCACTGCTCAAAACAGCATATGAACTCATCGATTTTGATGCCTTCTCTTGCTTCTGCTGTTTTTTGTTTCATCTCTTCCACAGCTGCAAAATGTTTCCCTTTGATGACTTTTTTCATTGGGGAAACAAAACAAAAAAGTCATTTGGGGTGAGATTGGGTGAATAGGGAGGGTAGGGCATGAGGGCCATGCAGTTTTTGATAAAAAAACTTATGAACCCTCAGCGTGTTGTGGGCAGGTGCTCCCGTAAGTCACCCATCATGAAATGGGCAACTGCGTTGAAGGAGTCTTCAAAAAAAAATTTCACTGGAGCCTCTCGCAGCCTCTCGCAACAACTCTAGCTGGTACACTGATACAGGTGGGTTCCTAGAACAGTCACCCAGCTGGGGAAGCCGTATTACAAGGGGCCTGCCCTCCAGAAGATCATTTTGGCCTTTTTTTTTTTTTTTTTGGCTAACCCCCTCATACATCGATAAAACTGTTTTTAAAGGAACAATAAAATAGCAATAATAGTTTGTGCTTTTTGGCAGTTTTCAAAGCCCTTTGTGATCTTCACCACACCCCGGTGAGGGGGGGAGCCAGGCAGTGTTTTCCTGGTCTCATGGATCAAACACTAAGGCTGAAAGAGGTGACAAGGTTTGCCCTAAGCCACAGCACCAGCACATAGGTGAGCTGTGCTGGGACCGATGCTTTGGGTTGGATGGTTAGGGTAAAAAGCACTAGAATTGGACCTCCACCTGTCCCAGCCATTCACAAGCTGGGCTCCTTACGTTACCTCTTTAAATCTTGTTTTACTGTGAATAGACCATAGGTACAAAAATATACATAAAACATACATGTGCAGTCTAATAAATAATTATAAAATAAACACCCATGTCATCATCACAATACATCAAGGAACATATTGCCCACAGGGGGCTGCCTGTGAGACCCATCCTGAATTACAGCCCCATCTCACCGCCTCGCTGCCCCAGGTAACTGCCACCCTCCTGGTCACCACCTTGGTCTGAGTCCCCATCATCTCTCTGGAATTACTAAATTACCTTCTAACCAGATCTCCTAGTTCCACCCTCAGCCCCTTCCTTCTCAACAGAGCAGTCAGAATATTCCTTTTGAAATGCAAGTCACATCTGTTCAAAACCCTGAAATGGTCCATTTCACTCAGAATAAAAGCCATTCTCTCCACACCCGCCCTGCCCCCGCCTCCAGCCACCTGGCCTCCGTAATGTTACTCAAAGAAAAACAACAGATGTGCTCCTTCCTCTGGCCTTTGCTCTGGGCATTTTCTCAGCCCACAGTGGCCTGCAATGGGCCTGGAATTCTCCCTTCAAACTATTTAACTGGCTCTCTTCCCTTCTTCATGTATTGCTCAAATCTCTCTGCAATGAGGTTTGTGCAGATCACTCTTTTTCATACTGCAACCCATTTGCGCTCTACCTCCAATTTGAGAATTCCTGATCCCCTACTCTCTTGTTTTCCTTTCTCCCTAGCACCACTTTCTAATATACTAAATAATTCTTTATTTACTTTATGGATTGTTTATAGCCGTTTCCCCTGAGCAAATGTAAGCTATGCAAAGGGTGAGCATCTTTGCTTATTTCATTCATCATTGTTGCTCTAGTGCCCAGAATAGTACCTGGCACATTGCAGGTACTCAGTAAATAGGTATGGGATGAATGAACCACTGTCCCGTTCTTTGTGATAACCATTTCCTTGCTTTTCTTGTAGTTTATCCAGCTATGTATTCATTCTAACTTAAAGAACTAATAGGTTTGCTTGTTTTAACTCCATGTAAACGATTCGCAGTGCATTAGTTGTTTGATGTTCTGTCTTTACTCAATATCATGTTTTTGAGATTAATTGATGTTTTGTGTGTAGCTGCAAGTCATTTAGTTTCCCACACCTGTCATGTTTTCCATTGTGTCAACACATCACAACCCATGAATCGCTTCCGCTGTTGAAGGACATCCGGGTTCCGTCCAGTTTTTGGACATTCTCGCTTGTGTCTCCCAGCCCATGTTTGTAGGAGATCCTCCAGGGTACACACCTGGGAGTGGAGCCGCAGGGTCTGAGTGTATGTTACTCTACAATTTTACTAGATAATTCTCAAAGTGGTAGTTGCATCGGCTTGCCCTCCTATCTGCATTAAAGTCACTTGTTTGGGCCTCAGTTTCCTCTGAGGTAGTTTTTTGGTTTTTTGTGGGTTTTTTTTTTTTTTTTTTTTGTAAAATAAGAGAATTGGACTAGGGGATTTCTGCAGTCTCGTTGAACACAGACACACAGATGCTGGCTCTGGCAGAACCTCCCTGGGGAGCTTCCCTAGGACACATGGGCCCTTGGCACCATTTGGAGGATGGTTACTGTTGGGCAAAAAGTGAGAACCTCGTGTTTCTTCACAGGATGGATCATTATGGGTCTCTGCTGTCAGCCCCTTTCTCTGGTTATCACAAGGAGAGAGGTGGGTTTAGAACTATACACTCAGGTAAGACCCTCCTCCCCCAACTCTTGCCCTATAATTTATTTCTTTGACTTACATGTTCATTCCAGTGTTTATTCAGTCATACATATAGTCATTGCCTAACATGTGTCAAGCCCCATGCTAGGCACTGGGGATGCCAAAATGAACAAGGCACACACTCCTGGGTCTTGAGGAGCTCACAGTCCAATGGGCAGTCCCACTGGGTATGATTTTCTTCCCCTCCTCACCTCTAGCTGATTTTAGTGGACCAGGCAAGGGACCTGGTGGCAGAGGGACAGTTGCTCATCTGCAAAGTGATGTTGCTGTGAGGAATATGTGCTAGCACCCATGTTTTTCACATAGTAGGTGCTCAATGAATATTCGCTAAAATGGATTAAAACCCAGGAGGGAGTCATTAGGCCGTCCAAGGCTTCTGAAACTAAGGTGGGGCCTGCGCATAGAAATGGTAGCTACATCCTTCTGTGTCTGGGGACATGAACCTCTCCTCTAACCTATTTTAGAAGATTCAAATGGGAAAACAAAAGGGTTTAGAGCTTTTAAGTCAGAGAACAGCCCTGGTGGATGTGGCTCAGTAGATTGAGTGCCAGCCTGAGAACAAAAGGGTCGCCGGTTCGATTCCCAGTCAAGAGACATGCCTGGGTTGCAGGCTACGTCCCCAGTAGGGGGTGTGTGCAAGGTAACCTCACGTTGATGTTTCTCTCTCTTTCTCCCTCCCTTCCTCTCTCTAGAAATAAATAAATAGAACCTAAAAAAAAAAAAGAGAGAACAAAAAGATGAGAATGTAGGGCCATATTGATAGATTCAGGGCACCGGAGTCTTTGTGGGGACATGTGGTGTAATGACAGTCTTTTCTGGGTAGGGCAGGGGTTGGGGGATAGGGGAAGATTCCTGGAATGGAACCACTGAGAAAATTGGAGAACCTCAGTGATTGGCTCATGGACCCTCTCTCTGGCCAGCACCTCTCCTCCCTCACTCTCTGGACAGTTACTTTCTTGTTACCTCTGCCAAGACCAGTCACACTTGGTCCCAGCAACACCTAGAGGGGGACTTAATCATTCAGCAAATATTTATTAAGCGTTTACTATGTACCAGGCCCTATTCAAAGTGCTGGAGACACAGCAAGGAAGAAAACAAATATTCTTATCTTTTTCTTTTTTTAAAAAAAGATTTTATTTATTTAAAGAGAGGGAGAGAAACATCAATGTGTGGTTGCCTTTCACATGCCCCCACTGAGGACCTGGCCTACAACCCAGGCATGTGTCCTGACTGGGAATCAAACCAGCTACCCTTTAGTTCACAAGCCAGCACTCTATCAACTGAGCCATACCAGCCAGGGCGAAAGAGCCTTACCTTTATAGACATAGGCAAGTATATCTGAAGGATTTGTTAGAAATCAAATAGCTGGAGCAAAGGGAATGTTCATTTTAAATTTTTATCAGTTTATTTATTTATTTATTTTTATTTTTTTAGAGAAAGAGGAAGGGAGGGAGAAAGTGAGGGAGAGAAGTATCGATGTGCGAGAGGAACATTGACTGGTTGCCTCTCCCACACCCTCAGCCAGGGACCTGGCCCGCAACCCAGGCATGCGCCCTGACCAGGAATTGAACCTGCGACCCTTTGGTTTGCAGGACAATGCCAACCCACTGAGCCACACCAGCCAGGGCTAAACCTAAAAAAAAATTTTATTTATTTTTAGAGAGAGGGGAAGGAAGGGAGAAAAACATCTATATGCTAGAGGCTAGAGATATATTCATTGGTTGCCTCTTGCACTCCCCCAGCTGGGGACCTGACCTTGACTGGGAATTGAACCAGTGACCTTTCAGTTTGCACACTGGTGCTCAATTCACTGAGCCACACCAGCCTGGGCAAAAGTTTATCAATATTGCCAAGTTGATCTACAAAGAGTTTATTATAGCTTCTATTCCACCTGTATGCCTGTTTCTGAACCAGTCTATCTTTCTAATCAGAGGGGTAACTCCTATACAGGTGATCCTTCTGACTGCAGTCTTCCCACTAGCTCATGAAGACCCTGAGTGGTTCTCTGCCAAGGCCAGAAATGGAATACCTTCAGAGATGTTTTGTTTACCTACAGAGAGGTGATCCTTCTCTGTAATTTGTGCTATTTGGGAAGCTTCTTGGTAGTGGTGGAGCTCAATACATGTAGTGCTGGGAGGCTCTGTAGTACTAAGAGAGGTTGTGAGGAGCTATTTCAAAAGGATGACTGTGAATGAAGGAAGTGACATCATCAGGGATCATTTGTTTCAGGCAAGTGATCCTGGCTACAACTGGAGTGAGGGGGAGGAGGGCTTGGCAAAGTTTTTGTCCGAAAGAACGTCACGACATTGCGACAGTGTGATTGTCACCCAGGTGCTTGGCAGAGGCACAGGCATGCTGATCCTCTGCACACTGGCCTGATCCCTTAACCTCACCTGCTCAGCTCGTGATTCTCCACCCTGGAACTACACAGGTCAGGGAGCAGCTTAAAAGACCTACAGGGACTGGGGTAGACATAGCGAAGCCCCCGAACGTTGGAGCAGAAAATACTATGTCCTGGTTTCTAAGACTGTCTGATTTCAAATATTCTGCTACCCAAGTTCACCAGTACCTGTCAGATGGGATGTCCCAGTTTTTGGTTCGGAAAATGTCGTCTGTCTCAAAAGTAATGGGGAAGAGGGAGGCAGCTGTTCATTCATTCCAGTGTCTATGCGTGGGATGGGGGAGGGGCGGGGAGCAGCAGGAGAGCGGCAGAGATGGCCCCAGCTCTGCACTAGAAACTTCCGTGAATCCGCGCAGTGTTACTGGCATAATCATAGCCCCACTTGCTCACCCTGTCCCCCGCCCAATCCCACACTGGAAAGTCTGATAGGTTGGCTTCGGCTCTCAGCCTCGCCCCACTGGCTCAACCGAGAGGGTCCAAGGGCATATGGGAAAGCAGTCTGCCACGGCTACTTAAAAAAGTGGGACTAAGCAACTGGGTTCGGCGTAGCCGATTTCAGGCACGTCTGATGTGGACGTCAGTTTTTCCCTTGGGGAGACAGGAAGGAGACTCCAGGTCTCCAAAGCAGCGCTACCGCCAGTTCGGCCAACACCCTCCCCGCCGACAACACCCCCATCCGACTGGCGGTCGGCCCGGCCCCTAAGCGATCAGGCCACGGCCCCCCGCCCGGTACGTACTGCTCCCAGAGTAGCCCGGCCCCTCTCCCCACCCGAGGCTCCGCCCCCGATCCCTCCCCGGTTGAGCAGGCTCCGGAAAGGCTGCCCCCGCGGCCGTTCTGAGCGTCTGGGATGGATATGCTAGCTGGACTACAAGTCCCAGCAGACCCTGGGCCCGCCCCCCGGGGCGGGGCTATGCCGGGCAGCGAATTGCAAGGAGCTCTGGCGCTCAGGCTAGGGAACGCGTGTGGCCAATCGCCGGTGGCTCGCAACGTGTGCCGATGGGGGCGGGGAGAAGCCCTCTAAGGCCCGAACAAAAGCCGGATCCCGGGCGGCTGCGGGAGGCTGGCGCGCTCCGGCTAGTGGGCGTTAGTTCAGGGCCTCTGTGGAGGGAGCGCGGCGCACGGACTTTCTCAGAGGTGAGTAGCGGGTGGCTGCTTTTGTGGGAGGGCCTCCACCTGGCCCAGGAGCTTCCTGCCTCCCTCCGCCCGGAACCGCCTCCACTGATGCCGGCTTGGTGTTAAAGCGACCTTCCTGCACCTACTTGGAAGTTTTGGGGGGCTCTTAGCTTTAGGTTAGCCTTCGTTCGTAACCTCGGCCAGCAGCCACGTGCGACCAACTCCCAACTCTTCCACTTTCCAGTTCCTGGGAGTTTGCACAGGCTTGCCGCCATCCTTGGTTTTCTTCCCTCTGCCGAATTGCATTTATTCTGTGCTGGCGCTCCTCACCTCCTCCCGGGGCCAGTTATCGAGCTTTCTCGGGCTTTATCGGGCCACCTCTTGCCCCCATCCGGTCCCCGCACCGGATGCGGAGGATGGGAAGTAGACAGAGCGGGTGGCCGCTCGCCCCGCTCCGACCCCTCCAAGCCGGGCTCAGGTCCTTCCTCTTAATTTTGTAGAGTCCCCTGAACCCCGCGAGTGGAGGGAGCGAGGCGGGCGTGCCGCCGCGGTGGGCCACGCGGGGCCCGGCTGCCCTAGGTTGCCTGAGGCCTGACCTCGCCGCGAGGATCTGGCCGTAGAGTGGCGACGCCAGAAGGACCCTCGTCGCTCTGGAGGTGCTGTCGGGCCAAGTCTCTAAGCGACAGATGGCCGGGTTGCCCGTCTGCCTCCCCACCCCTGGCGCTGACAACGAGCTCGCTGAAGCAAGATCCTCAAAGGACCAGAGGATGCTTGCCGCGCCCTCCTGTCGGGCCTGGCAAAAGGCCAGTCTCCACGCCTGCTGCCCTCTCCAACCTTGGCAGATACTGTGCAGTTCCAAGGAGTTAAGCCGTTAGGTGGTCCCGGGCAGTCCGCCTGGGAAGAGGGTTTTGGAGGGGGCGGTGATGAGCAGTGCATAGCACAGTAACTTTGCTCTGTGTTCCAACCAGCTCAGTTCCTTGGATTTTTGAAATGTTGGGCAAGGGAGAGCTAGCTGGGACCCAGCTGCCCAGATGGGTAATTTTCACCTCTTACAGAGCTGCTTAAACAGCTTAGGAGACTTTGATGGAAAGATCCCTCAGACACTGGGCAGCTGGCATCTACACGCCCCCCCCCTTCTGACACTAGGTAGGGGACACTTGCAGAACTGCCCTCTCCTTTACTCCAGAGATTGCCTGTTTCCTCAAAAAACCCCAACCTTAGGGATACTAACCTTAAAATGAGTACCTTTTGTCTCTCCCAGAGAGAGACCCTAAGCAGCATCCCCAGCGGTTCCTCACCACTGGCTGTGTCCCAGCAGTACATTCCTGGGAAACAGGCTCCTTTGATTCGGCCTTCCCTGTGGGCTGTTTCTGCCCTCGCAGGCTGCTGTAGATGAACTCAATCCTGGGTCACATACCCTGTCTGCAGAAAAGACCCCATTCATCTCGTAGGTACCTCCCTTAAGGGGACGTGTGTGTGTGTGTGTGTTTCAGGTTCCTTGGCATGATTTCTCCCAAATGGTTTACACATTTACCTGTTAATAGGTAACAGTTTCTTAGTCCCCAGAGCCACCACCTGGGGTCTTACGTCTGCCTGGAAACCATTTTCCACCAGTTTGACAGCACATTCAGCTTCTGAGGAGGTACTTAAGACTTTGTGGAGGTGTTCCTCCAAGCCAGGTCAGTGTATACTCTTAATCCTGTTGTCACTAGAGCAGATGCTTTTAACTGGAGGTCTGGGGCTGTCAGATGTTAATCTCAGGCCAGCATCTTAAAAATGATATGCACGGTTGGGTAGATGCACATTTCTCTGGGCTTTTCTTTGGATGCTCAAACAAGTCAGACCTCAAACAGGTTAAGAGCTGCTGTCCTAGAGAGATGTCAAGACCCCGCTGAATGTTTAAAGTTGCAACTTATCTCCACCCAGTTCACTACCTGGTTTTGTGAGCCTTCTTACCCTGCATTGGTGAATACGCAGAGGTGATTCTTTCCCTGCTTTTAATCTATCTTATGAATTCTCTGTCCTGGCTTGGAGAGGGCTTGCCCCCTCCAAGCCAGAATTCTCTGCTGGCAAATCTGTTGTTTTGGTAAGCTGGCAGTCCTTGCCATCCTGTATCACCCCCTGGTATGTCTTTCCCAGCCTTTTCTGAGGACCTTGTGGAGAAGGGCTTTTGAATCTGAGATTTGATCTGGTGCTCAAGAAAATTGTGACTTTTTAAGCTACAGAAGGTCCCTTTCCTCACCCTGTGCTTTCCAAAGTGGGGTCACTGTCTGTTTTGGCAGGTGCCGGGTTTGGGGGACTGTCGTCCTAGGAGTGGCTGTCAGACTTCTCTCTGCCATAGAGGCTTAGCTGCGGGGCGTCCTTCTTCCTGGACTTTGTGATCACTCGTATCTGATGTGGCTAAGCTGCTGAGGGTAGTCAGAAACCGCCCCCTTCTTGCTCTGCCCTGGGCCGCACTCTGGGAGGGTGTGAGGGCAGGGTACCCATCTGATTTCAGGACCAGTTTTTCTGGTCTGAGTCAAGAAGGTTGGGAAATGGAGCTGGGGTGGGTGGGGGTGGAGGACTGTGCGGCAGCGCGGCTGGCTGAGGCATCTCCTCCTGCAACTCATGCCGACATGGAGTTGGAAGTCATTCCAGAGGTGGGCCAGAAAAGGGGATGTCTGCTTTGAGCCCCTTTCCTGTTACCCGACTTTGGGCCAGGCACTAGACTGAATGCACCCATTGTGCCCAGCTGGACACCAGCTGGGAGGCCGAGGGAACCAGCCAAGCCAGGATTAGAACCTGAAGCTCCAGCCCGGCCGTTCGGGAGGGAGGTGCAGAGTGGCCCTTGGAACATTGGCCTTCCTTGAGCTGGAAATGGAGACCAGCCTTCCTGTGTGTATAAACCAGGCAGCTCCCCAACTCTGCCCTCCTTTATTGGCACTTACCTTTTCTTTTCCAGCAAATTCAACAGCTTTAGTTCTGGTTCTTTGTGGAGAAACAGGGGTGACTCTTCCTCACCTGGCCAAGCTCTTGGCATAGTGGCTTGATTTCCTTTCCTTCTCCTGTTCCTCTCCCCAACTCATTCCTGTCACTACCCGTGGGAGAAAATGGGTATGTCAGGACAAAGCCGTGGGACGGGAAATGAAATTGTCACATACACCCCCCCCCCTCTTTTTTTTGTTTTGTTTTGTTTACATGGCATATTGCTTTTAGAAATTGTCTTTTCTCTTGAGTTGAGGTGTGCGGTTTTCTGGGGACCAGGAGTAAGAAGGTTTGGGTTTATATCTTGTGTCCCTTGCTAATTAGTTAGGCTTCTTGGGCAAGTTATTTTAATTTCTCTGAGCTTCTATTTCTCATCTAAGAAACAGGGTTATGAATCCCGATGCACCTCACAGGGCTCACAAAAGGTGAGCTTCTGTATACATGTGACTGAGGATGGCCTCAGCCTCCTCCCAGCCCCTGCTCAGTTAGAAGTGACCAGTATAGGGTAGTCCCCATGGAGGCCTCTGTTTTGCCCTCAGTTAGCAGCTGGGTGACTCAGTGGGCTGGGTGGGTTGCGCTGAAGGTCATAGTTCCCCCGCCCTGTGTTTGCTTCGTGGTCAGGGATGGGAGTCTAGTGCCCCGGGAGAAATGAGCTCTGAAGTGACTCTTCCTCTTTGCCTCTCAGGGGGCTTGATCTTGCCAGCAGCTAGGTAAACCTGCTGGCCTGGCCTCTGGTGGGGTGGTGTGTGTGTAAGTGTGGGAAGCGGGCGAATCTGGGTGTGGGGGAGACGAAGCCTGTAGGGGGAGTAAGGCGGCCAGCGTTGCACAATTTGGCTCTGCTCCCCGCACGTAACAGACCAAAGGGTGTGTTTCAGTGTCCGTGCCCCCCCTTGGGTGGGACCAGCGCTCAGGTTTGGGTCCTACCCCTGATAATCTGGGTCTCCCCATCCATCTGCCTTTGCTGTAGGGTGAACGTAGTCATGGGTGAGCTGATTTGCCCAGAGGGAGCGGAGATGGGATGGAGACCAGGTGTCCGAGGGAGAGAGCCAGCTTTCTGTTTCTCTACCGTCTTTCCTCTTGTGCCACCCCGTGATCCTCCTTTGCTGTTTGAGATCCCATCCCTCCGGCTGGGCAGCCCTTTCTCTCCCTCTTGAAGAGACGCTGGGATCTGGTTTTATTGTCTGGTGGGCAAACAGGCCTCTGTCTGCCCTGCTGGAGAAGATAAGGCTTCCATTTTCTGCCCCTTCTGACCAGCTGCTCTTACCCCAACAGGTTGAGCAGGTCCCTCTGCAGCCATGTCGGCCAAGGCGATTTCAGAGCAGACGGGCAAAGAACTCCTTTACAAGTACATCTGCACCACCTCGGCCATCCAGAACCGGTTCAAGTACGCCCGGGTCACCCCTGACACAGACTGGGCCCATCTGCTGCAGGACCACCCCTGGCTGCTCAGCCAGGTGAGTTTGGCCCCATCCTGGACCTTTCATCCAGGCCCAGGGTCTGAAGAAGAGAGAGCACTCAGCTTGTTGGCGGTGTCCAAGTGGGTCATGTGGCGGCAGGCTGCCTGTGTCAGTGTCAGCTCCCTGCATGCTGAGGGCCTCTGGCATGGCATACAGAGAGTATGGACTTGGATCCAGACAAGCAAGTCTGAAGGGCAGCTCTCTGTTTATTCACCAAGTGGTCTGGAGCAAGCCATTTTACCTCTCTGAGCTTCATGGGCATACCACTCACCATGTAAGCTGTAAGGGTTAGCAGTAAGCTCTGGAAAGCATTTAGTGTGCTGCCTGTCATTTGGTAGATGCCCAGCAAAAATAGGTATGTGCCCCCTACCTCCCTAATCCCCTCAAGTGGAGCACGTCAGGAATGTGGGGGCCATAAGAAAGTGTGACATTGTAGTTTGCCTCGAACAGCTAATGGCCCGGGCGGGGGGGCAGCAACCTGGGGCAGAGGCTCTTCTTCAGGCCCCCGCAGGGCCGCTGTTGGGAGGGGTTGGGAAGTTCAGACTTCCATGGCAGGGCCCAGAGAGCAGAACTAGAACCAAAGGTAGAGTTTCAGGGATGCACGTTTCCTCCCACCGGGAGGCAGCCCAACCGAAATGGGAGCTGCCCCTAGACGTGGTGAATTTCCTGGCTCTGGAGGTGCGTGAACAGTGGCTGGGGGCTGCTTGTCGGGCTAGTAGACAGGATTCAAGCCCAGGGATGTGGTTGACAGATGACCTCTAAGGTCTTTTGTCAACCCAAGTCCCTATCTATCTGTTCCTCCTTTTGGAACATGTGCTGGTCCATACTGTGAGTGTGAGAGAGACGGAATCTGTAGGTTAAACCTAAAGCTTATAGTTTACTGAAGTTAAGACATCACATTGGGGAGGGGAGGGGATCGTTTATTCAGCAAGTGTTTGGTAAGCGCCTACTCTGAGCCAGGTCCCATCCTAGGTACAGATAGTTCTAGATTCCTCGTTGTCAAAAGGAAAGGTGTAGGCTGAGACAGGTGAGGGAAGCTTCCAAGAGCTGACCCTAAAGGAGGAGGGGATTGGCTTGGGGAATGAGGGGGCTGGAAGCCACCCAGGCTATCCTGGGCTTTGGGCCCCCAAACTGCTGCCTCTTACTCTACCTTCTCTTCGCTTGTTCTAAATACAAACCCCTCTTGTTCCAGAGCTTGGTGGTCAAGCCAGACCAGCTGATCAAACGGCGTGGAAAGCTGGGCCTAGTTGGAGTCAACCTCACTCTGGATGGAGTCAAATCCTGGCTGAAGCCACGGCTGGGACAGGAAGCCACGGTGAGTCTGGGTATAGGGTTGGGGTGGCTGTGCCGCAGTAGCAGAAGTGAACATGGTAGCCTCTGGGTGAGCAGTCCCATGGCTCACCCCGCACGGGCCAGCGCGCAGCCCGCGGAAGGCGGCCGTGCTGCGGAGCTCACCTAGGCAGCCAGCCCGTGTTGGCGCCCACTCCCAGCTCCCCATCAGGGAAAGGCCAGACGGGCTGCGCAAGGAACCCCAGTACAATTCGAGAGCCAGGTGGAAGTGGTCTTGTTTCTTTATTGGCAATCTGAGATGGGAATTCCTTTCTTTTCAGTTTCCAGAAAGGGTGTACGGTAGCTGGTTATGACATGCAAACCCTAAGAGGGTGGGTGAAAAAGTTGAAGAAGAGACGGGGAGAATCTTTTAGGCAGAGACGCGATTGGGCCAAGACCTCGGGTGTGACAGTACCACCGAAGAGTAAACGTAATTCCAGGCTGCTGGCTTGGTGGTTAACCTCGACTCTGTAGAGGACACAGCTAAGGTGAACATGGCTTAGGAAGGCTAAGAGATGCTCAGAAGTAAAACTGTATTTCTTCTCACTCCCAAAGAGAACTGGAGAACTGGGGGCAGGGGTGGGCTGAGGCTTGGCTTGGACTGGGGAGGATGTGCCTTCCACGGCTGGCTTTGCCCCGTGCGGGGTGGCTGTGGCCTGGGGTGACTGTTTTCTCCCTCAGCTGACCCGGTAGTAGGGGGAAGGTGGTGATGGAGCCACGTCCGTCTCTGACCGGGCTTTCTTCTTAAATCAGCTCTTTGCGTGAATTCCCAGTTTCTGGCCTCATAGTAAAGAGGGTCCTTGAAGTTGTACATGAGCCTGGGGGCTGAAGGATCTTGACCTTTGTGCTTCCAGGCATTTGGGGAGAGGACAGCAGGGCTGGGGGCTGAGCTGTGTCCCCAGGGAGGTCCTCACGCTCCCTTCCCCTCCGCTAGCTGTTGGAGGGGACGCAGGGATGTCTGAGCTGGCAGCAGCTCAGCCCAAGAGCGGCTCATTACCTCTGATGGATCACTGTCTGCTCTCTGACTCAGCAGCGACGCGCGGGCGGCGGGGACTTCAGGACACACTGGGATGAGGGCTGTCTGCCTGGGCTGCCACCCGGGACGCACTTAAACTGATTAGCTCTGAAGGCTTGTTGTGTGCAGCCATGGAAGTGTGTGTGGAAAACTTTTCCTAGTCAAGCTCTCGCCCCGCCCGCCCCCCCCCCCGCGCCCCTTTCCCAAGCCTGGACTCCCGTCCGAGGGCTGACTCGCCCTGCCTGAGCCCTGAGATAGGTGGCCTTGATCTGTCTGAGCTCTTTAATTTGGGTGACGGCAGGGAGGGAGGTGACGCTTGACCTCTGTGCTTTGGGGGCTGGGGCAACGTTGCAGTTCATTCATCACCCTCCAGAGGAGGCAGGAAAAGAATGTGCAAGGTCAGTGCGTGTCCAAGTGTGGCCGGCACAAGGGCACGCGGACAGAAGGGGGACCTCCTGAGGACTGGGGACTTAACTTAGCTTCGGGCAGTGGTTGTCCGCCTTCTGCGTCTCATGGCACGCACAGACTAGCAAAACTCTAAGGCACACCAAAAATATATTTCTTTGCCAATCTGACCAAAAATTAGGTATAATTTTGATTCATTTACACCAGATGGCTATTGTTTATTGTATTGGACATTGTCATATTTTTATTTGACAATCTAAGGGAAAAGAAGCAGTGTCCCGGATTAAACAGGTATTGCAACTTTTAAAAATCCTTGTGGCACACCGGTTGAAAATCACTGGCTTGGGGCCCTGTGGCCCGATTGCCTGAGTTTCTGGAAAAATCTCTTTGCTGAGTGTTGTGGAGGTAGTGCTGGGGCTCCACCTCTGATGAGAAGGTGAGGTGGAGGAAGCCAAGGGTGCACCCTCCCTTTGACATGGGGAGGAAGGCATGCTGTCCACCTGAGCTTTCCCTCCCTCCATCTCCGTAGGTGGGCAAGGCCAGAGGCTTCCTCAAGAACTTCCTGATAGAACCTTTTGTCCCGCACAGCCAGGTATGTGTGAAGCGGCTCCAGGCTGGGCCTCCTCTCTTCTGGAGCCTTGTGCTCATCGACCCTGAAGTGATGAAAGGGGAAATCACACCGCTGGGGAAAAGGCGAAGGCACTAGAGTCTAGGAAGCTGCCCTGAGGGCCTGAGGGGCCTACGGAGCGGGGAGTCCAGAGATGGGGGAAAGGGCTGAGTTTGCAGCTGGAGGAATCAGGGCTGGTGACCTCCCAGCGCTGAGAGGAGGACTTGAAGGCAGAGCCCCTCCCCCAGATCAGGTCGTGCTGGCTCAGCCTGGACTGTGAGCCAGCAAGGCAGCGACCCCTTCTCTCCTCTTGTCCTCGAGAGGGAGGCGGTAAACAGGTCTCCCCTGGTGAATGTTCTCTATGGGCTTTAGAAATGAAACCACAGGGATTGGACTCCTAGGCCCCAGTTCAGTGCCTGCACCCACATGGTGCTTTTGTCTCCTGTAAGGCGGAGGAGTTCTACGTCTGCATCTACGCCACCCGCGAGGGGGACTACGTCCTGTTCCACCATGAGGGGGGCATGGACGTGGGCGATGTGGACACCAAGGCGCAGAAACTGCTTGTTGGGGTGGACGAGAAGCTGAATCCTGAGGACATCAAGAAACGCCTACTGGTCCGTGCCCCTGAAGACAAGAAAGAGTTGAGTGAGAGGGTCTGCAAGGCCGTGGTGGGCGGGGAGTAGGGAAGGCCGCGGGCTCTGGCACAGCAGGAGAAGCCGAGTGGTCTTCCCTGTCTGGGTGGGAGGTGGGGAGGAGGTGGTGGGCACACAGGCGACCACCCCGCCCCCGGTCCCAAGGAGGGGAGCCGCTGGCTCAGACTGAACTACGCCGCCCGCGCCCTCGCCTTGCCCCGTCTGTCTGGCGCCGCCTCCTGCGGCTCGCTGCCTGACAGCTCTGTTCCGCCTCAGTGGCTGAAGGGTGGTGCCCAGGGAGCAGGCCTGGCGGAGGAAAGGGGCAGGGGGTGTCACAGGATGTCAGGATGCAGGAAGAGGAGCTGTCAGGGGCGGTCGCGTTGCTGCCGAGCGTGCTCACTGATGGGCTGTCTCTCTCCCTTCCCCCTTAGAATCCTGGCCAGCTTTATCTCTGGCCTCTTCAATTTCTACGAGGATCTCTACTTCACGTACCTCGAGATCAACCCCTTGGGTAACTGGCTCTGCAGGGGTGGGATGGGGCATGGGTCCGTCGCAGCGGGGTGCCAGCGCCTGCAGGGACCTGGCATTGGCCAGCAGGGACCAGGCTTCTGTTCGCGGAGCGCACAGCAGGCAGGCGTGCGTGTGCTCCCTGAGGGCAGGCCTCTGTTCTGAGCTCTCAGGAGACATGAGGAGGCCTCGTCACCCACTCCAGCTTCTTCCTGTGGCCTTAACTCGTTTTGCGATGGGAAGTCCTGTGTGCTCGGTGGCTGTTCCTGCTGGGGGTTGCACTGCTCACCCAGGAGCGGGGCTGCCTCTGTGCTGGTCTGACCCTTTAGGCCTCCTTTCCTCCTTGTGCCCTCAGAGGCCCCTTCGGAAGTTGGTCAGTCATTGATCCCCAAGGTCAGGAAGCTTTGGCCCAAGCCTCTCAGGCAGGGAAGGAGGGAGGTGGTGTGATGCAGCTCTGGCCAGGGCTTCTCAGGGCAAAGTCCTAGCTCCAGATCCAGCTGGGCATACAGCCCCTCCGATGGACCAGATGGCTCTGTGCTAACTTAATTAGCTAAATGGCTCCGGGGGAGAGGGAAGATAGACGCCCAGGGAGGCGGCAGTAACAGCCCTGCCGGCAGGGCCCGGGGCACCCCCGCAGCTTCCCAGCTTCCCTGTTCATCACCTGACCGGGAGGCTTCCCCCCCGCCTGTATCTTTAAACATTTCTTTTTTAATGGCAGGACCATGGATGGGTAAATGGGTAGATATTTAAGGCACATTGTGTAGCCTTTTAGGAAAAATATTTAAAAAATTGCCATAGCAACTAAAACAGACTTGCTTATCACGTTACCTATAGGTCAGGGAGGGGGAAACTGGCCTTATAAGGGTTTGTTGTTCTTTTGATGGGGGGAAGCTGTGCCTCCGTCAGAGTTATCTTGGTTTCTTGCTCAGCGAGGAAGTCATTAGGCCTGGGTGGGACCCGACCCCCCGGGAGTGGTGTGGGGGAGTCTGCGGAGGGGTTGGAGGGTGATGGTCACTTCTGCCTCGTGCGGGTGTCTGACGGCCTCTGCCTTCCTGCAGTTGTGACCAAAGATGGCGTCTATGTCCTTGACTTGGCGGCCAAGGTGGATGCCACTGCGGACTACATCTGCAAAGTGAAGTGGGGCGACATAGAGTTTCCTCCCCCCTTTGGGCGGGAGGCGTATCCGGAGGTGAGACTGGCTTGGGGAGGAGATGGGGGGTGATGGGGGTGGGGAGGGCGACGGCCTCAGATGAGCAATTGGCCCCCTTGTGGGCGGTATATTTGGCACGGAAAGGAAGGTCGAGAACCATTTAATTTTCTTAAAACCCCAAGGGGGGGTGGGGGTAGGAGTCAGCCAAGCCTCTGAATCCCGGCCAGAAATCCTTTTAGACTTCTCTCAATCAACCTCCCTGGGCTCTTAACTTGATTTGTTGCTTCTTGATCATTCCGAGTAGCACCCCTAATCTGTCAGGCAGGTAGTTCTGTCTGCCACTTGCTGAGAATTTTAATTGCTCCTTCCCACCCCATGCTCTCTGAGGTCCTCAGAGCAGAATCAGGTCTGTACAACGTGACGTGACGTAACCCAGGCCGAGGGAAGTGGGGGTGGGGCCTGGGGAGGGGAGAGCGTTGCCTGATGTAGGCGACAGACGCTGGGAGTCGGGGCCGTTGAAGAAGCAGTGATATGGCAAGACTTGGGCGGAGGGCCAAGAACTCGAAGTCAGAAATGAGTTGGGAAATTTGTCTCCAGCTGGTGACAGTGGTAATGGGCAGCTTAGGTACTTGGGAACGCCATCATGTTTTGTCCCAGGCACATAGGGTCCTGCACAGCCTCCCTTCCCTGGCCCCCTTAAAGCACCTGAGGACCTCTCCATGGGTCTCCAGGGAAAGAGGGGAGGGGTCCGAGGGACCCTGGTGAAAGAGGCTGCCTCCAGGGCCCACCTGTTGTTTGTTGTCTGGTCCCCAGGAAGCTTACATTGCAGACCTAGATGCCAAAAGTGGGGCAAGCCTGAAGCTGACCTTGCTGAACCCCAGAGGGAGGATCTGGACCATGGTGGCCGGAGGTGGTGCCTCTGTCGTGTACAGGTGACTGAGGGGGCTGCTGACGGGGGTGCCACTGAGGTCCACAGGTGCACGGCCTGGATCAAGCGCCTCACCTCTGGGGGTCTCTAGCTTCCTGCCGTGGTGCAGAGCAGGCATGGCGCAGGATGCCGGAGGGGTCTGGGCACCTTCCTGTTCACTTCCGAGTAAAGTTATTTTGATGAGTTTTAGTTTTTGGAATTGGTGTTAGGGGTTCCGTATGAAGGTACAGCAAATACAGAAAATGAACCAGAAAGTGAATGTTGCTGTATCCCCATGCCTCCCCCACCAGGTCACCGTGGTACACACGTTGCTATACTTCTACGCGTTTTAGCGCCTGTGGAAGTGTGCATCCTTTTACACTTCATAGAGATACTGGGATCCTAGCCTGCACTCCTTGTGGTAATGGGTGGTTTTCCACCCGAAGCCCAGGAGACATCCGCTCCTTGCTAGGCCTGTGGTGGGCCAGCCACGTTCCCTCCGTGCCTGGCCAGGCCTCTGTCCGCTGCAGTGGTTCTCCTTCTCCACTGGGCAGCCTGGCAGAGACTCTGGGAATGTGCACTTTCTCTTCGTGTTGGGAGGCACCCTTTGTTCACCTCACCCACCATGCTTGGTCAGCTGGGGCCCACGGGGCAGCCCGGCACGGGCAGCGGCCACTGCCCAGGAGGGCCTGATGCAGCACTGTGACCCTTCGCTTGTGACTTGTGTGGGGCGTGGGGTCCGAGGCCTGAGAGTCCGTTCCCTAGTCTGACTCCAGGGCTTTGGGGGTGTCGGCATGTCCTCCCAGTCACCAGGCCGCCCCCCGCTGCTGCTCAAGTCAGAGCCAGCACTGACCTCTGTGTCTCCCTGGCAGTGACACCATCTGTGACCTGGGGGGTGTCAATGAGCTGGCAAACTACGGGGAGTACTCGGGCGCCCCCAGTGAGCAGCAGACCTACGACTATGCCAAGACGATCTTGTCCCTCATGACCCGCGAGAAACACCCAGACGGTGAGACGACCCACACTCCCTTCTCAGGATGGCCCAGTGCACTTCAGGGCGAGCAGGTTTGGGCTGGGAGGCCCCGAGGTTGTGGTCCTGGCCCTTCGCAGCCCAGGGCTAGGCATTTAACTTCAGGACCTCAGGTTCCCCTACTGTGTGGAGGGCAGTGACAGCATCTGTCAGATGGGGGGGCAGTCTCTGAGAGGATAAGGAGGTGACGTAAAGCCCTGTGAGCAGGGTGCAAGGGAGGAGGCGAGGCGCGTTCTCACTCTGACTGCTCCGCACTCAGTTCAGAGCGGCCTAGTTCGACATTTATTACCCGACTGCCATTGCAGTGTTGGGGACTATGCATACCAGTCACCCTAGCCTGAAGCCAGACAGAGCAAGGGTCCCACCAGATATATCAGAATCCAAGCTGGATTTCTGGGAGGCCATCTAGTAACTGTAGGGATTCTGTGCGTCGATTAACTACCTGCTTGGTAGTGTGGGGGATGGAGAGTGGAGCTGATAAGGCTGAGTCACCCAGAGAGATCGGCCTGCTTCCCTCACCTCCGCACTGATACCTCCTGACAGCTGGGGGACCCTCAGTCCCAGCAGAGAACCCTCAGTCGGCTTTAGGTGCTCAAGTCTACCTTTCTAACCCTGTTTTGGCTTCTCTCTTAATCCAAACCCAGGCAAGATCCTCATCATCGGAGGCAGCATCGCGAACTTCACCAACGTGGCCGCCACGTTCAAGGTAACCAGCTGCAGTGACCGTGCGGCCTCTGGGGAACGTGGGGGAATCAGGGAAGGGAGCTTCTCACAAACGAGGTTTAAGACAGGTGCACGTTCCCATATATTACCCAGTCCAGACAGAGCTCCCTCGCGAAGGAAGCTGAGAACCCTGGGGCAGATCTGGATCTGAAGTGTGGGGAGAGGGCGAAGTTCTGCCACCCCCCTGCTTCAGGACCAGTTTTTGGTCTCAGTGGACCCTCATTTTAAACCCTCCATGTGGGACTCTGGGTTCTCTGCAGCTCATAGTCTGTCTTCTCTCAGTCGTCAGCCCCTTCCCCAAAAGGTTCCCCAAAAGAATGCGGAAACCGTTCTCAGGACCTGGGGCCCCGTGCACTGAGCCGTGGGCACACGGTTTTACATGTGACTGCCAGTGAACGAGGATGGCAGAGCTGACATATTTCAAAGGCGTTCCCTTCGAGGCAGCCACCTCAGGAGGCCATTTATTATTCGCCACTGTCAGATGCTCACTGAAGCTCTTCATAGGAATGTGTCTTATCTGGTCCTTTCAAATAGAATTTGAGAATAATGAATAAATAAATGTCAGCCTTTAAAGTCTGAGCCCTCAAGAACTGGAGGACCAGGTCTCACCAGTCCTGCCTAAAATAGGGTGACCCTACTTGGACCTGATTCAGCAGACAAATCTGAAATGGGCCCAGTCTCGAAGCTTTGTTGTAACTTCCCAGCGACCCTATGGTAAAGCTAGCATTGGTGATGAGGGCTGGGTGTGTCTGGAACAGGAACTGTGTGCAGAGCCTTAGGTGACAGAAATTAGCCGCCTGACTCCGCCAACCAGCCCTGTGTCTGGAGAAACAAAATCGGAACACACCTGTACGTTCTCTCGCATTCCCAAAGTTGATCCTCATTGCGAGGGCTGCTCCCTGAAGCTTCTGAGGAAGCTTTTGTGGGACATGGATGTTGAAGTAGACTGTGCCTCGGTGCCTCTGAGGACTCTTGAGAAGGACCCCAGCGTAGATTTCCCCCCCTCGAATTGCAATGAGATAACAAGAGTGACTGGCTGGGACAAGAGAGAGACCAGAAACGCCTCAGTGACGTGGGAAGCCCCGCGCCGCACTCACTGAGGGGTGCCACTCCCAGGCACCCATGTCCCCTCTCAGCGCCTTTACAAGCGATCACACGCACAGGCCTTTGGGTAGCTCGTGCAGAGTCCAGTCCACATGTGTAAAATTCTTGGCGGCCGGGGCTTGCCTTGTTTCGTGAGAAGGAGGCCTTGTTATATATAAACCCTGTACGTTCGTTTACCATGGTTATACATCATTGATTATGGCCGCCTTATTTTTTTGTCACATGTCTCTTTGTCCTTTTGTGCTTTCAGGGCATCGTGAGAGCGATTCGAGATTACCAGGGCCCACTGAAGGAGCATGAGGTCACGGTCTTTGTCCGAAGAGGTGGCCCCAACTATCAGGAGGGCTTACGGGTGATGGGAGAAGTTGGTAAGATGGAGGCCTTTTCTCTCCCTCCCACCCCGAGTGTCACGGTCCGCTTCCTGGGGACACTTCTGGGCTCTTCTGCTCCCCTCTCTGGATGTGCAGCCTGCTTCCGCTTCCACTTTCTGTCCTCTGACATGGACCTGTCCTAAACTTCGGAGTGGGCAGGAAAGCATTTTCATTTGGCTAGTCATTTAACAGGTATTTGTGGAACACCTGGTCTCGTGCCAACCACTGGAGGTACAGCCACACACACAACACGTGACAGACAGCCAGGCCCTTGTGCAGTTAAGAACGTTGACTGTAATGCCAGGTCGCACTAAGTGCACAAAGGAAGATGAAGCAGGTGAAGGGATAGGCTGTGTGTGGGAGAGGATGGGGCAGTTTTAAGTGGGGCGATGAGAGACTGTTCGACTGAAAAGGTGACTTTTGGACAAAGACCTGGGGGAGAGGCGGGAGCACATCAGTGGTGACGCAAAGGAAGGGGCAAGTTCCAGGCCCCTGAGGTGGCAGTAGGCCAGTGTGTGCAGGCCCCCGGGGGTGGCCCTGGCAGGGGCTGAGGGAGCAGGGGCGGGGTGTGGGAGGTGGCCAGCGCTGATGTGTGGGGCTCGTCCAGGACCCTGGGTCGGCAGCCATGGGAGACCTGGCTGGAGGAGGGACCCGATTTGCCTTAGATATGAAGGGTTATTTTAGCTGCTGGGCGCACAGCGGACCAGAGGGCAGCGAGGGCAAAAGCGGGGAGCACTCGTAAGAGGCGGCAGCAGAGTCCAGGACAGTGCTGGCCTGGGTGCGGGGGGGCGAGGGCAGGGCTCTGGTGGACAGGCGAGCAGGTGGACGAGAGGCTGTGGCACGTTTTGGTTTCTTTTCTCCCTCCTGCGTTTTGAGTGGCTTCTGCAGGTTCACAAGAGATCGGACTCAGAGCTTTCAAGAAATTAGGGACCACAGTCAGGACTAACATCAGGACTCCCTAAACTGATCAGATTGAACATTCAATACACGAACGTTGTCACCAGCAGCTTTGGCCTTGAGCAAAACGCAGTCCCCGCTGCTAAGAGCAGCCACCTGTGGAGCAGGGGTTAGTGTGAGATGCCAGTCGGGCAGCAGGCGTAAGGCGCCTGTGCTCAGTGAGTGTGTTCTCTGATCAGAGAGACAAAACCTTTTCATTTTCCCATTTTTGCAAATCGGGTGTCCATGGCAAGCACCAGACTGACCTTTATCACATGAAGCACTGCCAAGTTCTCATTCCCCCCAAAATTGAGTGCCTGCCGCGGGCCCGGCCTGGGGTGCAGTGCAGTGAATGTCACTCAGTCATGGTTGGACCCTTAAACAGGTAAACTGCTCTTGGAGCAAGATGCTGTCAGACAGGGCTCTACGCGGGGAAGCCAGCAGGGCAGTGTGGAGGAAAACAGCTGTCAAGGTCACTGGGAGGTGGCACTTGCGCTGAATGACGAGGACAGCTGGGTGAGACCTGGGCTGGGAGAGCTCCGAGTGGAGTGGGAGTGGGGCCGGCGCCGAGGAACAGGCCAGGCCAGGCCAGGCCAGGGAGGCCGAAGGGTGCGGTCGAGGGGGTCGGAAAGCAGGGTCCAGGCTGTGAGCAGGAGGGGTGTGGACTAATGATGCTTCTAGGTCACCTGAGAGTATCAGCAAAGCTATTTCTTGCTCTTCTTATCAGCAGATTTGTTTGGTGATGATGATGCGGCAGCTGACTTGTCTTGGGTAATTGGTCTTGCACAGGAAGTACCAGGCATCAGGCAGGACCCTAAAGGACCTTTGCAGAGTCATGTGGACTCGGGCACTTATTTGAAGGCTCGAATGATGGACTCTTTCCCTCCTCCGCAGGGAAGACCACTGGGATCCCCATCCACGTGTTTGGCACCGAGACTCACATGACGGCCATTGTGGGCATGGCCCTGGGCCACCGGCCCATCCCCAATCAGCCACCCACAGCCGCCCACACCGCGAACTTCCTCCTCAACGCCAGTGGGAGCACATCGGTAGGTGTGGGCCTGTACCTTCCGGTCTGCTGTGCCATCTTCGCCTGCCCCTCATCCCCCACCCCACCCAGGACATGGTGCCGCTCTGCCCTCCCTAGGCATTGGAGGGGATGCGGGGGGAAGTGGTACACGGTTGGTTTCAAGATCTCTGCCAATTTTTTTCTGTGCCAGTCAAGCTGGAATAACAGAAAGACCAGGGTTTTTGAAATCAAACCTGACTTCAAATCCTGCCGAAGGAAGAACCTTGGCAGTTAATGTACCTGCTCAGAGCCTCAGTTTGCTCACCTGGAGCTTGGAGACAATACTACTTCCTGTCTCAGCAGGTGGTTAGAATAGTGCTTTTGGAAGCAGCTTGCAAAGAACAGTGCTGTACTTAGTTCTTGTTACCTGGTTTCTTTGGGGCCTCAAGAACCAGTGGCTTTTGTTTCCAGCTGCTCCCTGTGACTTTGACTCTCTCTCTCTGTCTCACCTCAGACTCCAGCCCCCAGCAGGACTGCGTCTTTTTCTGAGTCCAGGGCTGATGAGGTGGCACCTGCGAAGAAGGCCAAGCCCGCTGTGCCTCAAGGTAACTTCCAGGGGTTTCAGGCCCTCCCTGTCTCCCTTTCCTTCCCGGGCTTCACTGGTCTAGCAAAGGTGATGGAAGGTGTTTGGGCTTCGCTGTGAGAGCGGGCATGGTGCGTGGGATGGGAACAGACATGAGGACACACTGATCCTTCCCTGTGGGCTCTCCCGGTACTGAGACCCAGCTGCGCCCGGGTCATCTCACTCCCTGCCTTCTTCTCTTCTACCCCCGGCCTCCTGGGGGCGCGTGTGAGCCGGGCAGGGAGGTTGCGGAGGAAACAGGGTTACAGAAATCCAGGAGATGGGTAGGTCTCCCAGACCCTCCTCCTGCGTGGAGGGCAGGTGAGCTCCGGTGTAGCCGAAGTTCCTGCCCACCCCTTTGTCCTGGGGCTCCTACAGAGACTCTCCCGTCTGTGAGCCTGCCATGAGGACACGCGCTGTCTGCCAGCCCGCTTGTTCTTTGCCGCCTCTGCCTCTCCCTCTGATTCGTCAGAGATGTGACCTCTGCCGGCCAGCCCTGGCAGCCAGCGTTCAGGAACCGGCTTGAGTCACTGCTCGGCTGGTGTGGCCTACGCATCCTCTTCCTGGTACAGACAGAATGGGCCTAAGGCGTTTTGTAAAATAGTGACACTGGCTCAGGCACCGGAGTTGAAAGTCACTGCCTTGTAGTCTCTAAGCCCACAGCACAGAATGACAAGTCCAACCTACGTCAGCCTAATCACTGTGTACTTTGTAGACAAGGGTTGGCGTTAAGAGCCTGGGACCTGGCCAGCTGTTCCGTCAGAGGCTGGGGGCAGATCGGCGTTCAGTGTGCCCTCCAAGCCTTCGTGTTCCTCCCGCCCCTCTCTGCCCACTTTGGGCCTTTGCTCTTTCTCGCTTTTGCTCTACCGATCGGTGCTCTCTTCTCTCTGACTGGCTCGACTCCTGTCTATCGTGGAATAGACGAGAGACGGTGAGGGTAGCAGCCGTGCCAGGCTTGTCCACGGGACCCTTCCCTGTTCCCACCCTCTCCCTCCAAAGCCTCCAGCCGTCACTCCAGTAGGTCACTCAGTTGCCTTGGTCATTTTCTTTGACAGATTCAGTCCCAAGTCCAAGATCCCTGCAAGGTAGGACGCCCCTGCCCCTCCCAAATCCGCGTGTGGCTTGTTGGTGGGTTTCAGTCTTATGGATACCTTCGTTTCCCCCTCCCCAGTGGGTTGCAGTGTTGTCTGGTATATTTTGTCCCTGCCTTGGTGTGGCCTTGTTCCCAAGTCCTTGTCTTCGCTCCCCCTCCCTTCCCACTCCTGCTTAATTCAAGCCCCCACTCAGTGCTCTCCTGGCCACGTGGCTGCCTTTGGCTCCAAACGTGGGGGTGAAGGGGTGAAGGGCCAGGCCCACGGCCTTGGAGAGGGGAGCGATGCTGAGGAGGGAGGGTCCTCCTGGGAAGGAGGGAGCCCTCGAAACTGAAGGGGAAGTGGCAGGGCACAGTGGGTGAGGGAGCGAGCTGTGGACCACCCGATTGTCATCTACATCTCCTGATGGCTTCGTCTGCTATTTCACCCACTGTGGCCTCGCCACTGCTGGCTTTGTCCCAGAGCTCCTGACACCAGGGACGAGCTCCGATGGCTCTGGGGTTTGGGTGGGAGGCGGGATAGAGAAGGAGAGAGACAGAAACCTGGAAAGGGGCACAGCAGAAGGGGTCTGGGCTTTGGTGTCAGGCCATTGTTCAGGGCAGACATTTTGGGTGCATCCTCACACGCAGAACACGCCCATTCATCTTTTCAAAGCTTCAGGGCTCTGACTTACTGACATTCACAGCGTGGGAGATTTCACCCTGGGGGAGGGGAGTCTTCTGACGAAATTTGACCCCTTTCTTGCCCAGGGGAGGGGAAGGAACCACTAGGCAGCATTGCTTATATCCCCTCAGAAAGGCCAGGAGTGCAGCTCCCAGACTATGTGGCAAGATTCGTTGCTTCCTAAAAGGTGTGACCTGAGGCTGAGCCCGGTGCAGAGAGAGCAGGGGCCTCTGCGGTTCTTAGAGGGCCCTTCCGCCCCGGCGGAGGGGTTTATGCTGACTGCCAGGCCCCAGCTGTGCTGAGAAGTGGGTGGGGATAAGCTTTTACCAGAATGGGGCCCCCGCCCTCTGCGGGTTTGGAGGAGGAGCCTAGTGGGGGGCTCTGCACCCCCGAGCAGGGCTGCTCTCGGCGGGCCTCCTCTCTGCCAGTGGGCTGAGGGCGGCCCCCATTGGCCTTGGCTCCTCTGTATTGGAGGAGGTGAACACTCTGGTCCTGCCCCTTTCATCCTGGAGGTGCAAGTGGAGGCTGCAGGCTTTGTTCTGGTTTCTGTATCCTCTTTGGTGGACTGATGCGTGTCTACGTGCAGGTCGCAGGCTGACTCTGGTGTAGGCTCCCCGCGGATGGGGAGTGGCTGGGCTTGTATTCCTCCTCCGCTCTTGCACAACTGAGCTGTAATCCTGGCTCAGACGCTAGATGACCTGGGATCTCAGTCATTTGGCTAGTCTGGGTTTCGATGTCCTAGGATTGGAAAGTGAGGGCACTTGCTTAGGTGGCTTCCCTCGTTCCATGATCTCATGTCTCGTCAGAGCCCAGATGGGTCCGGTGACAGTAAATCCTGGGTGTTTGCAACATCAGGAGCCTGTGTCACGAGAAGCTTACTGCTGTGATGGAAGAGGCGGTCCTGTGGGGATAAGCCTGTCTGCCTTGGGAAAGTGATCTCCTAAATTCATTTAGTCAGACCTTGAACTCGGTTAGCCAAGTCTGTGTCAGTACAGTAGGTTAATTAATGCCAGATGCCACTGAGCTTGGTGCACTGTTTTCCCCCAGGAGCTGAGAATCTCCCCTGAGATCTACTTTCCTCCCTGGGACTTGCAGGGAAGGGAGGGTGAGGTCACCTGCCTGCAGGGTGGTGAAGGAGCCTTTCCCTTGAAGGCTGAGGGCTCCACTGCTGCCAGATGTTTTTGATCCTTTCTTTTGCCCCTTACCCCTTTCCCGCTGGCTGGAGGGCCCACCCAAGCGCATTGTTCTGAGCAGGAAAGAGCCACCTGGTTGAGGGAGGAGGATGGGAAGAGCAGGCAGCGTGCTGCTCCAGCCTGGCCCGTGCCAGAGCTTGGGCCGGGACCTCAGTTAAAGATTAGCCGCGCAAACCTTTTCACGGGACCTGCTGACCTAGAATCCTGAGGATTCAGATCCTGACCTGAGGTGGCTTATGTCCAGATTTCAACAGGTGATAAGGATTGTTGGAGAGTTGTAACTGGGGGAGACCCCCCAAAAAACCAGAACTTATTTATAAAAAATTGTGTATTCTTACATGTTTAAACTTCAGTCACCTTCAAAGTGCTCTCCATTTGATGCAAAACACCTCTTGAGACATTTTTCCACTCCTCAAAACAGTTCTTGAACTCATTGATTTTGATGCCTTTTAGAGTGTTTCTGCCATTTCTTTATTTCATCTCTTCTACAACCACAAAACGTTTACCTTTGATGACATTTATCATCGAGGGAAGAAAAAAAAATTCATTTGGGCGGGATCAGGTGAATAGGGTGGGTAAGGCACAGGGGTCATGCTGTTTTTGGTCAAAAACTGCCAAATACTCAGAGCTGTGTGCGCAAGAACGTTTGTGAATCACCCACCATGAAATGGGTAAATGTGTTGAGTCTTCAAAAAGTAATTCACTGAGGCTGAACGCAGCCTCTCACAACAACGCCAGCTGGTACACTGATAGAGATGGGTTCCTGGAACACCACGTGGGGGGAAGCGTGTATTACAGGGGACCCACCCTCCAGAAGATAATTCCGTTTTGTCGGCGGGGGGCGGGGGATTTCTTCTCATTACAACATTCTGCAATCCTCAAAATTAGGAGACCTTATTTTTTTCCAGTGACTTTAAAAATATTTTATCAACTGCCCGTTGGCATGTAACCAGGAGGCTGATTACAAATTTGCCTTTCCTGTGAAATTGAAAAGACCCTTTTGGACCTGCTCTTGGCATAGGGAGTCCTTTCTCTGTTCGTTGCTGAGCTCTTTACTAGCCAGACGGATCTTCTGAGCTCTTTTTTACTTTCTGCCACCTCTTTCCAGAAGAAATTGAAGCACTTCTTCCCCAGGTTCTCAGAATTCCATCCTCTTAATGTCCCTTTGTGATTCTGATCCACCGCCCTCCCTGGACTTGGGACATGGAGGGGGTCCGGCAGGTAGCCCCTGCCCCTGCAAGTCTCACGGAGGTGTGTGTTCTGGGTGCACTTGCTGTGTCTTTGCCCACCAGGAAAGAGTGTCACCCTCTTCAGCCGCCATACCAAGGCCATTGTGTGGGGCATGCAGACCAGGGCTGTGCAAGGCATGCTCGACTTTGACTACGTCTGCTCCCGGGACGAGCCCTCGGTGGCTGCCATGGTCTACCCGTTCACGTAAGTCGCGTCACAGCGCAACCTAGGGAGGGAGCTGTGTCCTCTAGTCCCGTGCCTTCCCTCCCTAAGACTGAGCTGGGGGAGCAGCTAAATGATCCTTTTTGCTGGGGAAGCAACTGTCCCCCTCAGCCTGGGGTGAGCCCTATTCCTGAGGGCCTTTTCCAGTAGATGAAACCCTTTGAGAACAGAACCTTGCCTTTCCACCTTCTAGATGAAGCTCCTCCCCTTGACATCCTCCATCCCCAACCCGGACAGGTTGTCCTGACCCCTCCTTCGCCTTTCTCACAGTGGGGACCACAAGCAGAAGTTTTATTGGGGCCACAAGGAGATCCTGATCCCCGTCTTCAAGAACATGGCTGATGCCATGAAGAAACACCCAGAGGTAGACGTGCTGATCAACTTCGCCTCCCTTCGCTCTGCCTATGACAGTACCATCGAGACCATGAATTATGCACAGGTAGGTCGCTGGGCCCAGGGGCGGGAGAGGGTAGTGGGGAGAGCTCCTGAGGGGTGTCTCTGGTCACTGCCGCCTGGGACAAACGGCTAGGACTTGGGACTGATCGCTGATCTGAGTGAAATGGCTGGAGACACTTGATCTTCAGAAGGAGGGGCAGTAACCTAGGGCAGGCTGGCTGCTCACCTGGGCCAACAAAGGGTCAGTTCAGGGTCAGCTGCCCTCATCTCTCTGTGCTGTCTAAGCCTGGCTTTGAAAACAGAATCAAAAGTACTTCCTTTCTTATAAAATCACTACAAATTATAGGGAAAAAATGTAGTTACTGATAAATAAAAGGCAGAAAAAAATACCGCAAGCCCTGTTTCCCAAGAACACAGCTGCTACTTTTGAGCACTTTCTTATCCATACCATTTCCTGGATTAGACCAAATGGGATAATATTTTGCAGAACTATTTTTATAATCCATTCTCTTCAGTTACTCTTTCCACAGCAATAAATATTTATTGGTAGCTGCATTTTTGCTTTGTCAAGTCTGGTGTTGAGCATCGTGGAGTAATTTGCATATATCCTTAATTCCCCAGAACAAAGGTCTAGAAATCAAACAGCTGCGTCAGAATGAGCAGATTGTAAAGCTTTTGGTCCACCCTTCGCAGGCGCCCTCCGGAAAAGCTGTCCTGGGGCGAACTCCCGCCAGGAGGTTGGGCATGCCTGCTTCTCGGTGCCCTCGCCAGCACTGCATGTTTGGATTTTACAAACATCTATACCTGATAAATTGATAGGCGTTCTATTTAATTTTCATGCCTTTAATTAATAAGATGAGCTTTTAAAAACATTTATTGTCCATTTTCAGTCTATGACTTGGCCTCCCCTATATATATATATTTTTTTTCCTACTGAGGTGTTTGTCTTCTTTGTTACTGATTTGTTAAGACCCCCCGATAGAATAAGATACTGATTCATCTGTTTGGAATTATTGTCAGGTCCCGGACTGGCTTGGTTCAGCATTAGGCAGAAGATAAATTTGTTTGGATATCTAGATGAAGCAAAAACAAAAGCACACGTGCTAAAAATGAGCTGGGTTTTTCAGTCTGGATCAGAGGTTGGCAAACTGCAGCTCAAGGGCCAAGCTAGTCCTCCGCTTGTGTTTGTAAATGAAGTTTTGTTGGAACATAGCTACGCTCATCCATTTATGTATTGTCCATGGCTGTTGTCTGCTACAAAGGCAAAATTTAATCACCACAGAGCCCACATGATCAACAAAGCCTAGAGTTCTATTTGACCCTATAGAAAAGGCTTCCAGCCCCTGGAGCAGTCAGCGATGGCCCTCAATCCTTCCCACCCACTTCTCCCTCTGGCTTTCTCCCCAACCCACTTTCTGGCGTGACTGGAAGCAGCTCGTGTCTATCATGTACCGGCTCTGTCCTGTGGGGTCAGAGTCAGAGACTCAGGGCACCGCGGAGGAAGCCATAGATCGCTACTTTATGAGCAAGCAGGGAACAGGTGTCTGAGTCTTGGGGATTTTTGGATGGGAGAATATATCGCAGCTTTGACTGTAGCAGGTTTTCGGAAAATTTTTTGGAGGGTTGGTGCGATCAAGAGAGGAACAGAGACCTGTGGGAAGAAGTGGTGCGTGTTGTTAATATCACTGGGTCTACAGAGCCTGGACGTGGGAGGAGGGTCCTTGAATGGTTGCTGTGTCTTTGTCCCATCCGAGGTGAAAAGTTAACGGGGAAGCACCGCTCTTACCCTTTAGATCCGGACCATTGCCATCATAGCTGAAGGTATCCCTGAGGCCCTCACAAGGAAGCTGATCAAGAAGGCCGACCAGAAGGGCGTGACCATCATTGGACCTGCCACTGTGAGTGACCCCTCCAGAAAGCAAGCCTTTTAAGTTCAAGTCCCTTTTACGAAGTTCTGGGCCCTCAGGAACCTCACTTGTTGATTCTTCTGTCTGTCTCCGAAGTTGAAAGGATTTAGGGAGTACCTCTTGCAAGTCAGTCCGTCCATTTTCGGTTAGTTTTTTTTAAAGAGCTTCCTCTCCAGTCCATATCACCTTTATAGTTTCAAGGGGCTATCTTGTTTCTTAAGTGTTTGTCTACTCTCATACAACCATCGCATAGTCTTTGATTATTCCTTTAACTGTAAACCAAAGGAAAAAACAAAACCTCTACCTGGAGGCTTTATTTTTGACCTTAAGGTCTTCATATAAGGAGAAATTGCTCTGTGACTATCTTACTGTTTTTACGTAGTTGTTTCGTTGGAATTGATGTAAAGTCAAGACAAAAGGACCTCGCACCTCAGAGGCAGTGGGTGGTTTAGGACAGGCACACACCTGTGTTAGACACCTGGACTGGGCGTTGTCACTCTTGTAGAGCAAAGAAGGTGACATACTCCAAGTACACCTATCGGTTAAGGCTTTCTTTTTTCTGTGTCATGTCTCTTGAGGGAGAGAAGAGATTCTTCTTGAGCAGGAAACCCAGTGTGCGGGTGTTAGGTCTCTTGGCCATTTCTTCCCCAGCCTGGCCAGAGTGGGATGGGCTGGTGATCCAGGGCTTGGCGAGTGCTCTGAGCCCTGTGGTCAGTCCGGAGCTCTCCCTCCCTCCTTGACCACTGTTTCTCCCCCTGCAGGTGGGAGGCATCAAGCCCGGGTGCTTTAAGATCGGGAATACAGGTGGAATGTTGGACAACATCCTGGCCTCCAAGCTGTACCGTCCTGGCAGTGTGGCCTATGTGTCGCGTTCTGGGGGCATGTCCAATGAGCTCAACAATATCATCTCTAGGACCACGGATGGCGTCTATGAGGGCGTGGCCATTGGTGGAGACAGGTGATCAGCTGAGGGCCAAGGGGACCTCCCATACTGCTTGCTGCTCCTGCTTCCTGCTGGCATATAACAATGTTTCTTTTTCTTTCTTGGTTTTTTTTTTTTTTTTTGGTCTTGTTTGTTTTTCCAGTTGCAAGTTGACATTCAATATTATCTTAGTTTCAGGTAGGAATGTTATCTAAAGTCCATAAAATGGGGCATATCCACTCTTGTCTCAGGACCAACATGGGCATAAAGATCAGAAAATATAGGAAAAGGGGTTTTAAAAGGCATTTGGGCCTGCGGGGTAGTTCTGTTTATTGTCTGAGGTGGCCATAGGGAGGCAGCAGAGTGCTGTGAGTAGCAAGACCAATTTTGAACTAAGACCAAAGGGGTTCAAATCCCAGTTTCCCTGGACAGGTTACTTACCCTGCACCCCAAGACTTCCATCCTCAATGGGCATAATAATAGTGCCCACTTAATGGAGTTGGTGGGAGGATTAAATGAGGTTACATATTCTAAAGTGGCTAACATGGGCTGGCACTTAATACGTACTCAGTAAGTGTTCAGTTTTGTAGCTAATAATACAGAAAGGAAAAAACACTATTCCTGTGCTCTGCTACTATCACATTCACATTTCTGGCCACTGACCCAGAAGTTCCCACCCCTGTATTCCAGGATTTTTATGGAGGCTTCAACATGGAGCTCTGATCTCTTACTACTAATTCAGCCTTCAGCCCCGCTTCCCTCTCTGGAGGATGGGGGTGGGGCTGAAAGTGCCACACCTCTGGTCATGGCCTCGTCTTTCTGGTGACCAGCCCCCATCCAGGGGCTACACAGGAGCCCTCCAAGAGTTGCCTCATTAGAATAGAAGATACTTCCATCACCTGGGAAATTCCAAGGGATTTAGGAGCTTCTCTCATTACTTGGGAAGTTAAAGTGTCTTAGGAGCCCAGTGTCAGGAACCAGGGTCAAAGATCAAACCCTAGCACAAAAGAGGCTCCCAGCATGTCCAGCACTCAGGAGAGATCCCAAGGGTTCTACGAGGTCTGTGTCAGGAACGAAGGACAGAGAGCGCTGTGTGTATTTCTTATTTTACGCAGCGCCATTTTTGTCGTTGGGAACAATGATCAGCAGTCCTCAGTGCCCTCCTAAACGTTGGCCCATTGCCGGCTGTCACTACTACTGTCCCCGCTGTTACTTTTGGCTCAGGACAGAAAGCTGTTGGGAGACTGAGTCACCTCGTCAGTCTCCCCAGCTCTCCTGCTCGTCTCAGGTGGAACACCTGGCTGAGGAAGGACACCCGCCCCGTTCCGTAGGGGGGCAGCCAACCCTTGATCCTCAAGGTCGCAGTCAACTGAAGGCAGGCCCGAGGCCAGAAGGGGCTTATCCACTGGCTGGCCAGGTGGCTCTTCTCCATGACCTTTCCGCAGGCTGCTTAGTGTCCTGGTGACTTGGCTTGGGGCTTCCCCCAGAGGGAGCAGTTCAAGAGAGAGTGCCAGAAAAGGCTGTTCTTTCTGTAACCGAGCCTTGGAAGTCAGTATCATAGAATGGCACTAGCCACGTTTTATTCATTAAAAGCTAATCATTAAATCCAACGCATATTCAAGAGGAGACGCATGAGGCTCCACCTTCTGAAAAGAATTTGTGGACATATTTTAAAACCACCACACATGTTCTCTCCAGGTATCTCTTCCCACCAAGCAAACCTCTCCGGGCTTATTAACTCCTCTTCCTTCCCTTCTCTTCCCTGTGCTCCATTTATTCCCTCCCCCAGCCCTCTCCCCACTACTCCTAAGGCATCCCTGGGCATCTACCCCCCAAGAAGCCCCCCAGCATTCTTAGCGCAAGCGTGCCTCCCACGCCCGCGCAGCTGAGCGCACTTTCCCGAGCCGTCTCCTGACCCCATGTGCACCCCCTGCTCTCACCAGGTACCCTGGCTCAACGTTTATGGATCACGTGTTACGTTACCAGGACACTCCAGGAGTCAAAATGATTGTGGTTCTTGGAGAGGTGAGTTACAGAAAAAAACTTTTTCATTTCCCTGGTTGCTGAAGTTATGTCTGATACCAGTTTTCTAAAAATGTGTGCATTTTGGTTACATATAACCTAAGGCGACCGTCCCTGCTGATCACACCCCCTTAGACTTTGGGACCTAGGGGTTGTCACCTTGAACGCTACTTTTTCCTTAAAAAAGGAGTTTTTGCCTCGTAGTGGCACAAGACATATTGGTGCCAATAAAAACTGGCCATGGTCTCTACCTTCTGGGTAGTGGATGGTTGGAGTAAAAAGTAAAAAGTGTGATGGTTTTTTTTTTTTTAAGTCTGGGAGAGTCCTTTAACCGTATCCGCCCCGCGGTTGTGCCCCTGATGGCTCCTGTCCTAAATCACCTTGCCCTTAGGTTCGGAAGGAGAGGCCCAGGGACTCTTCTAGGGCGCCTCCTGTCCCCTTACCCTTCTTCCTTGCATTTACTCTCAGTCTCCCAGGCTGTTTGGACCAGGCCTGTGTCCCCCCCCCGCGTTTTCTAGCCAGGTTGAGACTCTGGCTCGTGCCGGGTCTGGGACAGGTTTTCCTGCTGCAGCGCTGCTCTTGGAGCAACGCAGAGCCAGTGCCTGTGGCTCACGGGCTTGTTCTTGTTTCCTGTTCCTTGGCAGATAGGGGGCACGGAGGAGTATAAGATCTGCCGGGGCATCAAGGAGGGCCGCATCACCAAGCCCGTGGTCTGCTGGTGCATCGGGACCTGTGCCACCATGTTCTCCTCTGAGGTACGGCCGGCTCAGTCACTCCTGGCTGGGCAGTCGAACCGTCCGGATGGTTATCTCATAAGCCAGCTCCATCCATACACGTTTATTGCTTGCTTGGTTACTATGAGGTCTAGCTAGGAGCTTAAATGCAATGGGAAGAGACTGACTCAGCAGCAGATTAAGGTGAGAACCGGTCTCTGAGTCCCTATGTGGAGTGGGAACAAGCTGCTCTCTGGAGGAGCTGAGGAGGGAGAGGCTGGCTGAGCAGGAGGGAGGCCGGAGGGGAGAGGACACGCTCCTGGTGCCGGGCTGGGAAGGGCCATGGCGAGAAGGTCTGCGTGGGGAGCGATCCCAGATGGGAAGGTCAGTTCGGCACGTGACGTGATGTGATGTAGGGGAACGTGCCTGGTGGCATATGGTAAGGCCTTAACAGAGCAGACTCTGAGTGTGAGGCCTTGCCCTCGTGTTGTGTGTGAGAGACGATAAAACCTGGCCCTCAAGGCCTTTTGCGGCAGCAGTCGCCCCGGTGCTTAAACCCTCGGTGGTTTCTCCCGGTCAGCCTGCGTCACACCATTTTTCTCTAGAATGCTTGCCTTTCCTCTCCAGACTGCTGCCCGCCTCCGAGTGGCAGTATCTGTCCAGTTGTAAAATGCTCTTGTCCTTTGAACCAGCAGTTCCATTTCTACAAATTTCCCTACAGTTATGCATGCAAAAGATACTTCAAAGTACGTGTATAAAGATTCGCTGCAGTGTTGTAACTGCAGCAACCGTTACACGCTGGGCAGGAGGATACTGGGTACTGGGTGTAGGCACGTAAGAGAGAGCTGGGCAGGCCAGAAAAGAATGGGGTAGGTTTCATTCAATATGTTGATACAGAAAAATTAAGGTTTGTTAAATCTAATAAAGGGTATAGTGCAGTAAATCTTTATAATACCCATTTTGTGTAAGTATCAACCCTGTGTGTGTGTATTTTTTTCAGTTAGATAAAATGGGAGTGGGCGGACATCGGGATCCTGCTTATCTGTGGGGGTGAGCTCTGTTGTCACAGGCTTTAGAATCAGGTCTTGATGGGTCTGTGTGGCATGGGCAAGCCATGTGGCCTTTCTGTGCCAAAGTTTGCTGAGTTGCAAGGCAGGAATGGTCTATTAAATAAGTACTTGTAAAGGTCTAGTACATACAGGCCTTAGCCGCTCTTGCTTTCAGTTCTTCATTTATTTCAGGAAGCTGTTTCTGACTTTCTTCTTGACCACTTTCTCCACCACCCCAGCAGCCAAAAATAATTCCTCCCTCCTCCTCCTCCTCCTCCTCCTCCTCCTGCATTGTTTCTCCTAACCCCTTGCATTACCGCCCTCCACCTCCCCGCCCTCTCTGCTGAGGACACCCGCAAGGCGCAAGGCCTTTCGTCTTCTGTTCCCGGCTGGGCCGTCATCATCACCCCACGGGTTGGCGGGCAGGTCCTCGAGGGGTGTTTTGGTTGTGGTTTTTAATGAATTTTTAAAGCTTACAAAACCTTAAGTATAACAAATATAAAATAGTACAGCGACAGCCTACCTTATGTTTGAATTCACATGACCTTGCAGAACTTTCCAGCCTATAGAGATTAGATAAACCTCTACCCACTGGCACACTGAGACAGCTCCTTGGGAAAAAACAAAGTAAAAACTGGGGAATGGGAGTAGACATCGGGGTTCCTGGGTAGGTGGCATTTTTCAGAAATACACTCCACAAAACACTGGTCTTGCGCGGTGGTCCTCCTCAAAACCAAATACCCAGGGAAGCAAAAGAGCTTTTATAAATTATGAACATGCACTATAACCTTTCTCCCTTTTAACATCTTTGTTTTAGGTTTTAAGAAATCTCTGAGTTAAACTTGTTTAACGTCCTTGAGCCCAGCATTTTCGAAGTTTGTTTGAATACAAAATCTCTTCCTCCCACCCCATTCGCCCCTGCAGATTAAGCCCTACGACGAACGTACGGGGACCTGTGGTTTGCGGCGTGCGTTGCTAACCAGGGCAGCAGTTCCTAACCTTCTCAACACTCCCGGCACCTTTTTCTTCTATTTAGTGGTTAAGAGCACAGAGCCCAATTGCCTGGGTTCAGATGCTACCACACATTATCTGTGTGACCTTGGGCAAGTTGCTTTACTCCCATTTCCTTTTTTGTATAAAGAACGTTATAGCACCTGAACGATTAAATGAGTAAAACTCTTAGAAAGGTGCCTGGATATAGCAGACGTTACTTAAACGAGTCAGGTGCGACTGTGATTACCCACCACCCCCCTTCCTGAGCCAGGGTTTCCATACCAGAGATTTCACTGGGTTACTTTGTTTCCCCATTGCTTCATCAAAAACATTGGTGTTTCTTCATTCTCACTCACTTCTGGCTGTCAGTCAACTCCCACGTTCCAGTGGATTTATGTTTTACCTCAGCTCATGCTCAGGTGGAAGGTAGCAGTTGCCCATTGGCTCCAGGTCACTGTTGCTGTGTGGGTGCAAAGTCTGACTTTCAGAGAAGCTGGGAGTTAATATTTTTACATGAAGTCTTTTTATTTTCTTCTTCTTTTTTTAATTGGTACCTGTTTTACAGAAAGTGTGTGTAGGGCGGACAGAATCATGTCTGTGAGCTCACTTCAGCCTCAGGTTGCCAGTTTGTCACTTCACCTCTCACCTGTTACTCAGAACGAACCCCTCTCCTCCATCCCCCGAGCACTGCCCCGGAGGAGCCAAATGAAGGGCATGGGCGGCCAGGCTTTGTATCCCAGCCCCGGGATACAGCTCTGTGGCCTTGAATGAGCTCCCGAATGTCTCAGTGCCTCAGTTTCCTCATCAAAAAAGGAGTTGTCCATTATACCTGTTTAGCAGGTCTTCTTGGGAATGAATGAAGTGATTTATGAGGAGTGTTGAGCAGGGATTGGCCTGTAATGAGTGCTACCGTTTCCCAGGAGCCTTTGTTCTGTTTCACGGTATTAACAAGCCCAGTCACGCTGCTCTCCTTTGCCTTCCAGGTGCAGTTTGGCCACGCTGGAGCTTGTGCCAACCAGGCTTCTGAAACAGCAGTCGCCAAGAACCAGGCTTTGAAGGAGGCAGGAGTATTTGTGCCTCGGAGTTTCGATGAACTTGGAGAGATCATTCAGTGAGTGGAACTTGGCTAGGATGCTGGCTACTCCCTCCCTTTCCAAATCTCTCCTGAGGTCAGCAGCCGCTGTAACATGGAAGTATCTGATGTTCCTATCCACGTCAGCAGCAGCTGCATGGATAGTCCAAAATCCTTTCCTCTTGGCTTTTGTTTCACTTTGTTTGCAGAAGCAGCAGTCTCCCACCATTTAGGCCAGTATTAAACACGACATGTTCAGTTTCTTAACCTTTCTACTTGGTTGGCCATAAATGAGAGATGAGCATATAGAAGCATTTAGAAAGTGTCACCTCTGACTGACGGACAGAGTTATTGAATATCCTGTCGTTTCTTCCCATTCCTCCTCTCTGTCCTTGCTTGCCCTCCACACTCAACTTTCTATAAAGGCCTGTTCAGGAGAGCCTTGGCCAGAACCTGTTTTCATTTAGTTCTTGGGACTCTTCACTGGTAAACGTCAGTCTCTGACAGGATGGGAGCACAGAGAGGGGAAACCAGAGTGTTGGGGGTGGTTGGAGGAATATTTCTGGGATGGCTTAAAAGAGCTGAGAAGAAGAAAATCCACATGGCTGTCTTTTCTCCTGCCCTGCCCCCACCTCCCAGGTCTGTGTACGAGGATCTCGTGGCCAAAGGGGCCATTGTACCAGCTCAGGAGGTGCCTCCCCCAACGGTGCCAATGGACTACTCCTGGGCCAGGGTAGGTGCCATATATGTCCCTTATGGTGTGGGCAAGGGAGATGTGGGTTGCTTTTCCTTGAACCTTGGAAACCAGGCCTGCCCCAGTAGTTAGAGCGACCGTGCGATCACTGGTCTGGGCTCCAAACCACGCGCCTGGGGAGGCTTCTCCGAGGGCTAAAGAGACACTGGGCCGCTGACTCTTGCGTTCCACCCCCTCCTGTGCTGGAGCTTGTGTGCAGGGTCCAAGAGGGCAGAGGCAGCGGGTGTTTCCCCAAGTCAGGGTGGGTGGCCTGACTTGAAGTGGGGGCCCAGGCAGACAGTGTCCCCGAGTTATTTGTGCTTCCTAAGAGAGTTCAGGGCGAAGCAGAGTGTCCACTCTGCCTTCTGTGTAAGGGGCATGGATAAAGAGCTCATTTTCTCGGTAGGTAAGAACTCTTAGAAATCAATTTTTTAAAGACCCAATTAGAAAAATGGGTAGGAGAGGGCCTTTCAACAGGAAAAAAATGTTCAACTGCATTCATTATAAAAAGAGCCAAAGTAAAAGCTGTGATGCCAGTTTTTCCATGTCAGGCCAGCAAAGGTACGGAAACCCTCTCTGGCAGGATGCTCTGTCTGCGCAGCTGCGGGGACCCTGGGGCAGCCTCGGCATGGGTGGGCACGGAGAGCGACCCTGCCCTCCGGAAAGGCAGGGGGTCATAGGAGTCACTTCTGAAAGAGCTTGTACCTTGTGGCCCAGTGATTCCATGTCTAGAAAACTGCTTCAGAAAATGCTAACAGATGCAAATGAAGCATATTCAAGAATATTTTTGTAGTTGACAGTTATCAGTAAAGGAATGGGATATACTATACAGCAGGTAAGGGAACGAACTAGATCTGTGTGTGTGCTGACGTTTATAGGGCTCAAGCTCATTGAGTAAATACATTACAGGACAGTGTATTTATTGCATGTACATGAAACAGTGTGGCGTATTCTCCATGTGTTTATGTATGCATGTAAATAAAAGTGGAGAAAGGCCCAGAAAGATGTCCCCTAAACTAACAAACAGTAAGGCAGAAAACTGAAAAAGGGGTGAAGGTCAAAGGCAACATAACTTTATTTGTTCTGTTTTAAATTTTTAAAAAGGAGAATGTATTCATGTAATTAATAGGTAGTTAAAAGCGTTTTTTAATTAAAGTTCATAGGGGTAATTGAAGAAATGGGCTTGGACAACATGGGCTGCTGAAACCCCCAGGTGCCCCAGCTCAGGAAATGGGGAATCCAGGAGCTCAGTTCCCTCCCTGGGGTGAAAAACGTCATGAGGGGATCCCCCGTATCCACGGCCATGTGCCTCATTCCATTTTGGTGGGGAGTTGGCAGCTGTATGTGGAGTGTTTAAAATTTTTCCTTTGGAATCATTCTTCCATTTCTTTTTATTTTTTAAGATTTTATTTATTACTTTTAGAGAGGGGGGAAGGAAGGGAGAAAGAGAGGGAGAGAAACATAGACTGGTTGCCTCTCTTATTCCCCCAACTGGGGACCTGACCTGCAACCCAGGCATGTGCCCTGACTGGGAATCAAACCGGCGACCCTTTGCTTTGCAGGCTGGCACTCAATCCACTGAGCCACACCAGCCAGGGCTCATTTTTTCACTTCTTAGCCAGGTGACCTTGGGCTGGTTACTGAGCCACTCTAAGACTCATTTCCTTTGCTGTAACATGAGGAATGATTGTCCTTTGTGAAGTAAGTGAACCTATGGATATAAACGGCTTAGCGCACTGCCCAGCTCAGTGAAGAACAGAACGGCCCTGAGCCAGCGGGTGCCATGGGCGTGGCGCTCCTGTTTCCTATGCTGGAAACAATGCAGTAAAGGACTTTTGCACTTCTTTCTCGGAGGAGTTTGTACACTTTCATGCTTACACTCTTTCTCAGGAGAAAGTGTATAAGTGGAACTCTGAACCTGGGCCTGAACCCGACACAATGAAAGCCATTGTCAAATATGTGGCCACCAGAATTTTAAGACATTCCTGGGACGCTGGTTCCAGGGGCACAGACGGTGGGGCGGTTCAGGGAAAATCTCTGGTCACCATAGCACTATGTGCCTCTGCCCCCATCCCTGCTCAGGAGCTGGGCTTGATCCGCAAACCTGCCTCGTTCATGACCAGCATCTGCGATGAGCGAGGGCAGGAGCTCATCTACGCAGGCATGCCCATCACCGAGGTCTTCAAGGAAGAGATGGGCATCGGCGGCGTCCTCGGCCTCCTTTGGTTCCAGAGAAGGTGAGGCGTGGAAGGCACAAGGTGGTAGGGCCCCGCAACTCGGAGTCGATGGCTTCCCCTGATGGGAGTGGGGGTGGGCAGCCTTGGAGACTGCGTCCAGGGTCAGCCAGTCTTTCTGGCCACAGATCAATTGTAAGGCTGGAGGACATAAGTTAAGGCTGCTCTGCCTTCTAAGGACAGAAGGTCCTGTCTAAATTAAAAGAAGAAGAAAGTATGACTTAATGAGGAATCTTGGACCAGCCTCTTTGCCCTGGGAACTCATAAAGACATGGGATGGAGTGAATGCAGGCCTCTCGAGAGGAAGGTGAGGGTCAGTGGGAGAGATCCGGACAGATCTGGTAGCTTAAAGAGTGCAGGGCTGGTAGAATTGCTGAGCAGCCATAAAGTGCCTTGTATCATTAGCCTAAATGTGAGAGAAAATTGGTTTTCTCTGCAACTCCCACGCTTAGCCCTCCCCTGGGACTGACAGCTGGGCAAGGAGGCCAGTGAGAACATGGCTGACAGAGCCCTGGCTTGGGATTGGCTTGGGCCAAAGGCCAGGTCGAAGCCTTGGCTTGTGTCATGCCCTTACCTGCAGAGAGGGGGGTCTTAGTCCTGCTTTGGGCCCTTCCTGGGAAATGGTCACGAGCTGTACCCCCTGAGCAGGTTCACTCTGCTCTTGCACCCCCATGTCTCCAGACCGCATTCTTCATCATTAATTGGTAGGACAAACACTGGAGGAGGCGCAGGGCCTCCCACGCTGTGAAAAGGACAGGGGCCTCACCTTCTCTCTGTCTGGGCCATAGAGGGAAGCCACGCATACAGGTCAAATCCGGTCACAGCAACTGGTGCTGAAAAACTGCTGGCTAAAAAAGAAGTTTCAGACCCTGGTCGCTCCCTCTGCTTAAAAGCAGTATTTGTTACCAGCAAAATCCAGAGCTGCTCAAGAATCTGGAGGCTTGGCCCCCGAGTTGCATGACAGCGTGAGACCTGGATTGGCAGGGTGCTGCTCCCCTTCTTGAACTTGAGTGACTTGTTGAGCGAGTGGGAGAAAGTAGGAGCATGGCCTTGCCAGTGTGTCTCCTGTTCAGTAGCTCACCATTGTTTCTGCCCATCTTTCCCTGTCCCTTTACTGGCTCTCCTGTAGGTTGCCCAAGTACTCCTGCCAGTTCATTGAGATGTGCCTGATGGTGACGGCTGATCACGGGCCAGCCGTGTCCGGAGCTCACAACACCATCATCTGTGCACGGGCTGGGAAGGACCTGGTCTCCAGCCTCACCTCGGGGCTGCTCACCATTGTACGTACTGTAATCCTGGGAGGTGCACAGCAGGGGCTCTGGGCTTTGGCACCATGCTGTTGGGCTACAGCAGGGTCCTCGAAGGGGCCCTGGAGGAGGAGGAGAGCCTGTGCTGGGGCTGTTCAGGGCGAAGTGGACTGGTCTGCAAAGCCGAAGAAGGCTCATAGCTCAGGGCAACGTGGGCTTGCTTCTCCTACAGGGGGATCGGTTTGGGGGTGCCCTGGATGCAGCGGCCAAGATGTTCAGCAAAGCCTTTGACAGTGGCATTATTCCCATGGAGTTTGTGAACAAGATGAAGAAGGAAGGAAAACTGATCATGGGGATCGGTCACCGAGTGAAGTCGGTAAGTTGTTCTCCTTAAGGAACAGGAGCTACGGGGTTAAGGGAGACGAGAGAGCATCAGCTTAGTTGAGAACACCCAGGCCCTCAACTTAAACATAAAAAGTTTTGGAGGGGTTGACAGATGCCAACGTTATAATACAGATTGCCTTTAAACAGTTTTTGTTGTGTTCAGTTGTGTGAAAAGGCAAGCTGAAAACGCACCCTCTGAACCTTACAGGAGACAGGACTAAAGTCAGGGTTAGGTAGACATGTCCCTCACCGGAGGCCAGCTGCATTCTGCAGTCACACACAACTCCAAAAATCTCAGTGGCTTCCAAGAGCAAAGGTTTGTTTCTTACTCACCCACCCACTATGGGTGGCCTGCGGCTCTGTTTTTGCTCTTCTGCACCGGAGAAGCAGCCTCTATCTTGGAAAACAGTCATGGCAGAACCATGTGGAAGCTCTTAAAGCCTCTGCTTGGTAGTTGTACAGCTCACTTTCACTAGAATTTCATTGGCCAAAGAAAGTCTTGTGTTTATTTAAGTCTGAGGTGACTGGGGTAGGAAGAGCAGTAGTACCAGGGCAGGCTTGATGGGTAGAGGTTAGGGAGTGGCTATTTTAAATGGTTAATAGACCCTCCCGCAGGGCGGGCAGTCGTCTCTGTGTCCTGGTAGTGAGTTGTATTTAGAAATCAAAGGGAAAGAGAAGAGGTAGTGACAGCTGCTCAGGGCCTTACAGGGACAGCTCCTTATAGGACCCTTTGCCTTGGGGTCCTTGGCTCTGTATCTGTAGAACCCTCATTCAGTCGGTCACTGCTGGTCTAGACAGAATGTATGACTCACACTCATACTGTGGCTCCTTTACTCAGTCAGCTGTGCAGCCCTTTTCTTCTAATGTTCATTGATTTTTATTCCCTCCCAACTCTAAAAGCAATGCATGCTCATTACAGAGGACTTAGAAAATATAGAGAATTATAAAGAAGAAAACAAGAGGGTCATGCATGTGATCTATAAGAACACCCCCTTCCAGGCATCCAAATGCTTGGCCAGCTCCGGGTAGACCTCCAGAGAGGGCTCGCTCAGCAAGGACTGCACTAGAACCAGGGGAGGTGGTTAGCTCAGAGGGACATTCCATCCAGGCTTTGCCAAACTTTGCCCGGCCACCCCCAGCTCCCAAGCAGAGAACACCCCTCCAGTCCGCACGGTGCAAGGCCTCTTTCTGAGAGAATGTCACGCCTACACTGCCACACCCAGTGTTTTAGGCTCCTTCCCTTCTGGAGTCCGTACTGACCTAGTGTGTCTCTGCCGAGGGAGGAGGTCACAATGGCACTGGGTTTTGGCCTGTGCCCAGTCCGTCTTCACTCCCTCACTGAAAGATCAGTATTTAGTGGGGGTCCCTTAACAGGTGGTTCCTCTCTATTCACTACAGGTCCAGAATTTTTCCTAAAATTTCAGGGAGCTTGCTTAGTGTGGAACTTTGTTACAGCTTGGCCAAGGCCGCTGAGCTGGTAGATAACATGGCCAGTGGCTAGAACCTAAGACTTCTGGTTAGAGACCCCCCTGCTGCTTAACACAGTAGGACCCATGGCTAACTCATCAAGTCTGTCAGTTCCTTTTCTGTATCTTAAAAGAGAGAACCTAGCCCTGGCTGGCTGGCGAAGTTGGTTGGAATGTTGTTCTGTACACCCAAAAGTTGCAGATTTGATCCCTGGTTGGGGTGTAATGGGAGGCAGTCAACTGATATTTCTCTCTCTCTCCCCACCTCCATTCTCAAATCAGTAAACATATACTCTGGTGACAATTTTTTTTTTAAGTTAAAAAAAAAAGAGAGAGAGAACCTAAAAGGCTGTTTTGGGGCCCAAATGAAATATGAGAGGACTTTAAAAACCTTAAGCCCCCAGTGTCTTATCTCTTGTTACCTGGAATCAAACATGTGGACCTACTCCCTGGAACACACCTGGATGTGAAATGTACAGTTGTGTCCACCTGTGGTGTGAGCACGGCCTGCTTCTTAACAGCAGTGTTAGAGTGGGTTCCTCTGTAACTTTGAGTCACTTTCTAGATAAACAACCCAGACATGCGAGTACAGATCCTCAAAGATTACGTCAAACAGCACTTCCCTGCCACCCCCCTGCTCGACTACGCGCTGGAAGTGGAAAAGATTACAACCTCGAAGGTAAAAATGTCCCTGATTCCTGAATCACAGTTTTGGGTGAATTTCTTAGGAAAAGTGAGAGAGCCAAGTTACCTGTTGATTGTGTAGCTGAAATTAAGCCTGGTTTTCTGGCAATTTTATTTCTGTTGCATAACTAAGTTCAGCAGATATATACTAAGTGTCAATTGGGTGTCCAGTCCTTTGCTAGACATTGAAGATGGAACTCAGTAAGACAGTCTCTTCTAACCAACTGGGATGTTTTGGTGGGAGATTTTTAAATGGTGATCAGAATGTGTAGTATAATAATAACAGTGATAAATTACAAGGAAAAAATGAGAAATAATGATACATGCTTTGAATATTTTTGCCTTCGCAGAAACCAAATCTTATCCTGAATGTAGATGGTTTCATCGGAGTTGCCTTTGTAGACATGCTTAGAAACTGTGGGTCCTTTACTCGGTGAGCTTTGCGGCCCTCTCCTCCTTCATAATGTTTATTGATTTTTGTTGTTCCCTCCCAACTCTAAAAGCAATGCATTATAGAGTATTTAGAAAATATGGACAGATATAAAAAAAAGCAAAAATCGCCTCTGCTCCTGTCACCCAGAACACCCCATCGTTCCACTTTGAAAGCAAAGAGAGCTAGTTCAGTCACTGTGTGTGCAGGAAAGGGCACCGGGCCATGTGAGCCATTTTAACATGACATGTTGATTGTGTGTTGCAGGGAGGAAGCTGATGAATATATTGACATTGGAGCCCTCAATGGCATCTTTGTACTGGGAAGGAGTATGGGCTTCATTGGTGAGTTAGTTGTTGCTACTGTTTTCAGAGTTTTTTAGTTTTAGGTGTTTTTGTTTTTTGTTTTAACCCCATGGTCCAGCTGCACTACTTAACCCTTGTGGTTTCTTCAAAACAGATGTCACATTGACTTAATCATTGTTCCTAATCCTTTCTTTCTTTCACTTCCCCCTTATCTTTGTTCCTTTGTCCTTGGAAATGACTTTGATTGCAAACCCAACAAAATATAATTAATTCCAACAATTTCCTTTTTTACCAAGCCTGGCATCTACCTATGGAATGGCTCTGGATTTACTTTGTAGCTGCCCATTTCTTTGTATCTGCCTTTGCATAAAGAAAGATTTCCCTCCCTTATCCTTTCTCCTTTATCAAATTCATGAACTCTTAATTAAAAAAAAAAAAATGCATTTGCTCCATTTTAGGACACTATCTTGATCAGAAGAGGCTGAAGCAGGGACTATATCGTCACCCATGGGATGATATTTCATATGTTCTTCCGGAACACATGAGCATGTAACTGAGCCAGGAACCCTGTTGCAGTAAAGTGAAGACAACTCCTCCCTTGGGAAATGGCGTGCAGACAGCTGGCACTGGAGCTTGCTATAGGAGGGGTCTGGGATATAAACAGCCTCTGGTGTGCAGGCACTGAAGACCAACACCCACAGGCTAACACGGTTCAGTCCACACTCAAAGAAGCTATTTTTTTTTTTATAAGCATAGAAATAAAAAACCAAGCCAATACTTGTGACATTTGCTCTGCTACTTGCTGTATTTATTACATCAAAGCATCTAAGCACTGTCAGGATTGTGTTTTTCCTCATTGTAGAGCTTTCTGATGTTGCTTTCTTTTTTCCATTAGTTAAAAACTTTTTTCCCTTGGAGGAAAGGAATGAAACTTTACGACCTCAAGATACTATACATTTAAAGCACCCCTACTGTCTCGTTTTTCCATGTCCCTTTCTTCCTGCTCATGTAACTTAAAGAGCATTGTATTAATCTGATCTTTTTAGGATCTTTTTGTATGTTCTATATTAAGGGTTTGTTTGGTATCTCACTGAAATGTTCCATATTGCAGACCAAAGTCTGCTTATGTCAGGGGCTTGAGACCATTGAATCCTTACCCATTGTCACAAAATATGTGGAGTAGTAATTTAAAATGTAAAGTTGTAACATACATGTTTAAAATAGAAACACAAAGCAAAAAGCTGTGAAGTGTCTTTTGAGTCTTATGTTCTCTGTATTTATGCAGCTGACTTGTCTGTCTGTTCCTGAAGTTGTGGGTCCAAGGACTCCTCTCTAGCCAGTTCGCATATGTAATCCACAAAGATTCTGGGCAGCTGCCACCTCAGTCTCTTCTCTGTATTGTCATAGTTTGGTTTGAATAAACTATATAGTAACAATGACTGTCTACTGTCTCATGTCATACATACCCTTTCATCTCTATTCCCCTGAACTGTACTTTCTAGTAATTTTACTACATGTAGTTTTAAAAATGTTAATCTTTTTTTTTTTTAAGGAATTAAAACACTATTTCCAAAAACATAAAGCACCCGCACCTAAATCTGTACCTCTCAGTGAATGGGAACCAAAGCTCTACCCACCCAGATACTCAAGCCAGCAACTCAGGAGTCATCCTGTACTTCTATCTGGTTGACAAGTCCTTTTGATCTATCCTGTTTAAAAATAATTTAAGTATAATTGACATACTAGTTTCAGGCATACAATTTGATATTTGTATATTAACTGCGGAATAATCACGTCTATAATTGTTATTAACTGTGGAATAATCACAGTAAGTCTATAGCTACCATTCAATTTACCCTTTATCCCCCTGATGGATTCATGTAGGGTGTGCTAACGTGAGCCCCTAGTTCTACTTTTGACCTTGTACAGTACATTCTCCACGCAGCCACCAGTGATATTTTTAAGAACACTTCATTGAGACACACCCTTGCTTAAAACCCCAAAGTGGCTTTTGGTCATCTTTTTAACCAGTACACAGGGAACAACAGTGTAGCTATGGCCCAACCACTGCAAAACACATCAAGCATCTCATCTACTCTTCACAGCCATCTTCCAACGTAGATATTACCATTCTTAGAAGATAATGAATTCACAGATAAGTAACTTGAACACCTTCCTTCATGAGTTGCATCCCCAACTCATCCATTAGTTGGGGCGCAGTCTCGAGTCGTTTCTAAAAAATTTGCTCCAAGGCCATTTTAAAACTAAAAATTCTATGTTACCACCCAAGACACTAACAATGAGTAATGGTGTAAGGTTGCTTTTGTTTTACAAAATGCCCACGATGAAGAGAATGCTATTCACTAAGAGGAAGAACACAAGCCATTCCCCGCCAACATGTCTTCAGAAGACCTAGCTGGCAAACAGTAGCGTTGAATCTACCCCAGGTGGCACGGTGTCGGGCGGAAGCGACGGCGCGTGCGCAGACCCCTCTAGCCGGCTCCGCCCCGCGCCCACTATTCCCAGAATTCCTCCGTGTCGCCTCACAACGGCTGGACCGTTCAGAGACTGCGGCGGCCGGGCGCGGCGGCGTCAAGATGGCGGCTGCGGCAGTAGCGGCGGCGGCCGCAGCAGCCGCAGCTGCATCTCTGCAGGTACTGGAGATGGAGAGCATGGAAACGGCCGCCGCCGGCTCGGCGGGGCTGGCCGCCGAAGTCAGGGGCAGCGGCACGGTGGACTTCGGGCCCGGGCCCTGCTTATCTGCCATGGAGGCGAGCGGGGGCGATCCTGGCCCGGAGGCCGAGGATTTCGAGTGCAGCTCTCACTGCTCCGAGCTGTCGTGGAGGCAGAACGAGCAGCGGCGCCAGGGCCTCTTCTGCGACATTACCTTGTGCTTCGGCGGTGCCGGAGGCCGCGAGTTCCGAGCCCACCGTTCGGTGCTGGCCGCCGCCACCGAGTACTTCACGCCCCTGCTCTCGGGCCAGTTCTCCGAGTCCCGCTCGGGCCGAGTAGAGATGCGCAAGTGGAGCTCCGAGCCCGGGCCCGAACCCGACACGGTGGAAGCCGTTATCGAATACATGTACACCGGGCGCATCCGCGTCAGCACGGGCAGTGTGCACGAGGTGCTGGAGTTGGCCGACAGGTAGGCAGGGGATTCAGGTGACGCAGGGGAGGAGGCTGGTGGAGACGCTGGCCTCCGCCCGAGGGCCGCATCCGGGGACGGCGCAGAAGGTGGGGAGGGCAGTGCCCACGGGTGCGCTCGAATGGACCCCGAGGCAGCGCACTCGTTTGATTCTGAGTCCGTGTGCTGTGGGGCAGCTTCAGCGCTGGGTGCTGAGGATGCAGCCGGCCAAGACAAGAGCCAGGGGAGGGCTGCTCGCCCTTACGGAGCTCAGATTCCAGGTGGAGGGACAAAGGCGATGAAAAGCAAAGTCCGCATCTTATAAGTGCTGTATTGACATTAAAAAGGGATGAAAGGGCGGCGGGCGGAGGGGGAGGGGGGCGAAAGCATAGTGATTGGGTAGAGGAAATACCTTTCTGAGGAGGCGACATTTAAACCGACCTCTAAACAGCAAAGATGGGGAATGAACATTCCAGGCAAATAGCGCAGAGGCCCTCAGGCAAGATCCAGTTGGGCTTAGAGAAGAACTAAAAAAGAAAAATGCAGTGGGGCTGGATATATAGTAGGTGAAAGGGAGAAGGGTATGTGAAATACGTTGGAATAAGGGATTTGGATTTTACTAGGTGATGGGAAGCTGGGTAAAGAAATGATCAGATTTAAATATTTTAAAAGATTATTCTGCTGCTGCTGTAGGAGCCAGGGATGGATGCTCCAGAGACTGGTTAGGAGGCAGGCGAATGCCATTTATAGAGATGGGAGGAGCCTGTTTGGGCAGTATTATGTTACAGATACATTATTTTAACAAATACCTGTTGATTACTTATTATACACCAGATCAGACTCGGGGTTCTGAGGTGCTGGGACTTCAGTGGTGAACAAAACAGACAAAGATCCCTTTCCTCATTGCACTCACATTGGTGGATAGACAACAAATAAATGAAGTAGATAGCACTTTGGGTGATTGTTATGGCTGATGAAAAATAAAACGCGACATATAGAATAGGAAGTGCTTGTGGAGAGAAACTATTTTTTAAATTGAATAGAGAATCCTCACAGAAGGATATTTGCAAAGAACTGAAGGAGGCGAAGTGAATCAGTGTTTCAGGTAGGGGACAGAGGTGTAAATGCCCTGAGGCGGAGCTCGTCTGGATGGTAAAGAATAGCTGGAGGCTGGTGTGGCTGGGTCCAAGGGACGTGGAGTGAGAGGAGTAGGAGAGGCCTCTGGGTGGCAGTGGGAAAGGATCCCCATCCCAGAGGGCCTTGTCGGCCTGTGGAAGGACTTGAACTTTTACTCTGAATGAGGCGGGAAGGTTTGAGGCAGAGGCGCCTCGCAGTCTGCTTTGAAGAATTCTTCTGTGTTGGAAGAAGAATGGGGCAGCAGGGAAGGGGCTGCAGGGGCGGAAGAAGAGAACCTAGTTTGGGAGATTGTTGCGCTGGTGGCAGAGCTTGGACGGAGGAGGAAAGGTGATAGGAGGTGCTTCAATTCTAGATATATTTTGAAGATAGAGGAAATGGATTTGCAGATGGATTCGATGTGTGGTGTGAAGGAAAAACTGCTAGTTTTGGTCCCAAGCAGCTGGAAAGTTGGAGCTGTTATTTATCAACATTTGGAAGACAGCAGGAAAACAAGTTTAGGAGGAAGATCAGGAGTTCGGTTTGGGTCCAGATGTCTGAGTAGGCGGTTGGATATCAGAGCATTGGGCGGTAGAGATGGGGGGCAATTAGCATATAGATAATAATTAAAGCTATGGGACTGGATGAAATTCCTTAGGAAGAGAGTGTATATAAAGAAGAGAAGGGCAGGACTGAGCTCTGGGATTCTTCAAAATGTTAAAGAGGAACCGGCAGAGAAAACTCATCTCATGGAAGCCTAGAAAGAAAGCGTGTCTAGGAGGGAGTGGCCAGTCAGGCCAGCTCTGACAGTCATAAATGATCCTCGAAATTGGCGCTGGGTCCTTGATTGCATTCATTGACAAGAGCCATGTAAAAAAATTTTTATTGATTTTTTTTTTTAGAGACATTTATTTGTTTTTTCACTTATTTATGCATTCATTGATTGATTCTTTTTCTTTCTTTTTTTTTTAAGATTTTAGATTTAGAGAGGGGAAGGGAGAGAAACATTGATTGATAGGTTGCATCTTGCACACCCCCAGTGGGGGACCCGGCCTTCAACCTAGGCCTGTGCCCTGACCGGGAATTGAACCAGCGACCCCTCAGCTTGCAGGCCAGCACTCAACCCACTGAGCCACACTAGCCAGGGCTGCTGGTTGATTCTTGTATGTGTCTTGACCTGGAATCAAACCTACAACCTTAGCATACCAGGAAAACACTAACCTAGTGAGCTACCCTGTCTGGGCCTTTTCTTTTTTTTTTTTTAAACACTACATTTTTTAAAAAATTGATTTGAGAGAGAGAAGAAGGGAGCGAAAGAGAAACATCAATTTGTTATTCAACCTCTTTATGCATTCATTGGTTAGTTCTTGTGTGTGCTGTGACTGGGCTCAAACCCGAAACCTTGGCTTATCAGGAGTACACTAACCAACTGAGCTTCCCAGCCAGGGACAAGAGCCATTTAATTTAAGTCTTGCTGCAAAAGGATCAGAAAAATGATACACATGGAAATGTTTGGGGAGGAGTCCAGGGAGTTCTATCTCCCCCCCCCCCCGCGGGCCCCCTCCCCCCTCCAGCTCAAAGATAGAGATATTAGAGCATGTTTGTGTGCTGATGAAGAATGAATCAGTAAAAGAGGAGAAATTGATGTTACATGAGCAGGGAAATAATTGCAGGAGCAAAGTCCTTGAAATCAAGATGGGGATAGAATCTGTATTAAAAAATGGAAAAGTTGGACTGAGAAGTCAAGTATAGGGTCAAGCTATAGGCAGTTTGGGCGATGGGAAGATGAAGTTTCTGCCCCATCGCTTCTCTTTTCTCAAAGCAGTGTGGGATTGGGTCACCCATTCGAGGGTGGAGTGGGGCAGGGCAGGTTGGGGGATTGAATAAAAATGGAAATGGAAGGCTCATTGCATTCGCTCAGGCTGTGTTTGCTTCTGTCAGTGAGCTTTGTTTTTCAGCTTTGTTCCTGCTTTACTGGGAGTTAGGGGCGAGGATGAGGAGGAAAAAACCCAGACTATTGATTTAAAACTAACTCCTCTCCGTCAGTTGCTGAACAGCTGCCTGGTGTTGGGCACTGTTCAGAGTGCCCTGCAACCATCACATCTCATCTTATCTGTTCTGAGGCAGGGGCCCTCTCCCTACCACCACCCTCCTCCCTCCCTTACTCTGTTGATCATACCTACCTTGAAGGGCACTTATAACGTAAATAACAGGAAGTGCAGTATGTGGTGCCCATCACATGGCAGATTCCTAGTATATGCTAGCTATTGTCTTCATAGAGCAGCGTTTCTTCGGTCCAAACACCGGTCCAAAGGAATCTCTCTCAGAATTATCTAGAGTGCCTTACAAATAATAGGTGCTGGAGGAGGGGTTGGAGCCTGGGAATCTAGGGACCCAGGCACCGAGACATGTTTGCATGCTATGAGACCTCTTACCACTCCACCATGTCTTTGTCTTACATCTAAGATGGGATGTTCCCTGAAGAGGAGGAAGGGAGCTTGTCTTACTCATCTTTGTATCATTGTTAGATGGCATCATTCATGGTCCTTGGCACAAATTCAAAGCCAACAGGAATCCCCAGTTTGGGGCGCAGTGAAGAAGAAAACTTTGAGTGCTAAACAGCTTGATTGTGATACAGCACAGCTGTGAAAACAGTGCGGGCTGTGCAGCCGCTCAGTTGTGATACGAGGCTGTGAGGCAGCCCTGGGACCAGGCCCCTTTCCAGCTAGACAGCTCTGTTCCTCGGTGGTCTGCTTTGGTCTGATCCTTTCTGTGCTTCTCACTGTTCCACCAAGACATCTTTGGTGCTTCAGCTCAGCCGGGGATACACAGCTTTTGGTGAAAAGGGAAGTGCGCTCTCACAGCCGGAGGGAGCTGGCCTATGTGGACAGAAGTCCCTGCCTGTGGTCCTTGATTGCTCTGTCCTCATGTGAATGAGGACTTCAAATCCTCACAGTTTAATCGGTCCAAGAGACACTGTCCTGACTGGTCAGAATAGAGCCGTCCTGGTTGGTTGGAGTTGCACAGCTCTGATTGGTTGGGGAGAGCCTCAGTCCTATTGGTTGAAGTAGGATTCCAGGAGCTCCTTTATAAGGACTGGCTCGGATGGCAGAAACACAGGGGCAGGCCTGTCTGAAGCGCAGTTGGTGTGCGGGGCTCCTGTGTAGAAATGGTTGCTAGGCTCTGTTTTAAAAATTTGAGTCCAGTTAGCTACCAGGAACCGCCTTTTAGTAAGTGTTGTCTTCCTCGGGGTTCACGGTAGTTGTAATAACCACAGTAACAGATGGTTACTGAATTAGAGAGGCCTGAACTGATGAAGTCATCCTTATATTGTTAAGCTTCTCAGTGCTGGGGATGTTGTCTTTTTAAAGATGTGGTCACAAATTCGCTACCCTTGGGGCTGAGTTCTGCCATATTTAAGGATTGGGCTGAAACTATTGTGAGTGTTTTAAAAATTTAACTTCAACCAAATTTAAGTCAGCAATTTCTAATCAGTTACATGCCAAACCACTTTCTTTTTTAAACCTGGACTGTCCTACACATGTGTTTTTTATTGTTGTTGTTTTATTTCCTGGCCTCTTCAGATGTTTGAGTTTGTTTTGTCAGCCCTGCTTTAATGAGAATGCCGCTTGGCCCAGAGTGCTCCCACACTCCCCAGCACCCTCCCTCCAGCGCTGACCTGGAAGGAAGGTCAAGTGGGGCGGTGATTTACACCTCTGACACAGAACCTTCACTGCTGTTGCTTCCATTGCTTGAGCAAACAGCCTCTATTCTCCTATACTCCTATACAGTGCAGTCCACGCCTAATGATGTCTCCTCACTGAGACCCTGCCTCATTGAAGAAGAGGCTGGTAACTGGCTAGGGATTAGTGCGGGATGGTATAGACAAGTTTGAATTGGGATTTGCCTTTGCCAAGGACAAATTAAAGTGAAAATAAAGTATGGGACTATTGTGCTTTATTAAAGGATATGTTCTGGAAAACCTTACATAATTTTAAAACTCCATTGTGTGTGTGTGTATTAGCTATATTATGCATAATATATAATTATATAGAAACTATATAATACAAATAATTTACAACAGATCATATGTAAAGATGATTTTATATATGCATTGTAAACATGCTTTTCAACATAATCCATTTTAATTTGGGAGGATTTGTGTTTTTTTTTTCCAGATATTGTGCATAGTGAAATGAAGTTTACCATTTCGGTTTGTATAACTCAAATACTGTAAAAACACAGCCACTGTATTTATGCACACTCGAAAATTAATCTATCTTTTTCTTGATTTTTAGGTTCCTATTAATTCGTTTAAAAGAATTTTGTGGAGAATTTCTTAAGAAAAAACTTCATCTCTCTAATTGCGTGGCCATCCATAGCTTAGCTCACATGTATACCCTCAGCCAACTTGCTCTGAAAGCTGCCGACATGATACGGAGAAATTTCCACAGAGTAATTCAGGATGAGGAATTTTATACTTTGCCTTTCCATCTTATTCGAGACTGGTTGTCAGACTTGGAAATTACGGTTGATTCCGAAGAGGTTCTTTTTGAAACAGTTCTGAAGTGGGTTCAGAGAAATCCTGAAGAGAGGGAGAGATACTTCGAAGAACTTTTTAAATTGCTCAGACTGTCCCAGATGAAACCTACTTACCTTACTCGGCATGTCAAACCAGAGAGGCTGGTGGCCAGTAATGAAGTTTGTGTCAAGTTAGTGGCCGACGCAGTCGAGAGGCACGCTCTGAGAGCTGAGAACATACAGTCGGGCACATTCCAGCACCCCACTTCTCCTGTCTCGTTATTACCTCGTTACGGGCAAAACATGGACGTGATCATGGTTATTGGGGGCGTGTCGGAAGGAGGAGACTATTTAAGTGAATGCGTAGGGTATTTTGTCGATGAAGACAGATGGGTAAACCTGCCTCATATTCATAACCACCTGGATGGACATGCAGTCGCAGTAACAGAATCCCATGTGTATGTTGCTGGATCAATGGAACCAGGGTTTGCAAAAACTGTGGAAAGGTATAACCCAAATTTTAATATATGGGAACATGTTTGTAGTCTGATGACAAGGAAGCATTCTTTTGGGCTAACGCAAGTCAAAGGGAAGCTCTATAGCATTGGAGGACACGGCAACTTTAGTCCTGGCTTTAAAGATGTTACTGTTTATAATCCTGAGCTTGATAAGTGGCACAACTTGGAATCAGCACCAAAGATTCTTCGAGACGTCAAAGCACTAGCCATTGAGGACAGGTTTGTGTACATTGCTGCCCGCACTCCTGTGGACCGGGACACCGAAGATGGGTTAAAGGCTGTAATTACTTGCTACGATACAGAGACTCGACAGTGGCAAGATGTGGAATCTTTGCCACTTATAGACAATTACTGCTTCTTCCAAATGTCCGTGGTCAATTCAAACTTTTATCAGACAGCATCGTGCTGTCCCAAGAGTTATTCTTTAGAAAATGAAGAGGCAGTCAGAAAAATTGCCAGCCAAGTTTCTGATGAGATCCTTGAAAGCTTACCTCCAGAAGTCCTAAGCATTGAAGGGGCAGCCATTTGCTATTACAAAGATGATGTTTTCATCATTGGAGGCTGGAAAAACAGTGATGATATTGACAAGCAGTATCGGAAAGAAGCCTACCGATACTGTGCTGAGAGAAAGAGGTGGATGCTTCTTCCTCCCATGCCACAGCCTCGATGTAGAGCCACTGCTTGCCACGTGAGAATCCCATACCGGTATTTGCATGGCACACAGAGATACCCTATGCCTCAAAACTTAATGTGGCAGAAAGACCGGATCAGACAGATGCAAGAAATACATCGGCACGCCCTAAACATGAGGCGAGTGCCAAGCTCTCAGATTGAATGCTAGGTTCTCTAATATGTGCAGCTTAACAGTTATACTTGTTTCATGAGAGTGAAGATATCTAAGACTGTTACTTGAAAAAGTATGTTGATAACTTATTTTCTACATGAATTGATTATTGCCTCCTATAAAAGAACTAGAGTTAAAAACAGAAGACTGGGAAACTAAGTACATGGTAATTTTTGTTAGCCTGCAGTCTTTTTGTGTCTTTGGTTTCTGTCTCTGGTTTGTATGTATGTGCTAGCTAAAGAAGATCTTATTAAAGGCAAGTGGAAAAACCAGGTGTAGGTACCTGGCTTGTTTTCTGCCAAGAAGTTGTAACTCCTTTGTCTTATGGACTTAGGTTTTGAACATGCTTTAAGCACCAATTTCATTTGCACATTTACCTTAATATTTCTTTTAATCTTTTCCTGAATCATTGGCTTTGACAAGATCAGAACTTACACATTGAGCCCCCATCTGCAAGAGGTGTGTGCAGTAGTGAGACTGAAATTTGAAGGGAAAAGCACAATATTTCAGCAAGATGATTTTAGACTGTTTGCATTGGTATTTTGTTTATCTAGAAATGCTATTTTTTTTCCTTCTAGAATAGTTGACTGGTGAGGAATTTGTGATTGGCTCATGCATTTTTGAACATTTTTCATTTCTTTAGCAACTGAATTGTCAACTTGAAGCTGTCACTCTGAGATGATGGTAGTGGGCAACAGTATTAATCTTTAGCTGATTGAATACAGAGGACATTATATATGTGAAATTCATTTCTTGGAGAAATATTAGTGCAGACTGAGAAATCAAAGGCATTAAAAACTTTTAAATACTTTTTTCAGAAGTTGCAGGTTTATTTGAGGATAAGTTGATGAGTGTAAATAATGCCTATGACAATCGACACTCAATGCCTTCAATTTTAAATTTTGCTCTAATACATATTTAATAGAATCCTCATTCCTTTCTTAAAAAAAAAAAAAACACCTTTTTTTGAAATGGAAAGGAAATAACAATTTAGAGAAATGTTGCTAAAGAGAAGCCTTATTATTTCTCAGCCCCGGTTGTTATGTTATATCCAGTTGCCCTAGACCTTTTTTTTTAAAATGAGAGTTTATTTGAGCCTAACTAGCCACATATGCCTGGAACTAGGATCTCAAATGCTCCCCAGTTGCCCTAGACTTTTCATTGAAACTTTACCTGAGCTTAGAATATAAAATTTAAGTGCATAAGTCTGGCTCTTTAAAATTTATTGCTGTAGTTAATCTTTTATTTATTTTTATGCATTCTTACGATTCTCTTATACACTCCCAAGCTTTATACAAATTAGCACTCAGGTTGACTATTTTAGCACTCAGTAACTTCTGCTCTTACTGTTTGCAATGTGGATCCCGCATATTTTTCTTGTTTCTTTTGGAGTGTGTCTACTTTCTTAGACATTCCAGAATACTGTCCTAGAAATTAAACTCTAAGTGATTTATTTTTGTTCCCTACTCCATTATAGTTAACCTTTTTATTAGTTATGTCAAACATTAAAACAAAAAAAAAATACAACCAGAAAGTTTAAAGTTTGCAGTTTGCTGCAAAACTATTAATGTTTAACCCTTGGACTCTATACTAAGAATTTTCCTGAAATTTCTAAATTGATACCCCTGCCTAGGACAGTTTTTTCAATAAACACATAGGAAATCTGCTTTAAAACCATTTAATTGAACCCTGGCCAGCTGGTGTACTTGGTTGGAGCATGGTCCAGCACACCAAAACGTTGTGGGTTCGATTCCTGATCAGGGCACATACCTAGTTTGTAAGTTTAGTCCCCCTTTGGGAGAGGATAGATCAATGTTTCTTTCTCCCTCCCCGCCCGCCCCCCCCCCCCCCCCCCGCTTCCTCTCTTTCTCTCCCCTACTTTCCCTCTCTCTCCCCCTCCTGCTGCCTTCTCTCTTTAAAATCAAACATATCCTGGGTGAGGATTATATATTAATAATTAAAGGAACAGTTATTTAGATTGGGATGGGGATAGGAAACTGCAAGTCATATTTCTATATGAGGCTGTAGTATCCTACCCAATCTCAACCATTTTCTCAATTTCTGTGTATTTGTAATTATTTTAATAAAAGCCATTGGATTTTGAAAAGTACAAATTCTTAGTAGTGAGAGGTCTATGCAAATAAGATAGAAAAGCTCATTGGATGAAGTTCTCATTTCTCTCTGATGGACTGTGCTAGCAAACTTCCTTTTCTTGGTGGTTGAAATAATTCAGTAGCTCACTAGGAGAACAGTTTCTTTGCAGAAGGTGTGATACAAGGATTTGGGGCCATGTTTTTTTTGTTTTGTTTGTCGAGGTTTTCTGAGACAGTCATTACCAGTTCCTGTGGAGGGATGTCTTTCACATGATGTGGCAGAAATTATAACTCGTAAGATTTAGGTATAATCTGGTTTTGAAAACTTGATTGAAATTGTTGTTTTTTAACTTAGCAGGCAGCCTAGGCCATGGGTGAAAAGATGGGGTAAGTCCTTCCTTGCATGATGATGTGTGCGGGTTTTCCCGACTACTGAATTTCTCATTTTCATATTTGAATTCACACGTGTGATTTCACATCAATAACTTGTGTTTCTGAAATATCCTAACTAACTTGTTAATCAGGGAAGAAACCAGATTTGCTTAAATCTGTTCAAGGCTGACATTCTGAAATCTAAACTGGAAATAACTTCCTGGTGTATTTGGAAAGATTCTGATTATGAAGAGTCTAAAGTGGCTCTTTGGGAGGAAAAAAATGTCCTTTTTGATGAAAACTTAAAGATTGTGTTTGGTAATTTAAGCAGTTAAAAATACAGCTTTAAAAAATATGTGTATTTAAGCAAGACTTTTTTTGTTGTTGCTTTTGGTTTTGTTGAAGGAAAAGAGTAATTGATTATACAAAAAGTAACAACTCTACGTAACTTTGAGTGAAGCTACTTGTATCTCAGAAATGGATGTCCTTTAACTATACCTTCCCACCATGGTTTTTTAAAAAATCAGTGGTGTATGTTGAGAATGTCAGTCATGAGCTTAGTGTTTAAGTACCTCATTTGCAGTTATTTGCATGATTAGTCTTGTGTATCTTGGTATCTAGGCTTTTGCTGTGCCAATTCAAAAATATTTTGCTAAAAAAAAAATCTCAATTCATTTATATCAATTTTGTTTTGATCAGCTGGTTTTGTATAGTACTTCTGGGACCAAAACATTTTTAAATATTAACTTTTAAATATGGAACAGATGTTGGGAGCTGGAAAGATGGTGTTTATGGAAGATTTGTCTGTTTATGGATTTTAAATTCTTTAGGCTGCTGGTAAGGCGGTTTCTAGGGCACACTTTTCTTCGTGTTTCTTGATTAGTATATAGCATGTGCTATGTTTAAATACATTATTCTCTGCCTCATAATTCTATATGAACACTATACTATTGGTAGACAGGTAAGCAAAATTGTGTGTTTTAGTTACTTGGCCTAATCAAGCATAACCAAAGGGACTTTTTGTGCTTTCCTCAAATTAAGCTTAAACAAAAAGAGCGTATTGGTCACATTTCATGTCTTTTGAAAACAAAGAATTGTGAAGCATGTTCATCTGCCTACACTATAAAAATAGGGTGCCTATAGTAGAGTATTTGAGAAACAATTCATTCTTTTTTAACAGTCAAACATTTTGGCACAGTTCATCACTCAGTTTGTTACTTTCTTGAGAATAGTCCTTTTTTGTTTTTGTTATAATGTTAACATTATAACATGTTCTCATCATTGGAAACAAAAGAGCTCATAGTTGAGTGATGTAATACAATAATGATAACATAATACAGTAGTCACTTTGCTTCAAGGAGTTTAGGCAGCCCAGTAACTGCTATTTGTTGCTTACCTTTGTAGAGCTTTTGTCTTGCTCTAACAGTGAAGCACATACAATTACAGCACTTGTGAACTTAATTCTCCTGCATAATGCACTCGTGAAAAGTAGTGCTTGCTAGATGTTTGAAGATCTTAGAATCTCTGTGCTAGGGCTCGTTGAGTTTTTTGTAACATAAATACTTAGTTCAAGGTGATGCACAGTGAGTTTTGGGGGCTAGCAGTATCCAAGCCCCTACTCTACTGAAAGTATAACCTTGACGATCTCCTGTAAGTCAGGAGATGTGGAATTTAGGACACTTTGAGACTTCACATTGTAAAATAGCTTGTTTTGTGTTCCTAAAGCTATCTTGTTCTGTGTTAAAGTCCTAATGGTCTCAATGTAAGTTCTAAATAAACGTATTTCATTAGAGCTGGTTTGCACTGTGTGATTTTTCCTTTTTAAGCATGTGCTGTTGAATATTGCTCTTTTCCTTCCCTCTTACTCCCTTCTTTGTTCAGCCCTTGGCTCCCTTAGGTTGAACATTTTCCAGTACTCTTACAAGTTTAAACACTGAATTTATTTAAAAAAAGATTTAATTCTTATTGCTTAGATTTTTTATTAGCTAAATGAAGAGGCTCATACAGGTAGGGTACTTGTTGAAGCGGAGTACTTGACTTCATCTCGCAGTGCTAATCCTGTGAAGTTGTCCCTTCTGGCTGCGTATTCCCCCACGTTGGCCAGCCCTGGCACCACACAGCAGCTCAGGGCACTGCGGTATATGCTCATGTCGTGAGCGTCGTACCACTCGTCAGTCTTTTCGTCGTAGCACTCAACATTAAAGGTGGTGGTGAAGCCGTTAAAGCCGCCCACCACGAACAAGAGGTCATCTACCACCTCAATGCCAAAATTGCTACGAGGATTAAACATAGTGGGGATTGTGCGCCAAGTGTTAGCCACTGGGCTGTAGGCTTCTGCACTCCTAAGTCGGTTAGCTCCATCGAAGCCACCTACCTGTGGACAGCAACGAAACATGACTGAACCATTGATTCTGTTCACCCAGGAGGCCCCTTAGGGGAGGACTAGTCGTTTCATACCTCCTCCTTCCATGGGGGGCAGGGGGACCCGGGGACCCTTTTCAGATGCTTACCGATAATGGTATAAACCTGTTTACTAACAAAACATCGGAGGGTATCATTTTTGTGGTACAAGGTAAACTCACTGCGTATACGTGTTCTCCGTAAGCAATTACGCCTATTCCACTCCTCCTGCTTCTCATGGGTGCTATGACGGTCCACTGATTACTCTCTGTGTTGTACACTTCTGCTGTAAACAGGCATTCATTTCCATTAAACCCGCCACATATGTAGACCTGTGTGAAGACAGTTCCAAGATTATTAAAGCTCTTACCTCTGGGGTATGAAAGGGTATGTATATGGTGTGTGGAGGGGAGCATTTTTGATGCCAGTCTACACGCTGAGTTTCTTTTTGCCACATGTGCAGGCATTGCTTTATTTTTATTTTTTATGGTTCTACTCAGAGGTTCTTACAGTGAAAGGATGCAAGTAAAGACTCAGCCAGGGGAAGAGATTCACAGGGCGGAATCCAAGAATGTCCCGAACAAGGAGCTTCCAGGTAGCCTTTCCTCGTGGGGCCGCGCGCAGTGTTACTCGATGACAGTGACATGTGGCAGCACACTTGGCGCGCTGTCAGCCAGCACTGTTCCCCTGAGGCCCGTGTGTGGTTTTCACTGGGGTTCAGTGATAGAGTGGGCTGCCTGAGTGTCTGCCCTGTACGAGCATTTCTTTTTAATAAGTACAATAAGAAAAGATAGTTACAAAGGGCGATTTAGTCATTCAGTGAAGGAGTTAGAACTGCAGAGTACTGCCGCTTCTGTTTTCCGTCCCACCCCACTCCCCCCAGAAAAAAGAAAAAACGAAGAAGAGCATTCTGTCTGGGCCCGTTGGCACGCACATCTCCCAGCGCCCCGCCCCCGGCTTTACCTTCCCGTAGAGTGTTGTGGCGCTCGCGTCACTCCTCTGCTCATGCATGGGGGCAATGAGTGTCCACTGATTGGTCTCTGGCTCGTACCGCTCAGCAGTGTTGAGGCGCACGTAACCATCGAACCCCCCCATGGCATAAATGAAGTTGCTGAGGACTGTCACGCTGACGTAGCAACGTCTGGAGTGCATCGGGGCTACTTGGTGCCAAGTTTTCTTAACTGGGTCAAAACGCTTAACACTATTGAAATAATCTACGCTATCAAACCCCCCAATGATATAGACGTAGCCTTTCAAATAGGCTGCCCCGTGGTAGGCACGGGGACTCTCTTCTTCACAAGTGACATTCACCCATCTGTCTGCCCGAGCATCGTATGCCTCAATGGCATTGGTGGGGCTCCCACCACTCCAGCCACCGATTGCAAACAGTATGGCGTAGGGCAGGCGGGGCCTGGTGAGTGGGTTGGTGAAGTCAGAGTTAGAGGGTCCGTTCATGTTCAGGTCATACATGGCCTTTAGGGCATTAATGATGACTGGCTTGCATTCTTCGCTGTCTTTGACATAGTCATTCATCTTAACATTGTTCATGAAGTACTCAGCATGCATTAGGGCCAGGCGAACCTGAGAAGGAAACGCAGCAAGTCATTTAAAGTGAGGTGAGGACGGCTGGAAAACCCATATCCTTAACCCCCATGTTACAGCCTGCTGCGAATTGCTCTAGGGTCAGCTGTTTTTTTTTGTTTTTTGGTTTTTTTTTAGTTTACAACTCAATTTAACTGTTTGTTTTTAAGAGGTGCTATACATTTGGATGCTGAGAATGAGCTAGAAAATGATCAGCAAGCTAACCCATTCCTTGGCCACTAGACAGTACTCCTAGACCCCAAAAAAAAGCTGTAGTAATTGTTCCATAAATCAGTATTTGTCTCTATATGTGAAAGAACATGAATTTGCACCAAATGCCAGCTAGTTCAGTTTCTCTCTTGGGTTTGGGGAAATTCATAGGATGGACAATGGTAAAAGAAGAGCCTCTAGAATTCTGTTGAAGGCCTTGCCCTCTCCTTCCCCCACTGCCAGGGAGAATTTTGGTCAAAGAACACGACTGGGATAAAAGGAGCTAGCAATGCCAAGGACAGAGGAAATTGCAAAATTCCCAGAAACTAGTAGGAGATGCCTTCTATTTAAGTATATGTAGATGTAGCCCTGGAATCTAACATCTGAATATGGCTCTTAGCACAATCTCGCTGGGATAAAGGAATCACAAGTGAGCAATTAAGCATCCCACAAAAAATAGTAACTTGACCTTGGGGAGCAAAACTGAAATATGCTGCTTCCTATTTTGGGGGTCATGAGCAATCCACTTTAAAATGGCCTCAAATACAGCATCTTCTTGTTTGACGTTTAGCTCGTCTTTTTCGATGATATCCTTTAGTTCAGTGACGGAGAGCTCTAAAAACTCTGCTGAGACTTTCACCATCTCCTCAAAGTTGTGCAGTATGAACATGTAGGCCTTCTGCCTCAGTTCTGGGCAGTAGTAGTAGTCTGTGAACTTGCAGATGCCGATACAATTATCCAAACACAGCTCTGACTTGAGGAACTCGCAGCAGCCCCTTACAATACCCATGATGTTGAATTGGTCTGCAGCAGCCAGCAGCTTCTCCACATTGTCTGGCGTGATGGGCACGGTCCTGGTGTATGCGTATTCAATGATTAGCTTCATCATGTCGGGGGAAATGCCAGGAATGTTGTACACCTTCTTTTCAGTGTTGTTCCAGCCACTTGTAAACAAAGCTCTGGGGAAAATGAAACAAAAAAACCTAAAAGCTAGCAGTCACTGAAACATTTATCTCCAGTCTGCCATGTTTCCCCCATGTTTTTTCCTTGCTGAGGAGAGTTTGGACATTTTCCAAAGAGCATACTGGAAATAATTTGGCGTCAGGAAGTGGGGGGAGGGGGGAGCAGACTGCTTTATACAGTGGACAGAACTTTTCCATGAACTTTGGTCATTTCTACCATCCTCATGATAACTAGGTCCCTTTCTCATTTTGCAGGTGAAGAAATTAGGATCTAGAGCTAGGAGCAAGGCCCAGGTCGCTTCTGTCTCAGCCCATTGCCCAGAAAATTATCTTGCTTAAGGAAATTCAACTCGAGCAATGTACTTTTAAAATAAGTAATCTTCAATCAACGGGTGCCCATAATCTGATCTGTTGCTTCCTCCTTGGTCCAAGCTACCACTGTCTCTTGCCTAGAGTGGGAGCAACCTCCTAACAGATTTGCTCTTGGCAGCTCCAGAGTTTAGCTGTATGCAAGTCACCAGCGTTCCTCTTAAACCCAGCCAAGGCTGCCCAACCCTCAGCCTGCGGGCCACATGCGGCCCAGGATGGCTATGTATGCCGTCCAACACAAAATTATAAATTTATTTGAAACTTTTTTTATGCTAATCAGTTTTCCTTAGTGCTTGTGCATTTAATGTGTGGCCCAAGACAACTCTTCTTCCAGCATGGCCCAGAGATGCCAAAAGGTTGGACACCCCTGCAAGTCGAAACCTTCCATTGACTTCCCTTCTCAGGGCAAATTCAAAAGTAGGTCTCTGGGGGGTGAGGTCTCCACCAGTCACACCTCCCTGACTATGGTATTTCCTCCTGCCTTCCCCCTCACTCCGTTCCAGCCCCGCTGGCCTTGCCTCCCTTGAATACACCAGAAAGCCATCTGTGTTTGGTCCTTTACCTGCTATTCCTTCTGCCTGGAAGGCTGCCCAATTTCTGTATTTCTCACTGCTTCATTCCCTTGAAGTCTTTGCTGAAATGTATTTCAACTGTGTCAGCAAAGTGATAATCCTATTTAAAATTGCCATCCATCACTCCCTATCTTCTTTCTTTCCTTAGCACTTATAATCTGATATGTATTTTATTTATTTAATACCCATTCCCCCTAACCAGAAGGTATGCCTCATGAGAACAGGAATGTTTCTCTCTGGTCATTGTTTTATTTCCAGTACCCTCTATAGTCCCTGTCACAAAATAGACAGTCAATAATTGTTGAATAAATAAATGACTGCTGCTATACCGTGTTGCTAGGTACTTTTCTGGTGTTGAACAAGACAGGATTCCCTGCCCTAATAGATATTTTGCTTCCCTTTTCTGGGAGGTTTAAGAAAACATGGGCTTAGAGATCAAAGTCTCTAGAGCAGGGGTCTATAAATAAAGCCTCTGGGCCAAAATCCATCCACTTCTTTTTGTACTGCCCATAAGGTAAAAAGGCAAATGGAGAAATGAAAAGAGTATTTTGCAGCACCTGGAAATGACAATGAATTCAAATTCAGCGTCCGTAAATACTTTTATCGGAACACCGCCATGCACTTCCATGCAGTAGTATCTATGGCTGCTTTCCAGCGATCAAGGCAAAGCGGTGCAGCTGCATGCGACAGAGACTATATGGCCGGCAAAGCTTAAAGTATGTGCTGCCTGGTCTCTCTGTACACTCTGCTGAAGATCTAAATAAGAATTTTTTAGCAATGGATGGGACACGCTTATTATATCTCGATAGGAATTGATTACTCAAACATTCTCAGCTCACAAACAAAATAGCCCTTCTATTTCCTGGGTAACAATGGTTTGGGTCCCAACTCCCTTTTTATGATAAACATTTCTGTGGTCCTTTCCCTGCATCCCTCTTCCCATCCCCTCAATCCTTGTTAATTTATTGCCCTGTTCGAGCTTGTGTCTACAGGGGTAGGGGCGTGGGGGTGGCTGCAGTGGCATCATCTAGGTTTAAGGAGGAAACCCAGTATGGGTGCTCAATGTTCCCAAAGGTTGGTGTGAGTGAGAATCAAAGGAAAAAAAGCAGCTGGCCCACCAACAGTTAGCTGAAACCCACTTGAACACTAGAGAGACGAGGGCCTGGCCCGCGTTGTTCAGAGGACGAAGGAGCCAGGCTACAGGGCTTTGACAGTGTCCCTAAATGAAGGGGGTGGGGTGGGAGACATGAAATAAACCACGAAGTCTCAGGTCGCGCCCAACCCCCGCTTTGGCTTAGTTTGGCCACTCTGTTCTACCTAAAGTAGGAGCTGCAGCTGCAGAGGATGTTCTTGTGGGCATTGAACTCAAAACCATTGACCTTGATGACCACGTCGCAGAGCTTGCCCTCCAGCCTGAGCTCGTTGAAGATCTCACAGGTCATCGCACTCATCTTCCTCTCCATGTGAGGTTGGTGGAAACGTGTGGAGGCCGCCGCGCTCTCCATCTCCATCGCACCCTGGGACCAGCCGAGAGAGGCTGCTCTCCCTGGGGGGTCGGGAGGGTTCTGGGGGGCCCCTTTAGCCAGCTGTCCCTCCTTGTCCCTACTACATTTTTCATGCAGGGCCCAGCAGGAAGCCCAAGTTCCAGAATCCTGGGCCCGCGGTGAGATCACCCTCAGGATTGTGCTCTCAGGTTCTGGAACTCTCTGCTGTCCCAGTCCCCTTCCTTCTCCCCTCCCCTCCCCCACCACGCTATTAGGCTAACAATCACCCCACAGCCCCATCGGTGCCCTTGGATCCGAGGGGGACCGTGACCGCCAACACCAACATACAAGAGTTTTTATTAATTCTGGGTCCTGTGGCCCGGCCCGCACCCTGCAGCATCCATGCGCCCTCTTCCCACAGCTCCACGCCTGGCTCTCCGACGCGCGGTTCAAGGAAACCAACAGAGGAGGCAGAAGGGAAAAATGGAACTTACTACAATTTCATTCTTGCCTCGTTGCCCAGGGCCTTCCTGCCCTCTGGACGTGAGGGAGTCACTCATTTTCTGCTGGTGAGCAGTGGGACCAGAAATACCTTCTGGATGTTAAACAGGATTCACTGTACAGCTCCTTCACACCCCCTCCCATCCTGCGGGGTTTTTTTGGTGGTTTGGTTTTTTTTTTTTTTGGTGTTTTTTTGTTTTTTTTTTTGTCATGTAAACTATAAGCCTAGAAACGATCACCCTCGCTGCGGTTTTTGCTCCAGAAAGAGTAGCACCCAGTAACCCCAATTCCTCGGGACCGTCACCCGCCGCAACACAGCCCAGGGCGCAACACAGCGCTCGCAGGAACGCCAGCCTCCCCCAGCCCCGCGGGGTGTCGGGCTCCAAGTCGCCCGGCCGCCGGCAGGGGAGACGCCTGCGCAGTGCGGCCGCGGGGGCGGTCGTTGTCCAGGCGCAGTTTCGCGGGCTGCGAGCAGCATGGTGGAGGAGGTGAGGCTGGAGGAATAATCCAGGGCGGCGCGGGCCCCGATTCCCCGGGCGCGCCGAGGCCCCGCCGAGCCAGCCCCGCCAGTAGGCGCCCCCAGCCCGGCCGGAGCCCTCGCGCCCCCGGCCGGGCCTCGCAGGGTTGCCCAGGCGAGCCGCGGGCTCCCCTTGGGCCCTGCGCGGTACCGGGGTCAGCCGTTCTCTCGGGTCTCGGGACAGGTGAGCACCCTGATGAAGGCCACGGTCCTGATGCGGCAGCCCGGGCGGGTCCAGGAGATCGTGAGCGCCCTCCGCAGGGGCGGAGGAGACCGCTTACAGGTACCGCCGGGGCGCTGTCGGGCCGGCAGGTCGGGGCGGCTGTGGCGGCGTCCTGCTGGCGTCCTTTCCCGCGTGGCTGCGGACACCTGCAAGCCTTCAGCCCCTAGAAGTGGACAGGAGCCTGCGGGCAAGCCGTTGGTTCGCCTGTTTTGCCTTGGAGGAGAGCCCGCCTGCCCCAACACCTACGTTTGAAATTTCTCAGGTCGTGCTGCTTCCTCTCATTAGACAGAAAGCACGCCACTCCAGGCCCTGAGGCCTTATTTTCCACACTAGCGCGGTCAGCGGGCTCCCCAAGGCGTTGCGGATGTGGGCATAGGTGGTAAAGGAAGGACCCAGGGCACTGAAATGGGTGCTAGCGAAAGAGTCAAAGGAGTCGTGATTCTTCAGCGTCCGCCACCCCAAGGGTGGGTGGGACTCCTCGGGGTTAGCACTGTATTAACTGGGAGTAGCCCTTCCTTCCCTGTGTAGCCCTTCCTGACTCCTCCAGGGCTCTGCCCGCAGTCTGGGTGCTGAGCACGTTGACTTTCATAATCATCCCCCAAGGCTGACCCAGGGCTACACCCGAAGGAGCCCATCCAGGCATTTTCTCTCTTTTGTGTTTTTAGGTCATTTCTGATTTTGACATGACCTTGAGCAGGTTTGCATATAATGGAAAGCGGTGTCCTTCTTCCTACAGTAAGTCACATACTAACTTGCTCTGTTGGGCTTCCCGAGGTGATGGCTTGGAAGGGGCAGGTGAAAGGAGCTTTGTGTTTTTGCAGATATTCTGGATAACAGCAGGATCGTCAGCGAGGAGTGCCGGAAAGAGGTGAGTTCGCTCAGAATCGCTACCATTTATTATTACTTCAGTGGTTTTTGGTTTGCACCAAAGACGCCAGGATAGAGACCTTGGAAAATTAATTTAAAACAAATTTTTTTTTCCTCAGGTGCATCTAGTCTTAATACACTGAGACATCTTTTCCTTGTTGGCCAAGACAGATCATTAATAGTTGCAGTATGGACGTTATGCTCACTGCTAGTTAAAGAGTTTACAAGAGACTTCAGTGTTTGTTATTTAACCCTCCCACAACTTTGGGAGGTGAACAGAATCTGTATTGTCTCCATCTAACAAGTGAGAAAACAGGCTTGGAGAGACGGAGCAGCTTACCCCAGGTCACACAGCAAGGCGCAGGCTCCGCTCTCCCCTAGATCTGATTCTGTCCCAGACTCTTTCCACATTATGCTCTTTCCTTTGTAGTATATATTAATATTCATAGTTATGCAGCCAGCATCGAGAAGGACCTCCTAATTAATGTCAATGTGTTGTACAGTAACTCTGTTTCCATAAGATGCATACAGGTGCTGTAAAGTGACCCCTGTAGCCTTGGAGTTCATTTTACTCCATTTTGCATTCTTCCCCTCGGGGGCCCCCTTTGCCAAGACGGAGCGTCCAAACTGCGCAGTTCTCTGAAGGTTGTTGGGCTCTTTCTGCTGAGTAGCGACATCATTTAGTTTCACTATGTTATGAAATTCACTAAATTGCATACTAAATGGTCTGTTGGCTTGTTGAATTGGTGAGCTCTTCCAATACTCTGTCTCATGGTATTACAATGGTCGGTGGATTATAGATTGTTCTTATATTTCTAAAACCTGTCTCCCGGAAAGCCACTTTGAGCTTAAGGTAGGTTCTGGCTCCACCGCTGATAGCTTTTAGCAAGTCACTTTTTTGGTTCCTGGAAGATCTACTGTATCAACTTCCAGGAAGCTGTGTCCACAAATAAAATAGTAGCTTGGATTGCCCTCTCTCAGATAAGGAAGCTAGAGAAAACTTTGTTTGTTTTTGTTTTTGTTTGTGTTTGTGTGTGTGTGTGTGGGTGTTGATAGACTACTGAAAAAATTACTAGAGCAAAGTTTATCTATGGAAACTCTTTCTTTTTTAAAAAATTATGTTCTTCTGTTGAGTTCTATTATACTTTTAGAAAAATGTTCTTTCACCCCTACCCCCTGCCCCCCAAAAAAACCCCCACGCACATTGAGAATACATTTCAGGAGCTTTCTGCCTTGGTTGAGTGTGTGATCTTTTCATTTAACCCTTTTTGGGACCCCTGGTCAGGGACTCCATTTGACCTCAAACCCTGAGACCATGCATATATTAAATAAAAAATTCTATACCCAGGCAATTCCCATTTTTATTGGCCCTTCCACTGACTGGCCCTTCGGGACACATGATCCCACTCCCAAAGGTGGAAGGTTCTGGCATGTGGAAGGCAACCTAGGCCAGAGGAGGCACCTATGGCTCACTTGATATTGGCCGTGTAATGGAGTCACCCACTAACATGCTATGTCCCAAACTGTAGTCTTGTAGTTCTACTTTTGTGATTTTGGGTTTGTTTTTTGTTTGTTTGTTTGTTTGTTTTTGCCATATCTATGTATTACTTTAACAAATACCTTTTTAAAACCGACCCGCTTTTAAAAATTTGAATGCGGTTAACTTACAAAAGAAATAACCTTTGTGAAAGCGTGAGTTTGATATGCTTGTTTTTTCCTAATATACATTAAAATAAATCCACAACTAACAAAACAAAGTGTTTATCCATGTATTCCCTAAAGTAAGTTTGCCTCCCACCTAAGGAAATGTACCACATTTTGGGAAATACCGCATTAAGTTAGTGCTTACTGGTTAAGCCCTGATGACTGAGCTAGTTAATAACAACAACAAAATCCTAGTCGCCCTCTTACCTGATAGCAAACTCTTTACGTTGCTGATTCTTAGACCTCACTCCTGGGGGAAGGGAAAGGGGCGACCAGCTTCGTGGGTCCAGTCTCTCCCTCACAGGAAGTTGCACCTTCTAGGTGACTTTTTCCTCGTGCTAAACGGTAGGACTTTGCTGGGGAAAAGTTGAGGGACTAATGGCCTTTCTCCTCCTTTGGCTGCCCCAGCTAAATGAGCTCCTTCACCACTATTACCCGATTGAAATTGACCCCCACCGGACCATCACAGAGAAGTTGCCTCACATGGTGGAATGGTAAGTGACGGTGGCCGTGGAAGCTCCTGGCCCCTGCGGTGGTCTGGTCCAGAAGGGGGCGTATTTTTCCTGACCTTTTAGGAGATGACAAGCTTCCTTCCCTTCCTGGATGCTTCACTGAATGCCATAAGCCCAGCTGTTAGAACAAATTGTCCAGACATACCTGGAGCTACTTGTGACTGCTGCTAGAGTCGGGGCCCACCAAGAATCCTTGGGATGAGTTAGAAGCCCCTTTGTCTGGGCGAGTAAGTGCTTTGGGGAGATGACCTTCCTGTAGAAACCAGTATCACTGGTGCTCCAGGGTAGGGTCATGGAGGGAGAGATTCAGAAGAGCTTTGACTTTAGCAGTTAACTCGCCCACCTCTTGTCTCTCAGTTGTGTCGCTTTCTCATCCTCTTTTTTTTTTTTTAATGGATAATCAGGGTCCTCCAGGAAGTGGCTCCGTGGGAAAGGATGAGGCCACTTCCATGGTCAATGCTTCCAGAGGGGACCTGGCCCTGAGAAGGGAGGGAGCACGTTACTTACTTCATGATTTGACTTTGGGGTTTTGTGGGGTGTCTGTGTCTAGGTGGACCAAAGCGCACAATCTCCTGTGTCAGCAGAAGATCCAGAAGTTTCAGATCGCCCAGGTGGTGAGAGAGTCCAATGCGATGCTTCGGTAAGCTGCTTGCTCTGGAAAACATGTGAAACCGGTTCACTCACAAAAAGAGGCTGCGGGGGTGCTGGCGGGGAGTTAATTGCCGGGAGAGTTAGAGGAGATGGAGCATCATGAGCCCCTGAAGTGGACTCGCTTTTCCCCCCGGGTACAGCTGAAGGATTTTCTACCCTTGGGTGCTTCCTAGGAAGCAGTCTGCTGAGTGGATGCGGTATCAATGTGACCGGGGCTGCATCTTCCAGAACAAACAGCACCTAGCCCATTTCCCCCGATGGTAAAAAGACTTTTGGGGTCGCCATGGTGACTGGTGGTCTTTATCCAGACGTCGGAGTTGGCTGGCCTGGGACCCTTGATCGTTGGCAGCCTTCATGGTGCAGCAGCGTCTGCTGGAGAAAATGGGGGCGCAAAGAGGAAGGGGTGGGCGTGGGCGCCTGTCCTGACGGGCTGTGTGTCCTAACTGTGGGGACAAGCTGGCTCCTGAAAAGCTAAGAGTGTGGAGATGTGTGCAGACCCAGGGTGGGCCAGGGTGGGGAAGGTCCTCAGTGAGCCCGCCCCAGGGTGGCGGCTGGTTATATTGTACAGTGGACCTTTGAACAACAGGGTTTGAATGTGTGGGTTTTTTCCAATAAATACACAGCCGGCCCTCTGAGTTTCGCATCCGTACATTCAACCAGCTGCAGACCGAGAACAGTATTTTCAACCTGTAATTAGGAGTCCACGGGTACAGAGGGCTGACTCTATGCGTCGTGCTGTGCCATTGGATATAAGGGACTCGAGCAGCTTTGGATTTTGGTCTCCATGGGGGTCATGAAACCAGTCTCCTGGTGGATACTGAGGGACAACTATAGTTACGTTTTGGGGGATTCAAAAGTTATACACAGGCAAGAGGCTGGGAAAGCTGATTATTTAGTCACAGAAAATTTAGCAACATGGTCACCTGCAGTAATTTGTGAAATAGAAAATGTACCTGATTAATTGGGTGATTAAACTAAGGAAATTGCCAGGCCCCCCCAAAAAAAGTTTTACATGGGTTTTCAACTGCATTAGGGGTCGGTACCCCCTTACCACTGTGTTATTCAAGGGTCAGCAGTAGTACGGAAACAACAAGAAATGTATAAGCCCATTCATATGAAGTTCAAGGACAGGCAAAGCTAATCAGTGGTGATATGAATTCAAATTAGGAGAGGATGGCTTTGACTGGGAAGGGAACATGAGGGAACATTGATTAGGTTGCTAATTACATGGGTATATACATATGTCAATATTAATTGAGCCGAACACTTAACAATTAGTATACTTAGGCCCTGACGAGTGTGGCTCAGTGGGTTGGGCATCGTCTCACAAACAGAAAGGTCACCAGTTCGATTCCCGGTCAGGGCACATGCCCAGGTTGCAGTTCAGTCTCTGGTTGGGGCGTGTATGAGAGGCAACGGATCAATGTTCCTCTCTTGCATCAATGTTTCTCTCCCTCTCTTCTTCCATCCCTTCTCCTCTCTCTAAAAATAAATAAAGAAAAATTTTTAAAAAGATGAGTCCCTTTTAACCACATGCGGCATGCATTTTATACCTCAATTTGCAACGTTTTTAAAGAAACCTGAAAAGATATAACCCGAGTAGAAAATAAGGAGCAGTAACAGAAGCAGTGCCATTTCAGAATCCGTTCCTCTCTCTCCAGGGAGGGCTACAAGACGTTCTTCAACACCCTCTACCAAAATAACATCCCCCTTTTCATCTTCTCCGCGGGCATTGGTGATATCCTGGAAGAAATTATCCGACAGAAGAAAGTGTTCCACCCCAACATCCACATTGTGTCTAACTACATGGATTTCGATGAAGATGTGAGCCGCATCTCTTTTGGGCTAGAAGTGGACAAAGGGGTGGCAACCGCCTGCCAGAGAACTGCCCGCTAAACATTAACCCTAACCTGGGGAGGAGAGGGAGAGGAAGGCATGCTGGCTTCTTTGTCCCTGGGCAGCTCTTTATTTATTTATGCCAGCTGAAAACAGTAACTTTGAAGACCTGCTCTTTGGTGTTTGGCCAGCAGTCAGCTCTCTGCCATGGGGGATCTAGCTTAGGGGTCCGCCGGGCCCCCTGTCACTGTCGTGGGTTGCCCCCATTCTAGGTACCCAAGGGCTTGGGCTTGAACTTGTTTTTCTAGAGCCAGAGGTAGGCTGCTCCGACTCATCCACGTTCTGACTGTTTCTCCTTCAAACCAGGGGCCGGAATTTCCACGCCTCTGAGCTACGGTTAAGGACGTGGCCAGAAGCTGAGCTTAGCCCACATTTGGCCTGAATGGTGCTTGTGTGTCAAGCTTCATGCTTCCACCAGAGTAGGTGACTGACAATATGTGATAGCTCTTCTTAGTTTAGAAGTTTAAACCAGGGATTATAAACTTTTTCTGTAACGGGCCAGGTATCGCAGGCTTTATGGCCTATACTACCTCTGTTGCAACGGCTCGGCTCTCCTGAGCAGCAAAGCAGCCATAGACAAGGTCTAAATAAATGGGCCTGGCTGTGTGCCGGTGAAGCTTAATTCACAAAAATAGTTCAGGTCCGGCCCACGGGCTCCACTTGACCGGCCCCTAGCTTAGACTACCGTGAGGTTTTGGTGTTCTCTGTGGCTTTCAGGATTTCCTTTCCTCTGCAGCAGAAAGCGGTGAACTGGCACTGGATGGGTCCCTGGAACCCTTCTGTCTGTCTCTTTTCTTGATCATTTAGGGTTTCCTGCAGGGATTCAAGGGCCAGCTCATACACATATACAACAAGAACAGCTCCGTGTGCGAGAACTCCCGTTATTTCCAGCAGCTTCAGGGCAAAACCAACATCCTCCTGCTGGGAGACTCCATGGGCGACCTCACGATGGCCGATGGGGTTCCGGGCGTGGAGAACATTCTCAAGGTTGGCTTCCTAAACGACAAGGTAAGTAGGGGGCCAGGGCCCCCGCCTCCGTTAACCTTCCCCTTCAGCTCCTGTTAACAAACGCGTATGGAACACCTGCACACTAGACACTGCCTCAAGTGTTAGAGGTTCAGACGTGAGGCCCAAGCCATATTCTTCAGGAGAATGTTCCACATTCTCGTAGGAAAAGGAAGATACCCAGTGGTTAATGGGGCCAGAGACAGGGCGAAGCCAGGCATTCATCCCGTTGGAGCCCCACTTGCTGAGCGCTCACCGTATGTGAGGGACATTGACCCGTTTTGTCCTTACAGCAACCTTTGGAGGCCGTGACCGCCATGCCCTCTTATAGATGAGGAAACAGCAAGGAGGTCGAGTAACCTGCCTAAGGGGACATTGTTTAGGATGTGTTAGGGGCTGATGACTGTAAGGCGTAATTGATATGGGAGATGCCAGTGTTTTCGAATGTGGGCTTCTGACTTAGAGGCGAAAAATACCAAAACAGACCAGAGGCCGTTGGGTGAGAACGGCATGCTGTCAGGCTGGAAGGCCCCCGTCCTCACCCACAGCCAGCACGTGCCGGAGGCCCCCAGAATGCTTGAGCCTTGCGGAGGCTCAGGCTGGATAGAGGAGAGCTAACGTCTAGTTTTTATATTTCAGTCCTGGTCACAGTCCTTTTCACATTGACCCCAGGGTTCATTGCGGCAGCCTACGCCCATTGCCATCTGGGTGTCCGAAAGGCAGGCCCTGTGACCTTGAACTCCTCTAGGGGAGTTGTGGCTTGAGTGCCCTCCTCCCCCAGCCCCAGGGGCTTGAGAGCCACAGGCAGCGGGCGGAGGGCAGGCATTTCGGGGACTCTCAGTCTCCCCATCCCCTGGTAGGTGGAGGAGCAGCGCGAGCGCTACATGGACTCGTATGACATTGTGCTGGAGAAGGACGAGACGCTGGACGTGGTCAACGGGCTGCTGCAGCACATCCTGCACCAGGGGGACTGGGTGGAGATGCAGGGCTCCTGAATGTGCGGGCACAGGGCGTGGCCCTGCAGCCGTGACGAGGAGGGAGCCTCGCCGAGAGGCCGTCCTGCCCGGAGCCTGGGGTGTACAGAGGACAGTCCACAGCATCCGGGAGCTACTGGGTCCTCCCCCACCCCCACTCCTTTCCCTGACACATTCCGTTCGTGTTCTTTGAGGCCTGAGGGGGGCTCTGCCAGGTGGGAGGCAGCAAAAGTCATTCCAGATGAGTCGGACCTGCAGGGTGTTTGCATTCCGGCGGTCATTTGGTCCAAGATCCTTTTTTTCTGTGTTTAACGTGGAAAGCTGTTCTTCAAAAAATCGGATGTGTGAAGCAGATAAAAATAAAAGAAGGAAAAAACAGAGCCGTTCTGATTTGGGGTTTGGGGGGCAGTGCCTGTACCTTTGGTCCCGGAGGTACAGGAACCCCCAAGAAGCCTCTAGGGCCCCGCGGAACACAATTTGAAAACCACCGAATAGCCCAGAAGGCCCTCTGAGCACAGCCCCAATGTGCCTGTGGGGATCAGGGTGAGCAGGTGGGCTTCGAAGAGTGTGCTTCTGACCTGGAATCGCTTGGCTTTATTCTGAGGAAGCCGTTAAACTCGAAATTCCGCCAGGGGGCGGGGTGTCAGTTGGGTCTGGCCAACCCTGTGTGCAGAGCCCCTTCAGAGGTCCCCAGCGGGGTCCATTGTGTCGATTTTCCCTGGTGCCCTTGGCTCCCATCCCTCCTCTCCTTGTGGGTCCAGGGCCACTAACATGGATGACTTAAGGGGGGTTGGGCCCAGGGACTTACAGCAAAGGAAACCAGGAGTGGTTTATGTGCTGTCGTTTTACACTGCTGGGCATTCTTCACAGTTTTGTTTGTTTTTTTTTCCCTTCTCCTCTCCCTGTTGACTCGGATGGTCAAAAACTAGCTGAATTCTCTCTAGGGTACCTTTTGAAGAAAAAAAAGTGGACCATCCAGTTTACTTAGCGTTTTCTTAGCTTGTCCTCAGAAATTCAGTCCCTCATCCTTCACAAGGATGCCTGGCTGCTGCAAACTTGTGTTCATCTGCAGGTCTGAATGGGAAAGCCTTGGGAGTGTGGGTTGAATCCTGCTGTGGTACTTAGACGTGTGCCATTTAAGCCTCACGGTGACCCTGTAGGTAGGTCCAGCTTACAGGTGGCTCAGAAAGGCCCAGTAACTTGCCCAAAGCCCGCAGCTGGGAGCCCGAGCTCAGGCCAGGGTGTTTCTGAGCGGAGCGGGGCCTGCATCGCGGGGCCTGCATCGCGCTGCCTGCACCTGGGCCGCCCTGCTCAGTTTTAGGGAGGAGTGGCCACGGCCTAAGGCTGGGTCTGTGGCCGCTGTCAGACCCTGCAGCGCCTCTGGGATGCTTTGGGACCAGGGAGTGGCCACTGGAGAGAGGTCACATCCCAGAGGATCCTGGGTAAGAAATTGGTGCTTGGGGCGGCAGTGCAGTGACTGGTTCTGTCATTTTCTCTCCCGAGCACCTTCTCCAACCCCTGTCCTGGAATAGTTTGGGTCATCTCCATTGCGTTGGCCAGACTCCAGCAGGGCAGGGGGCGGCAGATGGCCTGACTGGCGGCTGACGCCAACTCTTCCCCCAAGATGCCAAAGATTTGAACTCAACGACCTCTCCTCTGACAGGCGGGAGGATCTGGCAGGTGGTAGGGGCCGGCAGCCAGGAGCAGGGGAGGTGGGAATATCATAGCGTCAGGAATGATCTATATAAAAGTGGAATCCATCCTATGCAATTTAACCTTTGGGCTTTGTATGTCGTATTTGAGATCAGGGACCTGTCTTTCCATTCACTTGGGACAGTCAGGAGATAAGAATCATCTCTCCACCCCTTCCCTGCAGCCCCTCCCCTCCCGCTCGCAGACTGGGGCTCCCGTTCCAGGGTTCAGACCCCGCGTTGGGCATCAGGGAGGCAGGAGACCGAGATCTAGGGATGCAGAGTGTCGAGCTGACAGTCATGGAGACAACCTGCTGTTCCTCCTTCCCAATCTTTGTGTCTAAGGGCCTCCCCCTAATGAAAGACCATTTCCTGAGGCCTCTGGTTTAGTCTTTTATTTGTCACAAAGGAGAAAGAGATCTGACACCAGTTCAGCCTTTTGAGTGCAGAACTCTGCCCACCCCCCGCACCCCTCAGCCCCCAATGAGCCCTCCCAAGTTTATCCCCGCTCCAAGCCAAGGACTTTATTGTGAAGCCCCGAGACCCATCTATGCAGGTTTCCTCACTCCCATCCTTTTATCTTCTTCCTCTTCCTCAGTCCCTTAGGGAAGGCTGCCTTCCCTAGGGATGGAAGGTAACACAAAGGCCAGCCCTGACCTGTGGCTCCCTGGGGGCACCCCGGCAGCGAGGGCAACGGGTCAGGTGGGGGGGGTGCACAGTGTGTTAGGGCTGCTCTCCCGGAGCTGCCCCTTCCTTTGGAGCAGCCGGGGCTGTGGGAGGAGGGCGGGGCGGGGCCAGCCCAGGTTCCTGCTCCAGGGAGCTGCCGTGACAGAGGACGGGGGTGGGGTGGGGGGGGGCAGGACTGGGGAGGGTGAGGAAAAGTACAGATAGAGGGGAGTTTGGGGACACAGAAACGCTGAGCTTGGCCGAGCTCCGTGTGAGGTGGAGGTGTCGGGGGAGGGGCCCGGAACGCCCCTCCACCCATCCCCAGGCTGGCCTGGTGACTCCAAAACTTGGTAAGGTAGTGGTGTGGATTGGAAGAGAAAAGCTGAGTGGAGGTCTGTGCTGTGGATTTTACTCTTGGGCTGGTAGGAAGGCCAGAGGTGTCTCCTCTGACCCCTCTGTAGATGCTCTCAGACCTCACCCCAGAAGAGAGGAGGGTGACTGGGGGAAGTCAACCCCCCTGCCCACTGTCGCCCAGAAGTGGGCGTCTGAGCCCGGGCCCAGGCCCCAGCTCAGCCCTCAGAGCTCCTCGTGAACCCGCTCCTGGTCCTCGTCAGACTTCAGCTTGAGCTCCTCCACAGTGATCTTGCCGTCCTGGTTGCGATCCTGGTTCTGGAACATGTCCCCTATGGTTTTCTCGGAGTCCTGTCCTGGCAAGAGGCGTCCTTTGCCCTCACTGACCTGAGCCTTGATGAAGGTGGAGAACTGGGGAAGAGGAGAGCCGGGGGAGGGTGGGCATGAGCGTCTTGCCTGGGCACTTTGGGTGGCTTTGGCAGGGGCCCCCAGGGGAGGCCGGCCACTGAGGACTGAGAAGAGGAGCAGGGCCAGGGCTGCCCGCGAGCCGGCAGAGAAGGCAGGGACAAGGAACCCAAGGCACAGGGACCCAGCGAGGGGCAGGAACGCGGGTGCAGACAGGACGGTGGGCACGCACCTCGTTCTTGCTAGATGCCGCCCTGCAAGGTAGCTTCTGCTGGGGTGAGAGTGTGGGGATGGTTATTTTAAGGACTGCACTCCTCACTCACCTCCTCAGGGGGGACCTCGCCATCTTTATTGAGGTCCAGGTCTTCAAACAGGTTGGCGGGAGGGTCATCATGCCACACGAACAGGTAGCCTTCGGGCATCCCCTCCTCGCGGGATATCAGCTCCACCTCAAACAGCAGCACAGCGCTGCCAGGGACCCCCCGCGCTGGAGGGAGGGAGGAGAGAGGGAGAGAGTCCCTGTCAGGCCGGAGGCTGGGCCGGCTTTGCGGCCCAGCCCGTGTGCTCCCCAGCGCGCAGGCGTCTGTCACCCCTCTGGGGGGCTGGAAAGTGGAACGTGAGCTGTTTACATCTATGAGGAGCAAAGGGGTGGACTGGACCACTCTCCACCTCTCACCTCCGCTCTCCCCGTGTGCCAGGTGCGGGGGGACCACCAGCTGCCGCCTCTCTCCCACACACATGCCCTGCAGGCCTGTGTCCAGGCCTTCGATCACCTTCTTGTTCCCCAGAGTTGCCTCCTGGGGGGCCCCATAGTCATGCCTGAGGCAAGAGCAGATTCCCAGGTCAGCGCCCCTCCTTGTCCCCCGGCAGCTCTCAGCCCATTGTCTCCCCCACCCCCCACCCCCCACCATGCAGGTGCGGGCTGTTACCAAGCCCCTCCTCCTTGTACCTGACCCTCCACCGACCCTCGACCCTCGACCCCCGACCCCCGGGGCAGAGTGAAGGGAGACAGGACACCCTTCTCATCTTGCCATTGCCCCTCAAGTGTGGCCTTGAGGGCTCAGCTTCCCTACTGCTAGCTCCACCCTCCCTTCCCCTTCCTGCGCCTTGCGCTCCCCACAGATGGGGACTTGCAGAGCAGGAGGTGCTGAGGACTCCCTTCACCTGGGCCTGCCCCCCTGCCCGGCCCTGGCCCTGGCCCTGGCCCAGACCCACGAGGAGAAGAGCTTGGTGCCGTCCAGCAGAGAGCAGTTGTAGTGGTAGCGAACAAAGTCCCCACTTTTGGTGGTCTCATTGCAGGTCTCAGGGGGCCGGGACAGTGTCTTAATTTCCACTGGATCCTCGGGGTTGTGGAAGTCGATGATATGGACGTCAAAGATCAGCACAGCCGAGCCAGGGATCTTGTCTCCTGGGACCAGAATGGGGGAGTAGGTCACCTGGAGTCTCAGAGATGCCACTCAAGGTCTCCATGAAACCGCTCTGGGGTTTCCAACGAGGATGGGATGGGCTAGGATGTTTGTCCACATAATTGGTCCTTCTAGGGAGCAGGGGAGGGAGGGACCTGCCAGTAAGATAGCCCTTTACACCATCTTGCAGCCTCCCAGTAACTTACCCAGCTGATCAAGGTGATTAGTCCCATTTTATAGGTGAGGACGCTGAGGCTTCCAGCAAGGCTGGGTCTCAAATCCAGGTCTCTGTGCTTCCTAGGGCTATGCTGTTTCTGTTCTTCCATAACCATCCCCCCTCCCTAAACTCAGGAGTGCTTTTCCAGTATGGAAGAGGAGGAGTGGGGAGACTGCCCTGGAGAAGAGGATGGAGTCTGCGTGGCAGGAACTGAACCGGTGACCGGTTTTTGGGAGGAGAGGGGCAGAGCAGGGGCAGGTCACCGAGGGCTTTGGGGCAGAGCTGAGGTACCACAGGCCTACCAGTCCCGTTCTCCCCGTAGGCGAGGTGCGGGGGGATGGTGATCCTGCGGCGCTCCCCCATGCAGGCGCCCTGCAGCCCCTGGTCCATCCCGGGGATGATGTAGCCCTGCCCCACGTAGGTATTATACGTGTGGTTTCGGGAGTAGCTGCAGCACAAGGTGGGGAGGGCAGCAAGGGCGTCAGCTCAGAGCCACCCCCAGCCGCTGCCTAGGCGACCCCAGCACCTGGTACTTTCCTTCCTGACAACTTCTTGCCTCACCCCCGCCCCCCGCCCCGGCCCTACCCTCCCTCCTCAGGAGCCCCCTGACCTGGAATCGAAGAGGGT